ATTGGCAGCTTCAGACACGAGGGGGGGATCGAGGGCAGTGGTGCATGAATGCTTTTAAAGTGTTACGTCATTGCATCTCTACGCACCATCATATTGATTCCCTTTCCTCTGGGCTGCCAAAGGCTGCCACACGGCGGCGGTAGTATGTCACAGGCTGCAGCGTGTTGCGTGCGTCGGCCAGCATCCATGTGACCCCATCGTCTGAAACTTCCAAGCGCCACATCACCTGAAGAATGTTGCGAAATCGACACGCATGGAAGGCCACTGCGACATGTTGAGACATGAACGACGAGACGGTCTTTAAACACGAAGGAAATGAACTTTGCTTCTTTCTGCCAGTCGCCGGATCGACGCGTCTGCTCCAGCCTGAAGTCATCCACATGTAACTGCTGAAGGTCGCACCTTGCACCGAGAGTAGAACATCCACAGCGTCGCGCAACGTGCAACGTCGCGCAACGTTGCACAAGAGTCCATGTCGTGCCGCTCTCAGTGTGAGCCTTCTGGAAGACGCACCACGCCACTGAGCTCTCCGTTGACTCGGTCTCCGTCTTCGGGAAGTGGAGCCTTGACTCGGATTGGCACATGTTGCATTACCTAGAGATGTTCACAACTGTTTCGCTGTGTCTGCAAGGTGTAGGGAGTGTAGGGTAGCTTGAAACCGGCTGCGGAACCCAATCTGTGTTTGGATCGCCATCGCAGAGCTCAGGAGCATCAGATGTGCAACCTGAGGCGGTGCCCGGCTTGAGATGCTTTGCCTAGAGCTCTCATAGCAGCCGAGTCGCTGAGCAACTCTCCATCTGGCCCTTTCAGCAGTAACTCTGAGATCCTGGTCGGGTCAGAGTCCAAGTCATGCCACTCCTTGATTCCCACGACTCAGAAAGGCTGTCCTTGGCAAGCCTCCACCATGAGTGGCCGTTGATGTGAAACGAACAAACCGAGCACTGAACGGAGTGCGCTTGATGAAGGACTCCTTTGCGATGGGATCACGCTCTCAGATCTCTCAGAAGACCGTCTCTTGAGCCGGGGCACCGAGTTGATGTGCGTCCAGTCCATGAGCCGAACAGTTGAAAATCTCTCCAAGTTCTTCAAGAACCAGGGATGGAAAGGCTCTTGCTCATGAGTCGCCAAGAAACCTGCAGGAATCGATCGACAATGTCTCGGGAAGCTAATCATGAACGAAGCACGCCTGGCATGATGATCCGGATGTTGCGCAACGGATTCTGCGGGTTAACTCGTCGGATGGTAATCGCAATGCCGTTGTCAGAGCAGTACGCCAACCTCATTGTTTGCGGCACCTCTCATCCTTTTCCCCCAACCTCTACTGCACAAGAGTGAGCAAGAATGGGTTGGCTTACCCTTCTCATAAAACGTGACAGACATGACAAACCTAACCGGGGCCTAACCCTGCAGTACATGACTGTACCTTCAGCCTGGACGCCATCCAGCTCGGTCAAACCAACACTCACGCCGGCAAGTTGGTTCAAAGTCCACATCGATTCGGCCTCAGGGAGGGCTTCCGAAGGATCCCCTCACGTGTTGCTGGTCACATGATGTCACATGCAGATCATGTTGCATGGCTGCTGCAGGGAGCCTTTTTGGAAAGCTGCCGGCGTTGCGTCCATGCCAAGATCGAGCTCACCATCACCATCATACGTAATGACGTATCGACCTGAAGGAAGGCTTGCAAAGTGGCTCACTTCAAAGAGGGGGCAAGGGCCGACTCATTCTTCATCCCCAAAACTGCACATGAGCATGATCTCCGGCTCTTGAAGGAACGCGTGCGGAAAGGGGTAGGGGATCAAAAAAAATTTATTTGGGATCAAAAAATTATTTTATTTATAGGCGGATCAAAAAAAACTTATTTGGGATCAAAAAATAATTTACTGAAGGCTTCGAAGGCTTCTTGCAAGCGGAACGGAGGCTGTAAACGCTCAGAGATGCAGCAGTTCTGGCCGTTCGCAAGCTCTAAATACCGAAGAAACACAGCATTTTTGCGCATTTCAGAGTTTCCAGAGAGGCTGCATATATTGTTTGTAGCAGCAGTTCTGCGCTTTCAGAGGCTGGAAATACTGTACACTGCAGCATTTCTGAGTTTCCAGAGGCTGCAAATACGGAAAATAGCAGCATTTCTGCGATTTCAGAGGCTGGAAATACTGTAAATAGCAGCATTTCTGAGTTTGCAGAGGCTGCAAATCAATGCTGGCATCTTGGCATTAGAAGTTTCAAAAATGCGTATACTCTGAAGCATGTATATTCTGGCATAGTATTGTGGAAATTCTTGTATAATATTGTATGACATTGTATATTCTTGCATATTATTGTACGTTGTTGTATATATTGTTGAGTATTATTGTATTGTCTTGTGTTTTCTTATGTTTTTGTGTGATATTGCATATTATTGCATATTATTGAATGTTATTGTATATTTTTCAAATTATTGTATATTGTTCTCTTTTTTGTAGGTTCCTGTATATTATTGTATATTCTTGAATTTTCTTTGTATATTATTGCAGATTACTCTGTATTATAGTAAATTATTGAATATTCTTGTATTATTGTCTACTATTGTATATCTACTATTGCATATTATTGTAATCTTTTGTACACTATTTTATATTGTTGTATGTCTTGCTGTACATCTTTTGTATATTTTTGAAAAATATTGTATATATGGGCGTATGTTTTTGTATATTTTTGTATATTTTTGTATATTTTTGTATCTTGTTGTCTATTATTGAATATTATTGTCAATTACTAAAAACTATTGTAAGTTATTCTTTTTTTACGTGTATATTGCTGCATATTCTTGTACATACTTGCATATTGTTGTATTTTCTGTATTATTGTATATTATTGCATCGTTTTGTAATATATTCTTGTATATCATTGTATCTTACTGCGTCTTCATGTTTTTTTGCAAAAAAGTGCTCGCATCAGAAGGATTCATGTGCTTTGAAGCAAGCTTGCCCGGACTAAGAAAACAGCCCGGGGCCCCCCCCCATTTGCAAACACAACGCTCGCATCATTGGTTTGGAAAGGATGCTCATATGCTTTGAAGCAAGCTTGCCCGGCTTTAAGAAACAGCGGGGGGTTTGAAGGGGGGGCGCAGACCCCCCCCCCCATTTGCAAACACAATGCTCACATCATGGGTTTGGAAGGGATTCATACGAGCGGAAGAAGCTTGCCCGGCGCCAAACAAACAAGAAATATGTATTGTGTATTATCAATTCTATATCAAATAGCAGTAAATATATACATATATGCTTTGCTATTTCGATTTTATTAAGTTTTTTTATGATACAAAGGTATACTCTACGATATTGTGCTCTATTCTACTCTATGCCACTCTAAATATGTTGTTATACTTTGTGTTAATATATACACACATATATATATATATATTAACAGATGATGTTATGTTATGTTTTCCCACATATCCTTTCCTGTCCTTTCCTTTCCTTCCTTCCTTGCTTCCTTGCTTCCTTGCTTCCTTGCTTCCTTGCTTCCTTGCTTCCTTGCTTCCTTGCTTCCTTGCTTCCTTGCTTCCTTGCTTCCTTGCTTCCTTGCTTCCTTGCTTCCTTGCTTGCTTCCTTCCTTCCTTCCTGCCTTCCTTCCTTCCTTCCTTCCTTCCGTCCTTCCGCCGTTCCTTCCCTCCCTCCCTCCTTTTCTCCCTCCCTCCCTCCCCTTCCCTCTCTCCGTCGGAAGAACAGAATAGATTATTTCTTGATCCTAAATACATTATTTTTTGATCCTAAATAATTTCTTCTTGATCCTAAATATTTTTTTTTTTTTGATCCGCATCCCTGGGGAAAGGGCATGGGGGACGAGTCTCAGTTTCAGTAGCCAGAATGGATGATGCGGAAACACAACAGAAGTTCAACGCAGTGCACCAGCACACTACAGGGTGGTCCAGAGCAAGTGATGGCATTGGCGCACGGCCGGTCAGCGAATTGTCGGTGATCATGCTGGGCATGCTGCGTCCAGGGGACCAGGGGCTGTACAGGCAGAGCCGAGCCACCTTTTGCAAAACCCAAGCCAACCAGATGTGGCCGAGCCTTCTTTAAAGGAACGGGCCCAGAAACAAAGCAACCCAAAAAAAGGATACTCGGCCCATTCTAATGCGACACAGCGACCTCTGGGTGCATGTAGGCAAACGTCACGCAAGGTTAGGGTGATCACGGCCTGGTCCTCTGAAACTCACAAGAGCGAGCCAAGGCATGAACAAGGCTCCGAGACAGTTCATTGAAGTTCACGCACTGCGATGGCATACAAAGCGGCTGCGCTCCTGCATGAGTGATGTGACATACCCATCTGAATTTTGATTGATCTGAAGGCCATTGCCCCACTCATACTGACGGCTCGTCCACATGAGACTGCCGCCCTGATATGAGAATTGGCCGGGCTGTGTATCCCTGTCCCAAATGCTAGTCCATCCGCGCGATGTTTTCATCACGTCAACAAAGGTGGAAGGCGTTGTGGCCTCAGCGTCCAAACATGTGAGATGATAGTATGGAGATGCGCTCGTTGCCCCAAGGGCTTGAGTTCGCTCATGCGAGACTGGCCGGCGGCCCTGACCAAGGTCCTGACGACGTTGATGCCAAAGGCTGCCCCTCCATGGCCGAGGAGTGAGCTGTTGAGAGCTCCACATGTGGCACCATAAGCACCGGCCCAGCAACGACAGGATCCATCAACACAGGTTCCATAGGTACACGACGAGCATGCGCTCTGGCCTGACAGAAGCAAACAGAGATGCGTTGAATCCTGATTGGGGCTGCACTAAGCTTCTGGGCGGGAGCCGGATGACAAGCACTCACCAGACAATCGCGCACCCTCTGCACACCCTGCCCTGCACACAAACCCCCCAAAGCATGCCTGGGCCAGTGCAGCCCAGTGTGTCAGCAGTTGCACAGTCCCACTCACAGCCAGTTGAAGAAGACCTGCGCCACCCCTGATCACATATGCACTCCTTGGCTGACGTATGCTGACATTGTTGGCTCTGCTTTCTGTTGCATTTGCTCCTGTGGCTGTTGATACCGCTGTAGCTACTGTATTGCTAGCTGCTAGTTGAAGAGGTTGAAGAGATGGACCTGAAGCTTCTAGATGATCTCTGAACCCCAAAATGGTTCACGAAGTCGAAACCATGAACTCCTGTGCTTCGGTGGTCTTCAGCTCGAGCCCAAAAGGACCAAAGCTCCTAAAATGATCTCCTGGCCTCATTTCTGAACTCTTAAACCCTCTTCCTTCTGCACTAGGCACGAGACCGAAACCCTGAAGGCTGAAGGGGCATCTGCCTCTTGCTTACAGTTCCTCTTTGGAGGAAGCTTCATAGTTTTTTAAGTCACTCCGCTGCGGTATCATACAGTCTGATTCTCGACAGCAAGTGCTCGAAAGTGCTGGACAGCTGAGAAACCTGAGTTCGCACAAACTCTCGGACGAGAATCGTTGTTTGCGTCGCACTGGCCGTGATGCCCACATCCGCAGTCAATTTCACATTCCCTGCCGCGAAATCCACGAAAGCCTCTGTCCACAGATCTTGACAGTATTCTCCGGGTCTACACCAGGAACCGACATAAGGACTGTGACTATGACAAAGTTTCAGGCACGGTGCAGCTGCATACCCCGCTGGCAATGCAGTGTCCTCTTTGGTTGCATCCATTCGGGCACTGGAATTTGGAACACTTGCCGCCGTTGTACTCTTCACGACAGCTGCAGTGCCAGCTCCGTGCATTGCCAATGATCTCCTGCAGCGCTCACTTTTCGCATGCCAAACTGCTCTGCACATGTAAGGGGTTTAACATGGGTTTACTGCACTGCCTGCAGTTCAGATTGCCCCAATCATAATCAACAAACTGAGGGCTTTGTCAAGCAGGCGTCGGACACTTCGCAAAGACCTTGATCGAAGGTGCAGCGGTACCCGCAGGATGAGTAGTCTGTGTACGAGGCATCCAAACAGCTCACGCCGGAGTAACCACGGTAGCAGTAGCACTGGTCATCCGATCCACACAGCCCCTTGCCTGGAGCGCAACAGCTACGCCAACTACAAGCCGTGGCTGCCATATGCTGACGTGGCTAAGCTGATGACTAGCACTGACTAGCTAGTGGACATTAAGAGCACTTAGAGCTCAACAGCTCAAGCAGATGAAAGCACTTACCAGTAGCCAGCAGTCTTGACTTTTCCGGCCTGAACAGCCGTCTGCACCCGCACAGTCTGGCTCCTCGTAGCTACAAGCCGAAGGAAGAGGATGTGTTCGATTGGCCAAAAACTCCTGCACCGCTTGGTACTTGAATGCAGATTCCCTGGGCTGATCCATGGCTTCGATCATACCCCAGGAGCCATACCTGGATGGCCTTCCACAGCTTGCAAAGTAGACCATCAAGTCAAACTCTTTGTCAAGGTCATTCAGGTATTTAGCAAGAATGTCCTTCATTTTCGGATGTCGATGCGCCTGGATCGCAAGGTCATCTGCGCTGCCATCACCTTCCCCGGCCGGGCCAGCTTCATAAGCCAGCAACTTGAAATGAGTGCCTTGCAGTACTGCCTTATGTTCGCGAACTCGCTGCAACGAAGTATTGACTTCAGTCTCATAGCTCTCTAGCACGAGATTGAGATCGGCATCTGGGTCTGGGAGAATGTTGTATCCATTGAAATACGGTCCTAAACCGATGGCATCGGTGTCATTGATGCCTTCGCACTGCAACAACTGGGCCGTCGCATCATAATTGGACGACTGGCTCCCTGCAACAACGGTCAAGTCTCGTGTGCCGTTGATCACGGCTTTTGCAATTCTGGCCATTTCCCCGGAGCGCTTCGCGTACCAGCACAAAAAGGACAGTCCTTCCGCTGCTCCTTGCTGTTGTGCCCATTGGCCTCCAAAAAACCCGGGGTGCCAGGCTTCATTCCCGAGCTCGATGAAAACCCCGAGATCTGGCCTCAGGTGCTCCTCGGTGGACCAGCAACTTGTCTGTTGTGCACTGGGGTGTTCAACGGTTAAGTTCAAAAAGGGTTGCAAAGGCGGTGAAAGGCATTGAAAGGTCCAAGCGGCAGATACAAATGCCACGAACTGCCCGATGTAGGCGTCCGTTGCATTCACTGGCAGAGAAAACCAGGGTTCGGCCCCGACTTCGTTCGACAGCCGCACCATGTACTCCAGGCTTACCCCCGGGTGTGAGCCCTGTGTATAGTACGATGGTGTGACACGCGATGCCTGCGGCAGCCAGAAGAAAATCGAACACCGATTTGACTGCTGTGCTGCACGAAGCTTGGCGGTTGTCTGGCCTACTCCTTCAACCGAATGCAAGCGAGTCTCCCATTCGAAAGGCGTCTTGTCACTGTTGGCATGCATCCAGTCCATGAATCTCAACACAGAGAAGCCCTCAAGGCTTGCAAGGAAAGCCGGGTGGAAGGGCGACGTGTGAAATGTCTCTTCGAAGCCAGGAGTAATGACTCGAATATTCCTCCCATGCAAGTCTGAGATGCTACTGTAACTGTACCTTATGGGGGAACATGAGTCTCTTAATACCTTTTGGGCATGTTTTGCTTCTGCGCGCCACTTGCCTCACTGGGTCGTCTTCCCGAGTATCTGACACTCGGATGCCTATGCCATTGTTCATGGACGTCGTCAAGTTCACGTAGATTTGAATGTGATTTCGAGCAATGCGATGGACAGCCGTCACATCCATGTTGAACTCAAGGACACCCTCGCCATCGAAAAGGACCGTATACCAACCATCCGTGTAGTGTCTCTCAACATCGCGCACCTCAGAAGCAAATGCCGTGACATGGCCAGGCAAACTGGGTGACCCACAATTCAGTAATGCATTTCCAGGAGCTGTCAACAGTTGGGCGACCTGGTTGATGTTGAGGTGGGCAGGATACCCATCACCCCTGAATATCAGCTCGCTGCCTGTTGCAGGCGAACTTGAAGAGACTTGAATGAAACATGAAATGTGGATGCCAATGCTCCAGCACGGAACGAGGCCTGTGTTCCAGGTGTAGGACGTAAACTCCTGCGCTTGCCATTCACCCACCTTGGAATCATACTCTTCAGCCATACAAAATTCGACGTTGGCAGGAACACAGATGCAGACAAATACAGCCAAGGATGTGGACTTGGGCACGCAGGGACGTGGCAGTTGACACGACGCCATTTTTTGTCATGCCACGTTTTTGAAAACGTCGACGAAGGCCCACTCCCTTGGCAAACATTCGATTACATTCACAAGAACTCGCCAGCCTTCTAGCGGGTTTTTGTCTGTTTTTGATTGCGTCCCGCACCTTGTCCAGTAGCTTATGCCCGAGAGGGACAAGCCCAGCTTACGACCACGGTGGCATTCTGCTGGAGCTAGCCGGGAACAATCTGCCCCACTCGCCTGATGTTTGGATCAAAGACAGTGACAAGCAGCAAAGAAGAGATCTACTGTCATTCGCTGAGCTTGTGGAGAAGCAAGACCAACGACAAACTGCCAAGTCCATGACTCCTTTCCAACACTTGCAACTGCCCTGCTCGCAGATGCCGTGGACGCATGTCTGTGGACATGGCTTCAGCTCGTCCGTAGGGATGACCCGAGCTGCTCGCCGTCCATGCACGTAGCCCGTCATAGCACGTCGGATGGGGCTGTCATCGTCCCAGTGCAGCATAACAGAAGCTTGTCCACATGCTTTGCCCCCTGCAGTCCATCACTACAAGAAGGCAGCACACGCAAACCATGGACAAAAACACCAAACACCTCACACTCCCCGGAGCTCCTGACCAGCAGCTTCTTGCTAATCGGACCATCTGCCCGCCTGCGCATAAACGCCAACGCTCTCGGATGTCGCAGGTGCGGCACGCATGATTGTAAAATGCACGTGGCATGCTGACTCTGGCACCGACAACGGTGGAGAAGCCAATCTGGCGTAGACGCTCCAAGTAGTCGAGCATCAGATCTTCCATTACGGGTTCCCGAAAAGCAGAGATCCTCAGCGAATTTTGCGAGATGCTAACGCGACATCCTGGGCCTGTGGAAGATGCATTGAAGTGCAATATCAAACTGCATAGTGTCAAGCATCATGTTGTTTTCCAGGTTTTGTTCGCTGGCAGCTGCTGCAGTGATGCCGGGCAAAAGCGAGCGAAGCTCATCCAAGGTGAGTCCTCGTGCGCATGGCACGGCAAGAAGCCGGCAAAGGGAATCATGGGTGCATCTTCACTACTTGTCTGCTTCTGATCTCAATCTTGCCTGCAGCAGGCGGATTCCAGTACTCAGACGTGTACGCATGCTCGCACCTTACATCTGAGCAGGCTACAGCTTGCACAGCACCAGCTTACAAACAAGCAAGCCCTATACCCCCGAACGCAATCAGGCAGTCTTTTCGTGAGCGACGTTGTACAAACGCTACGTGTCCTCAGAGGTACACCTGGTTGGAATATGATTCAATTTAAGTACCCTCACCACGAATTGACGTAAGGACCTTGCGACACCACTGTGCGTCTGCGCATGCAAATGTGCTGCTGACCCAGTGTAGTTTGTCATATTTTGTCATAGCAGGCGAATGTCCTGGCACTGCCGATCCCTGGACCCTGCAGCCGTCGCAAAGTGCAACATCATGGAACATCATGGAACAACATCCCGGGCAGCAGCCGGAGGCTTCGAGGACGGCACGAGGTCTGGCAAGCGTCTCGAGCAGCTAGATCTGCAGCAGCTGCATCGGAAAAACCTGATTCTACCGTCGTGCGTCACTACGTGGGAGCGCCAGAAATGACAGATGTACACGGCGCAGTGACTTAACTGATACGAACTTGCTCGGCCCGAGCCTGGAATCTGAGCATCCACTTTGAAGTAGCTGTCAGTGCTGGATGGACCACACTGGTCATAAGGGTCATCATTCACGGTAAATGCAGAACATTCGGTCGGAGGTCTGCGAGCACCTTCGCCAATCCGACTGCGTTGAAAGAAATATGCAGTGCCTGGAGTTGAACAATCTCCGTAGCGATAGCTGTTCCCGACCTGGGTGTGACAATGGAAAATCGCTCTAAATTCACCGGGAAACTTTCAAGCAGGCAGGGCTCCTCATACCCAGAATCGGCCTAGAACCACCGCAACGATAGAGCACAGCCACTCCGCAGCTCCATTCCCCGGTTCTTATATACGTGAAGCCATCGCAGGTTGACCTGGGATCACACGAACAGACAATCACGAAGCACAGAGCGACGGAGCTGCAGGTGCTGCCGGACAACTAGGACAACAAAAAGGCTTCTCGATAGCTTTCACCCTGATTCCAGCCAGAGAAAAAAAACAAACCTCTTTGATTCCCGCATGAGACCCGGTGTGGAAGGCCAGCAGGTGTGATGCCACTGCGAGGCATTTATCTAATGTGTCTGCAGACTGTTTTCTGATCGTGGGCTGCTCCTTCCTGTGGGCTCTAATACAGCTTCTCTGTCACAGCATAAACCGCATAATGCACAACACTACAACACACACACACACACACCCTCCACTGCTCTAGTACGTCGAGGCACATGTTCACACAATGTAGTTTGGCCTGCTCGGGTGTCCCATGCAGCCAGTACAAACCTCAGGGCACAAGCGCTTTGTGAGGCCAGTGCCATCCTGTGACCCTTTGTGCAAAAAAACTCTCAATCTGCCGAAGCTCTTGGGGAGGACTTTAATGTGGCTTTGTGCAATTCGGTGTGGATTTCATGCGCTTTGGCTTGGGACGCGGATCGTTTCAAAGACGTGTCGGTACCCTCCCAATTAATAAGCTGAGAAGTGGCTTGTCCCAAAGACACTCGAACCAGAAGACTTCAGGCTACACAAGGCCCCGAGTTGTACCCACCCCTTCATTGCAGCTCTCTGCAGCCAAGCGCGCCATTGCCGTCATATGCCCGATCCTCCTCGAGCAGGCCCTGGTAGCCTTTATATGCCACAAAGTCAGCCTGCGCAAAACTGCAGCCTATGGTGGTTCGTAGTACATAGTACGACATACTGCCGATGCCCAACAGGGAATGTTCTGAAGGTGCAACATGGCACAACTGCGTGGCAGCCTCAAAGACCCAGCCACCGTCTGCCAATTGCGCCTGCTGCCTGCAGGGAATTCCTCTTCAGCGCCCACATCCCTGAGCCCTTGACTCCGCAGTTTGCTGGGCGTACCCTGCGCCGTAGCGGCGCCCCAGCGTTTTCATTAAGCAGCCTTGCAAAGAACGAACAGGCAAGCACAGAGAGAGAGAGAGGTGGAACCTTCATGCAGCCGATGCAGACACAGACACGCACAGAAACAATGACAACACATCTGAGCTTTCCATGATTTGAATGCCCTTTCAATTCGTGCGCTCCATTGTGCATGCGTTCACTGTACTACCAGGGATCGCGCTACGCAAACGAAGAGCTACCATTTTTCTGACCGAGCAGCTCTCGCATCTTAACGCCCAGTTCAGGTTTCCGCGATGACCGTAACCCCGGGCCTGAGGATCAAGCTCACTTTGCGATTTAGCGACGAAAGGCCATGGAAGATTCCGTATTGCATATGCAAATGCACATGTAACTCATGCATGACTTGGGTTAACACCGATATCATGGGCAGCGCGTTGAATGCAATGATCCTTGAAACAGCCGGCAGACTTCCAGTTTTGGACGGGCTGTCACTTTCGAGGACAAGCTACCACAAGCTAGCTTTTTAGAAGACTTGGTGGCGTAAGCATTGCAGGAACAGGGTGCTTCCGAAGCTTGCAGGGCAAACGCTTCAGACAACTGGCATGAAAGGTCGGCGTCATCCAAGAATACAAGCTTTGCTTTACGACTGTCTTCTAAGACATTTTGGACGTTGTCGATTCGAGACCACTTAAATGCAGAATCCAAGAAGGCGCTGATGCGGATGCTGCCCTCTCTTGGAAACTTGCAGTGTGCAAGGCACAAAGGCATAATGAAAAGCAAGGGAACTCAAAGCCATAATGAAGAGCTTGCTGGACTCGTTGGATGATCTCCTCACTGACTTCATCTGACTTGCAAACTCCCCCCCTTCCCAGTCCCGAGGTTGCAGCAGATGGCTGCAAATGCTACTGGACATGGTTGCAAAATGGCTGCGAACCTTCTGCTAAATCTGCATCAATCTGCATGCTCAGAAACTGCGATCGGGCCAATGGACCATTGAAGGTCACACTTGGGTCACTCGATGTCACTTGCATCTACGCATTCTGTACTACTGACGGTCACGCGCGTACAGCTTAGATCAGCATAGGGCTATTATAGGCAGTACGGGCAGTGTTGAGGCAACGGCTCCCTAGGGCTTTCCACTCCTTCCCCTTGAGGGAACTGTACATATCACTCATCCCTCAACGTGAAACCTTCGGGCCAGGGCCCCTACTAGTAGTATAGGGTTTCCCACTGACACTTTACGCAAACACGTAAAAAGATTGAACCAAGCGGCAGCTTCTTCCTTGAGCATGGCGGGCCGCACAACGGCATCAATCAGTTCAGCGGGGGTCAAAGCTCCGTAGGTGCTGATGGCCTGGGTCAAATTTTCAAATATAGCTTGGCCATTACGGGCATTGTGATCGTGATTCAATGAGTCAGCATGCCAACCTCCATGGCATTGAAGTCAGTACACGGGGTCTCCCCATACTTGCACACGTCTGAAAACCTCGGCGAGTTGTTGCTTGTCGCGAGGCGCCAAGATACTCCAGCTGAATGTCAGAATGAGTCCGTCTGAGTCAGTACTGGTATGAGTCGGAATGTATCTCCACTCAGGGGCTCCAAGCCCAACATCCCATCAATCCGACCCCGCCCTCTTAAGGAACATCTTGTCAGTGCTTGCAAACAGAGTGGCGAAACTTCAATCGCGGCAGCTTCGACAGATGTAACATCCGTGCCGAACTTGTCCAGCTGCTGCAAAGAGGATATGACCTAGATCAGGTTTCTCTTCAGATTGCAAAGCTCGAACGATCTCATTCGCATGCAGCTGCTGCCGAAGTTCATTAATAAGTCGATCTGGGTCGAAGCCTGCTTGTTCCCAGCTCTTCCATAAAGTCAGAGATTGTACTGCGTTTTCCTGCACATCCAAACAGCCACTGGGACAACCAATTGAACACGTTGCAAGATGTTTCCAAGTAGTTCGACCATAATTAACTTCTACAGCATTGGCTTCTCGAACGTTTTCACAACCCCCATTCATGAAAAAGCTTTTGAGACAAGCCTGTCAACATCCGTCAACCTATTGGAAAGGTGAAGCAAGAGGGTAGACAGAAAAAAATAACTCCATCTGCTTTCGGGTTGGTACGACTCCTTTTGCACATATAGCCCGTCAATAGCTTCTTTAGCCAGACCTCACACCTCCAGGAAGACGCTGCCTCTCTTGCGCATTTCTTGCATGCCGACACGGCAGTGGCAGGCATGTATACATATATAAATAAATAAGTAAACAAATAAATAAATATATATATATATATATATATGCGCAGTAGTTCTGCATTATTTTTACATGGCCGGCTGTACCGGGAGAGATACCCAGGGAATGCAGCAAAAGTTCGTTTGTCCGGCAAATGTCCACCTAGCCCTTCGACCGTGCAGGTTGAGCCCGGCTTGCTATTTCGGTCAGCACGCGCGGCGAGATTCTCCCAGCGCCCCAAGAAAATCGGAAACCTTTCAATAAAAGTTCCACTTGGTCGCCGTCGATTCCAGGTTATCTGAGAATGTCTGATGCAGGTGCCTCAAAGGGAGAAGGGATGGTGAAAGGGGCGAGAGAGGGAGGTGGTCTGATGTGGTTGAGGAGGCCGAAGAGAAACCACCAGACAGATCGAATCAAAACATCATCCAATGTCCGATCGCAAGAACCCAGCGTCAATGGACACGGAACTCTTCATCGAAACCATGCTGCAGATCATGCTGCAAAGCCTGTGAGTTCCATCCCGGTGCCAGGCCATTCAGGCAACAGGATCGGTACTCCACATAGACCCTCAGCTGAGGATCGAGACTTTGGTTCACCAGCAAAGCCTTAGTTCACAATCTTTCCTGTCCCGACTTCTTCACTGCCAAGTTGGGAAAGCAGGCGATGGATCAGCCGGGTGGCAAATTCTCTAGCATACTCATCGATGCTGTCAGGCTCAGTCTCCGGTGCCTCGTCACACCAAAAACTGCTATCGTGTCAGCTGCTCTCGAAAGCGGCATGTAAAGCGTTGGGGAGTCCGGCACGTGACTGATATGACTCCTCCGACCTTCGGCATGGAGAACCACGGACGCGCTCCAAGTCTGTTGGCCAGTTCCACCTAAAGCGAAAGAGTTCCATGTACATCTATGGTAATCATACTGCTCAGCAATCTGACTGGGAAAAAAGAAACGAACACGTACTGCAGTCCACGAGGTTCGGGTCATATAGCTTGTGGAATTCGGAAGATATAGCCTATTGAGTTCGGAAAATCTAGCCAATGGAGTTCGGGGCAATCGTAATGCCATTGCAGGCCAGTTCCACCATGTACTCCACGCACACTCCAAAGGGACCTTCGTGCAATTCACGGTTTTGTGCCGACAGTTTCAAGCATGCGTCTCCATTCACAAGAAACTCTCAAGCCGCATCCACGCGCCTGCTTGCGTCTGGTCCGATGGCAGCGTTCGATTCTCCCAGCCGCGCGCTAGGGAACCAACGTGCCCCCAAGCATCCTCCGGTTGGCAGTTGGCAGAGCCCAAATTAGTCTTGTCTGTCTTGGCACAAGCGCTCTCTGTCACACACCCATCACCGAAGACGCGCTTCAATCGCTTCATACCGTGTTGCTCACAGTGCCGACTTGTCTTTGCCAGGTTGGCACGTTCGCACCCTTGATTCTCCGTTCCATGGTGTTGGGTGCAAGTAATGCCTGAAGAAATGCAGGTGCTCGCCCTCGCGTTCGTTGCGTCCTCACGTCGCTACACAACTAATCCTTGATATAAGTGGACAACTTCTGTGTTAAATTCGGAGGAGTTCCTTGCGTCAAAGCCCGAATTCTTCGCCGAAGGGGCCGTTCATCCGTCTTTGGTAGTGGTGTAGATGGTGGCAGATGGTGGCAGATGGTGGCAGATGGTGGCAGATGGTGGCAGATGGTGGCAGATGGTGGCAGATGGTGGCAGAAGGATCAAGCCGCCCCGCTCCCCCAATCCTCCCCCAATCCGAGGAACAGCTTGAGGGAGCAGTCCAAAAATAACAAAGCTTCAACTTGAACCAACAATAACCAACATGTGCCACAATGGCCCCGGCATTCTCCGTCTGCCCAGGGGTTGCTGAAGCTGCCACTACAGTACAGACTTTGCCAAGCTTCGATCATCTGCCAACTAGCGAACCGCAGGACAGCCGTCCCATTCAACATCTCCAGAAAACGAGGATGAAACAGCTGTTCCGTCGCATTCTGCCGGTACTCAACCTTACACCGGCTTCTACATTGAAAGAGTTGCATTGCAAAAGCCTGAAACAGTGAAGAAAGACGGGCCTCAAAGGCTCTTCATGCAGCTTGCTTTAATCTGCGGGGCTGGAGTCAAGGTTATCGCGTGCAGTGGATCGTCTTCATCAGTGCGCACGACTCGGACAACCACTCCTCAGACACTGCTGGCATCTGCTGGCATGTTGGGCGCGTATATGCCTGCTCTGCACACGCCGACAGGAGTAGGCGTCAGCTGGCACCAGCATGTTTCCGGGGTGACTCAGAGATAACAAACTCTGACTCAGAGACCAAGCCGCCGCTCTTTGGTCGGACCATGACTCTGGCAGCGTTGGCATCCTCAGGAGTCACGTGACGTGCTAGTTAGTATACTCACGAATACATTTCATACATAAGACACGTGAATGACACTCAACAGCTGTCCGAAGGACAGCCAGAGACTATCGCAGACTCATAAACAGCCATGGACAGTCTTGACCAGCATGGTGGACCAACTCCGGTATGACCAGCTGCAGCTGTCCTCCATGTAGAGTAACTCAGCATCACCTTCAAAGGAGATGTTGCCCGCACCCTGCCATGTGGCGACCTGGACTTTGCACAAAGACAGAAAGAGACAGAGAGACCTGAGCGGCCTGAGCGATTCTGTATCGTGAGCGAGCGCACATCGCAGTGCTTCGGAAGTTGAGTCTGTCACGTATTCCCCATCCTCAACGAAAGCGCCGCCCAGACCGATTGTCGCCTTCACGGAGCTTTGTCTCAGGGATCCTTGGCAGAAGGCGAATGAAGAGATGTGAGTGTTAAGACAGTGCTAAGACGGATCAAAGATTCGGGGTCAGAGTTGAACTTGGAAGCAAGACAAAGGTCTTGGGGGCTGAGAGTGAAACATAGTGAAGCATCATGAACTTAAGAATGAAGTTCGGAGTGAGGATTTAGTGAAGTGCGAGACTTGGAAGTGGGCTGCAAAGGGTGAGAGAGATTAGCTGATAGAGAGATCCCTGGGCCATGGCTGGGTTCTCTGCCTTCGCCTTCATACCTTTATGGTGCTGCAGATTGCGAGCCTTGACAGTTTGCCGCCAGGTCTCCAAACATCGTGAAATTCGGCAAACTTTGAGGGTATCCATCCCGTCGAAAACCGATTTCGAACCCCTGAGGCACTACGTGGCAATCACATTAATCCACACAATGAACGAGCATGCAAGGTTTTTAAGTACTCGTACATAGAACTTGGTGAGCATCAGCATGTCACACGGCTGTCCTCAGGCCAGTTGTAGTGCACCCAGCTAGCGTTGTCGCCGACAAAACCATTTTCGATGCCGTCAGCGAAGGGCGTGCTATGCTTCATGAGATCAATGAACTCACCTTAAGAGCAGAAGGCTGTTCATACCTTGCTCGTATGCTACTGCTCCGCGCGGCTCCCTTGCCAGGGCGTCTTGCTTGAGCAACGTTTGCTTGACGAGCTACGGACAGCAGTAGGGCGGAAGTCTTCGTCAGTCGTTGGATGTGGCCGCAGCGCGGACAAGAATGTCCCAACACCTGATAAGGCAATTGCGTGCTCACTTGTGCAGACTGTCGCACGGCATGGATTTTTCAAAGTCTCAGAATCGACCGAGAAACGCAGCTGGCTTGGAACGGTCCTCCGCTCTGCTCCCGCCAGTACAAGCGAAGCCGCCTCAGAGCTCGATCTAGCAATGAGATACTCACAGGTGCTTCGAGTTTTCTTACCATCGACTCCACACATCGCCACGCATCATATCACTGCACTGTACGGGGACATGGGGCTGTTTCTCCGCCAAGATGCAACTAGCCATAGTTCGTGCCGTACTTGGTTCCAAAGCATTGCGAAACAGCAGCTTTAAAAGAAATGAAACAGCTGCAGCATGCGTTGTCATGCAATCACCGACAACAATACCGATTCCAGATGCCAGCCGCTGCGCTTTCGGCAGCACACCCCTCTCTCAGACTCTCTGCGCGCGGGCCCACATGCCATATTTTGCGATGCCTTTTATTCTGCGCACGGCTGATGCTCTCACCTCTTGCTGCACACTTGGCGGTCTTAAAATTCGCCCTTCTGCGCAGTCTTGAAGTAAGATGGGTTAGGACGTATTCAATTATTGGTATTTGGCACACTTGTAGCCAAATAAGCCGACAACACTGTGCCAAACAGCTTGGGCTCTAGCCACAGCGTGTAGGCTCCAACCACTCCAGGTTCTCATCCTCTGCTGCCTCCCGATCCAAGTCTCCGTCAAGCTCGTCCTCGCTCGCACTTGTCGATTCTGACAACAGCTGGCCATGCTGAGCCTTGTACTTCGCCTTCTCCTCCTCGATCATCCGCTTGTCGTACGGAAAGGCCCAATGCATGAAAATGTAGCAGGTCAGGCAAAGGGTCCATGGCAGCACAGACGTTAACGCCAAAGACTTCCCAAGAGCTTCGGCATTCTGTTCACTTTGCGATTTATCGTCTGGATCCGCATCAGCAAGATTGTAACCAAAAAGGTTCTGGGCAAGGAACCCAACAGCTGCATTGCCTGCAACTGCTGCGATCGCCCCTTCCATGGCGCTCTCCCACGCCATGATCCCGCTTCGAGATGCCGGATCAACGATCTCTGACAACAAGGGCAAGTTTACCCCTGTCAGGCACCATGTTGACGTCAGCCCCATGAGCACGAGAAAAGTCAGGTAGTAGACGAATTGGTACTGCTCTGCGGGGTGCGTCATGAAGATGAGGAAGACGCAAGGTATCCCCAGGCTAACCGACATGTTTGCTGTAAAGGCGCGTCCATGGTAAGGACATCTTCTAGCCATAGCATCGCCAATGTAGCCTCCAAGAAATGCGCAACGCTTGGAAGAGAAAAACATACCACTGCACTGAACAGAAAAGAAAAAAGCCACACTAATCACTGAATCGTACGCCGATCCATGTACTGATGCGGGCTGCGGGGCATCCGTCACCAGGTTCAAATACCGGAAGAGAGGGAAACACGGGAACAAGAACGGCTGAATCGAAAACCACCAAAAAAGTCTGAAACAGGAGACGGCTGCGCCAGAAACCAGGAAACGGACGGAAGTATCTGGCTGGATGGATCGATGCTCTGGTCGCATTCTCCCGTGGCATGGACGTACTACCTGGTGGCACGGATGCTCTGATATTAAGAATGCTCTGGTCGCATGGATTTCTGGGCCGGATGCTCTGGTGGCACAAACGCAACTATCTGGCGCATGGATGCTCTGGAAGGATGGACGTTGGTTGCATTGGTCTGCCGGATTGCAAGGTGGCTAGTTTATCATCTGCAGCTGCTGCACCACAGTCATTCTTGGCTCCGATTCACTGTTTATGATTCGTGGCGGTGTTGACTTGCGATTCGCAGTTTCTGGTCCACGGCGTTTCCTGACTCCCGTCTACTAACCCCTTTGCTATTCACAGGCATTGCAACTGACAGCAGTTAAACAACGATTCAGCTTATCAGATTGTCGTGATCGTCCACACTGGAGTCCACACGTCGTGACTCCACTGAATGCTGAGCTGCCATGATGACCCTGGATTGCAAAATGCAGGCTCAAAGTGGAAAACATTGAGCATTCAGTATGTCCCACGTTGTGCAAGAGTGATTTCCCCCTACCGACCAAGTATCGTGGCCAGCCAGTACAGAGGTCGCTTGAACAGACAAACATTAACAAACATGTTGAAGCCCACAACAAGGCTGCTTTGCCAAACTCACAGACCAGCGCACAAAGTGCGTTTGATTAAATGGCCTCCCATGACGTTTCCAATGCCACAGCACGCCTGGAATGCGGTCGTGAGCGTGGCAGCTTGCTTGTCTGCAAGCCCAGAGACCTGAAAGTAGAGTGTAGCGTAGTTAAATGCATTCCAAGGAATGGATCCAAATAGTCCCTGTCCAATCAGGCACACGAATGTTGGCTTTCGGAAGTAGCCAAAGAATTTTGCAAACTCATGGGCCACGCCCGTGCACTTCTGACGGCTTTCCTTGTTCCAAGATTTCTTGTGCTTTGCTTCATACATGAAGACCATGATCAGGAAGGATGTAAAAATTGCGAAGGCTCCCACAAGAGCAAATGCCACTCTCCACCCCTCAATCCCCAATATCGTGGCACTGGCCATTGGCGTACCAATCAAGGTGGCAAGCATCATGCCAGCTGTCACACACATCTGCAGGTAACCGTAGATTTTACCGCGCGACAGCTCTGTTGTTGTGTCGGCCACGATTCCAACGCAAACAGGTCTAAGGCTTGCCAGCATTGCCCCGTTAAGACTTCGGATGATGATCATCATGGCCAAGTTCTCGGTCCAACCGAGGGCTATCGTGCAGACACCTTGAAAGAATGCACCGATTGCAAGTAAGGTTTTCCGTCGCATGACCTTCCGGTCTGCCAAGACACCCCATACAGGTCCTGCAGCCGCCTGCAGAACTGCCTGAGCCAGACTCATCTGCGTAACCTGCGCCAATCGCAGATGCAGGTCCTGCTGCAAAGCGAAGGTCACTGCTGGTAGTAGGCCAATGTCAGCACCCTCGATGGCGCTTATCGCACAGAGCTGCCTAGGGCTTCGACTGAAACTCTGCAGAGAAAATGCAGCAAAACCCTCTGGATGGACTGGCTCTGCATCTTGGCGGCATTACCATCATCAATGGTGGCTGTGCATCCTTCGACTCCTGCCCGGGTCCAGCACATACAAGCGAGTGTTGTTTGAGGTTGTTTGTCATGTCTGTTTTCGCAGCGCATTCCACCGTGAACTGTCCCAGCCTCGGAGGAATCAGACGCATCGCTCCTTGTACTCGCTACCTTACCTACCTCCATCGTTGCAGCCCTCCAACGCACCTGTTGTGGCAACTCCGGCGCTGGAGCGCTTGAACCAATCGGCCGCGTGTGAGAACAAGGTTGACCAGCTCACGCTCCTTCTGGGCTTCAACGGCGACAGCAAGTCCAGAAAGCTCAGAAGCATGCCCCACCCCGAGCCTCACGCTGTGCTTGTCCTGTCTCTGCAAGGATAGACAACGTATTCAGAGTACGCCATATCAGCACAATATTGGACTGTTGGACTGCTTGAGGGTCAAAAAGCGATTGAAGCAGATTGTAGCAGCCATGAAATTCCAGAGCAAGTGTGCCCAATCCTTCCAGCAGGGAGTTGCGCTGCCACACCATGCTATGGCGCCAAGGCACACTCACATGAGCAGATTCTGGCTTAACCAGCTCACTGCTTGTCCATCTCTGGCACTTTGCCGCAACACTGTCGGATTTCAACTAGCAATTACACTGCCTGCAAACTGCTTGGCAAGAGCTCCGCAAGATGTTAAAGTGCCAGGTTACCACAATAGCAACAGATTACCTGCTGAGCCGTCCTCAGCTGACGACTTGGGGTTCGCTGCGCTGCTCTCATGACAAAACACTCGCAGCCAGTACACGAGACGAAAGGAGGTGGCGGACCGATGCCGCGTGCTCCCTCTAGCAGCTCTAGCAGGTTGCTGACCATACCTCAGGAACCCGACGGAACTGCGAGATGCCGCGGGCCGCGGCCTACAAAGCCGAGGCCAAAAATGCTTGGCTGAGGTGACAGCCGGGAGTCTTTGCCCCATGTTGGCATCGGCGGTGCTCCTCTGGCCTTGCGTTTTTTTTTCAAACATGTCGCCTGCAAGACCCAATGCTGCCCAGTGCTACATCACAACTACCAAGCGATTGGAAACCGAATGCCACTCAACATTGGGCTCTTGGACTTGCACCGCTCTGATGGCTTCTCGAAAGCTCTTGCCTTGGTCCCCCTTGGTCCCATGTCCCACGATGGCAACGAGACCAACTCTCGCTTATTTGACTTATTTTGTAAGCCACTGCACTTCACTGCGAGATACTTCAGCTGGCAAGGTCTCACGCATGCCGTCGCAGGCCAAGTGCAACCAAAGGTTTCTGGGCAAACTGAGGTTCAGCTTTGTTCTCGCCACCTGTTGTTCAGTGACCTGAGTGGTAAAACGTACAACGAACAGATGCAAGCTTTAGGTTCTTGAAGCCATGCAGGGTTCGTTTGGAAGCTTTGTGGGACCGGGGGGTGAAGGATTTGGGTCGGGGTCGGTTAGGGTCGGTTGGCTGTTTCTTTCCTTTTGCGTTCGGGTTCAGGTTGTTTCGTACATGACCTCTATCTTCGGCTTTTGCGGAGGTGGTGGTGCCGTGTGTGTGTGTGTGTGGGTGTGCTTCGACAAGATTTTGACAGAGGTGAGTTCACATTCGGCTGGACCAACCCCAACAGTGGCAAGTAATTATGCTTTCGGTAACCGTTTCAGAGAAACAGCTATCACATCCGAAGCCCGCTTCCCAACATCCCGTTGAGGAGATTTCGAGGGGTCGAGGGTCAGTAATCCCCTGTGAGCATTTATCTTAGGCTTCCCTAGCCGACATCTTCTCTCAGGGATAGTACGAGCCTACCAGCAAATCAGCTGCTTGGAGCATAGGCTACAGGGCTGCCAACGACCGAACCGCAAAGCAGCGCCAGAATCTTAAGCATTTGTTCATGAGGGGTTTGTGCAAAAGGGGGCCGGGTGCTTGCCCGCAACGCTTAAGAAAAGCGATAAGGCAAGCACAAAAGACGAGCGCATCAGAAACCTGATGCAGCAAGCACATCAACAAAGCCAAAAGCATAAGCCTAATCGACAGGCAGGAGGAAAGCAACAAACTGAAGATGCTAAGTACCACGGAGAAAAACCCAACACGCGTGAACAAAACATTGAGCTGAAGTCTGAGAGCAGGCCGCAAAACACTTGTTTGAGTCCGTGTGCCCTCTGCAAAGCCCCACTGAGCTTAAGACGCGCCTGAGCTGAACGCACCTGAGCTGATCGCTTTGGTGCCAGCCTTGGCACAAGGCAAGGGGCCAGAGAATGATCAAATCTCCTCAAGCGGCCGACTGGCGGTTAGATTCAGATAGAGAGAGACTACGCGCCAACCTACACCATACAAGCAGAATGCCAACTCCTACTTCTGACGGCGGCACAAGACAAACAAGCCAAGTCCTACTGGTGAGGGGCGGACACCGAGACCAAGAACGAGGGTCATGACATGTCATGGCTCTGCAGCACAGCTCTCGAGCTCTGCCATGCGCACTCAGCAGCTCCCAAAGAGGATTGAAAGAATTGCGAGGAGTTGGTGTGAATCCCAATACGCTTTCTGGATGGGACTTACGACAAAAAAGTGCGTCATAGCCCAACCATACATCAACAATGTGGCCTATCCCAATTAACACGTAGGTGTGGGGATGTTGGGGAGAGGATTAGAGGTGGGATACCTGCTTGTGCTACCCAGACACCTGCGCCCGAGCCCTCGGCGAATTTGACCCCTTGTATTTAATTGGGCAAGGCCACATGGATGTTGTTCTAAATTCTTATGCCAAGCCTAAGGCCGTAGGGTTCCCTTGCGCCTCGCCCTTGCGCCGCCTTGCGCCGTGCTAGTGTTTGGCCACGTCGGCAAACATGCCAACTACAAAACGTGGTACCGACAAGGTTTTCTGGGGATTTGTACTACGTACTAGAAGCGATGTTTCCATAAGCTGGCTGGATTGTCACTGTTTCGGTTGGATTGTCGCTGTTTTGAAGTACAGGCTTAGCACCGGAATCGATGTTTCATGACATGTTCAAACCAGTTTTATTGTGTCAGGGCCCATGGCTCCGCATCGGCCACGCGGTCTTGCGCCAGCCTTGCGCTTCCCTTGCGCCACCCTTGCGACGCGAGTCCCGCTGACAAACTAAACTCTAGACTCCAGACCCACTGACCTCTAACCTTGAACACATCCTATACGAAACCATCCTAAACCCTAAGCCCCAGACCCTCAACCCCTAAACCCTAACCTCTAACCCTAACACCTAAACTTGCAGACCCCTGACCCTGTGCACGACAAGGCGGCGGCCTGATCTTAGAGTTTTGGGCTCCTGGCCCTTGCGCTCGCCCTTGCGCCCCCTTGCGCCGTGCTGGTTTTTGGCGCCATAGTTACACCAAGGCAACATACGTGTGGCCGGCCCAATTAAACTCGAAGAGGCGGGGGTTTAGAACAACGCCCACATGTTGTTGATGTATGGTTGCGGTGGCGAAGGCCTCGCCCTTCTCCTAGCCTGTCCTGAGCCTCCCTGCCCCCCGAAGAACATCCTCAGGACATAAGTGCTGATTCTGAGATTCTTGCCTTGCCGCCTCCCCGACACCTCAAGCTGTCGTGGCAGAGTACCCATTTAAGCAAATATCGAAGACAGTGGAGAAAATCTGGAACAGAAGACAATGCCTGCCATGAGAAGATTGCATCGCCGTTCCCGCCACATTGCCACCACTGCCACCCTGTCCGGGACCAGCACTCTCCAAACCAAGAAAAATATCGTGTTTTCAAACATTTCCAAACTCCATGGCCTCCATGAAAACGCGCTGCTTCTCGGCACGGAAAATCGGCCGCCGCTTCTGTGAATGCAGGGCTTGCCGGAAGCGCGCTGGCTTGCAAAGACGTTGCACGGTCTTGCGCCTTGTTCACTTTCAAGCAGATGGCCTGACAAACTCCACAACGCGCACGTGGTTTGAGGGCATGCTCTTCTGCTTCATTGATAGCCTGGTGCTTCGCAATACGATCGGCATTAAATGTGCGGCCGCAAACCTGGCCTGCAACTGGCATGTCTGCTGCTTGCTTGTGGAATCTTCACCCGGGCCGTATGTTCAGCACAGTCTGCATATCGCCAAACGGCGGCTCGGCGCCAGGCATGGCAGGAGACAGTCCTGAAGGTCAGCACCTTGCAGGACGCACGGTTGCAGAATGCACGGCATCGATATCATCGGACCAACTTTGCACGCGCATGCGAAAACCAGTGGCACTGTGCGAGTCCATCGATGCTCGTCGCCCCGGCATCTGCGGCATGGCTCGCGGCATGGCTGCAAGCGGACACACTCGTGAAATCTCGTGAATGTACTTTGCTTCCGCCTCATTCAGTGGCTCATCCCTTCCCGCGCACCGTGCCTGGCTGGTACGTCATGTCATGTGAACTCCTTTGCACGCAGTCTAGGTCTCAAGTCAAAAAGTGCACTGAAGTGCAGCAATTGAGGCCCCCACTCCTTGAGAGCTCCCAGTTTGCGAGATAAGGCCTTGAAACATAGGCCATCACAGACTTAGAGAATTCCTTCCAAGTGCACAGCATTGATGCACAAGCTGCACAAGCGGAATGCACGGAATGCACTCTGAGCTCTGCTGGCACTTCAAGCTCCGAGCGTCCACTCGCTGCCGTGGCAGTGCCTCTCCTGTCCTTCTCAATTGTCTTCTCATGTTCTGTTCGTGTTCTGTTCATGTTCCACTTCAGGAACATCGACCACTTCAAGAAAATCCCGAGTCCTGCTGGAGCCTTTGTCTCAGCTGGGCACTTTGACCCGTTGGCTTGGCACCCGCCGCCTTCCTTGGTCATGCGGGCGGTGACGGGCGGTGATGCTGTGTGACGGCATGTGACAATTCTTGATAAGTAGTTCCTTTCAATCGTTTCAATCGTCTTCGCTCCAAGGATCGCAACTTTGCACACAAGGATGTGCGAGTCCATTTCGAGCTGTGTCACAGGCACGCTGCAGAACGGGCATTCATGCATCTGAGTCTGGACCTCGGAACAAAGCATGGGACCTGGGGGAGGCCGTAGATTGATCAAAGCCCCGATTGGCTCCACAACATCTGGCCTTCTTCTGGCAGCTCTTTCTGTGGTGCGGCAGCGAGTGTGAAAAGAACTTGCCGCCGCATAAGTCACAGAACCTCGAGCTGTCCCAAGATCCACACGATCCAACTTGTTTTTCATGTTTTTAATGTCGGGTGCTCTGATGGGCCCTGGCAAATTCCTCCCCACCTCACCTCAGACCTTCTATGCAATCATCACATACACGAAACTGCAATACCCCTAAGTCCCACAGAATCACTCCTGTCAACGGAACTTGGCAGTACTTGCAAAGTCTTTGCAAATCATTCACAGCTTGTTTGTCAAAACGGACTCGGGCTCCCACACTTCGCGGGGCGGCATGTGGCTTGCTCCGAAACAGGAGCTGCAGCAACAGTAAACCCCATGGAATGCACGTATGCGTTGCAACAAATATAGCCTCACAAGGCTGCACAACACTTATAGCATGCACATACGAATAGGATACGGATAGGAGCTCTGCGCGTCCCGATCCAAGACATCGAACAAGCCCCTCACTAATCTGAACTTATATGCCGTGCTTCTCTCAGATGATAACGTGATAGACCTTGTCCACCGAATGCTTCAAAATGCTGCAGCAGGCAAAGATGAAGAATCGAGTGCTGGCTGAGAACGCCGGCAGGTGGAAGCACGGTGGAGGCACTATTTCCTTGCTATTGGTGAACCATGCCGCTATTAGTCTTAATGCCTTGCCATGCGGAAGGAGGTGAGACTAAGAAGAGCTAATGACGACACTCAGTGGAGGACAAGTCGTGGCTTCTCTGTGGAGCAGCCAGTCTCTCATGAGACTTTCAGAAGAACCTCTCTCGTGTACGGCATGCGCACCAGTACAGCGAGCAGCAGGGCAAAAGCAGAAACTGCATGACAAGACTATGTGCCCTTGACAAGCAATCAGAACCATGTGCTGAAACGACACCTGGCTTGTATCACGGCTAGCAACTGAAGAAGTTCATGAACATTCATGAACATTACTCGGCTGGCCAGCGCAAACATGTACTCGGTGTAATGAGCGCCAACAACCCGTCAGCAATGGCTGCGCACACAATGGTGCTGTACACTATCTCCACGGCAATTGCGGGTCGTAGCTCAAAGTTGCTAGTAGCTCCACGGGAAACTCCTGTTAAAACCGTCGCCTACAGCTCCGCCAGGTGCAGCTCGTCCAGTGCCAGCGGTGCCAGCTTCGAAGGCGCCTACAACAGCAAGAGCGTAGTGCCAAGAACAAGACTGGCCGGTGCTTGACTATGCTGAACCCCGTGATGTCCAGTAATGTCCAGTCAAAATCCCAGTTGCGCGCAGAATCATTGCATGCTAAACGGCAAAACGACAGAGTAAATTGAGCAGCATGCCTGTCTGCACGGGCGACCCGAAAATGATGCCTGAGACAAGGGAGACAGGATGACAAACTAACCATAACCAGCCGAAACTTCCTTCAACATGCGATCACGAACAATAAGCAACTGCAAGCAATTGCAAGCAGAACGGGAATGTCTTTTTGCCTGGATTAAACATCGTGTCCATCGATTTGCGGGTCTTACTACGCGCAAAGCGGCAATCTCATGCAAAACCGGTTTCTGAGTCAGGGTCGGTCATTGATGCCACATGCGTGTGGAAATCTGACAGCTCGCCCGGCAAGATCACCTCTCCATGCATCACAAACGGGCACATACCAAAAGCAGCTCTCCATGCATCACAAACGGGGGGCATACCAAAAGCAGCATTGTTTGTCATGGCTAGATTATGAACTTGAAGGATTGTGGACCATTTTTGTAGCGGAGGCGACTTTTTGCCTGGAGGTAGCTGTGTTACTTTATGCAGAACCGACTGTAGCCTGCCATGGCCGTTGACTACAGCAGAACTCCGAGAGGCAAGAGGAAATCCCCTCTTTTTCAAGGTATTAAACACTCATTAGTAAAAGCGGTGGTAGGGCTGGGCTGGGTGCGGCTGATGTGCAAATCATGGCTACCATGGACAACGAGAACTGTTCAACGCACAAAAAAAACAGAACCCGACCGATTCATTGACCGATCGCAGATTGCTGCTGATTCTACCGCCATAACCCCCGCTGGCAACACAGGGAAGCAGTCTTTCGAATCCTTCGGCCATCCAGACACAAACACGAACACAACCACAAACACAAACAACAAACAAACAAACAAACAAACAAACAAACAAACAAACAAACAAACAAGCAAACAAACAAGCAAACAAACAAACAAACAAACAAACAAACACACTCTCACACACACACACACACACAAGCAAAACAAAATTATTTTACTTCGAACTCCAGGGAGACTCTGGTTGGGCGCTCCACGGAGTCTGGGGCTGGGCACTCCAGGTGGGCACTCCAGGGAGACTCTACTACTGGGCAGTTCGGGGCGGGGCACTCCGGGAGACTCTGGAGCTGGGCACTTGGGAACACTCTGGGGTTGGGCAATCCAGGAAGAGAACTCCAAGGAGACTCTGGTTAGGAAAACTCTGGGACTCCGGAGACACTCTGGTGGGGGGCACTCTGGGTTGGACCTCCAGAAACACTCTGGGGTTGGGCATTCCAGGCAGAGAGTGTTGGGCACTATTGGGGGACTCTGGGGCTGGGCTCGGGGACTTTGGGGTCTTGGGCACTCCAGGAAGACTCTGGTGGGCACTCCGGGGACACTGGGGTTGGGCACTCCACACACTCTGGGGTTGGGCACTCCAAAAAGCACTTCAGGGGTTGGGCACTCCAGGCACACTCTAGAGTTGAGCACTCCAGGGACACTTTGCGGTTGGGCACTCCAGGGATGGGCGAGGAGAAGAGTTCCGGGCGAGGAGAAGAGTTGAGTTTAAAATCTAACAACCCCACACCGAGGGTGGGGAACAAAAAAGCAAACAAACAAACAAAGAGAAAGAGAAAGAGACGGAGACAGGATGACACAGGCACACTTGTGGGGGGTGTACGGACTATGTGAACGAGCGACCTTCACTCCTGGCGCCTTGCCTCTCCATACTTGTGCCGCCTCTTAGTGCTGGTAGGGAGGCCGCTGTCGTTGCCTTCAGCAAGCATCAAAAAAGATGGATCCGCACAGATTCGAGCGGCCGGCAAGGCTCATCGCAGTCTCTGCTTTAGTGGAACATCAAAGCTGAAAAAGGTGCAGGTTTCAGATAGTTTAATGCATGCACAGATGCTCGCAAAGAGGTTCGGTCGTGATGGCTCAAGATTCCCTCGTAGCACAGGACTTAAGTGTATGACGGCACAATAGCGCAAGCCGGCGCAAGCAGATAACAATGTTCCCAACATTGCCAAGCTGTTCCCAATGCAGGCCTCGGTCGCTGCATGCAGGGTACAAAGGGAGTAGCTGCACAGCTCCATCCTGTCAAGGCCGCTCACAACGCATCCGTGCCAAAGACGGTAGTTAGACGGGTAGGCGCGGTCAGGCGCGGTTAGGCGCAGCTCGTGATGCTTGGCAGACGCATTCTTCTGGAACCAACGCCAGGGCTAGTAACGATGTGCATGCTATGTTCTTCGATTTCTGCTGAATGGAACGTGGAACCAGGCTGGATTCTTGAAATTCAGGATGGTGCTCTAGCATCTCTTCCATCTGGCACATGGCTGCACTGCTTGTGGTGGTACACGTACGGTGCTTGTTGGTACACGTACGGTGCTTGTTGATTGAAACCCATTAACTTGAACACTCACTGCAAAGCGACAGCCAGAGTGGAACATCGGAGAATTGCCAAATGCCCTCGGCACAGCCAGTTTGAGGTATGCAATGCATAGACCTGCCAGCCTCTGGCCAGCGCTCTTGCAGCATTACCAGCTCCCCGGATTTGAGGCCCGGCACGTCGGCCTAGCAAGACCACTTGACTCCCAGCCTGGAGCACCTTCGCGACCGCTAAATGACACAGCCAATTGCACCTCCTGCAGCTCTTCGACGCACGGCTTCGTCGAACTCCCCCCGTGTGGACCTTGTGCCACAGTGTTTTGTTCAAGGCCTCGACACCTGTTACTGACGGCTCATGTTGTTTTCCTCGCTCTGCCGGGACATCTAGATCTTGTTACACTAAGCTGTCCTGCATGCTGCATTCCACTCGGATGCCGGCCCATCACAACAGGCGAGCCGGAGGAGGGAACAACGCAAGCCTCTGTTTCGAGAGCAGTTGAAAGTTCAAAGGCTTTTGGCCCCAAAAGCAAAAGCAAGAGCGACTTCTCCAAACTCGAGAGCACGCTCCTTGCCTGGGGAGTGCAGAACATCGCTTGACACACCGGGAAGCTGCCGGCCGGGACGATTGGCAAGTCCATGACTATCTCGACGAGGCACTCTGCCTGGACGCAGCCACTTTCAACCGACCATTTGTTCTAACTGGCCCAAGAAGCAGAATTCATCAGAATTCTATCGAACTGCAACAGAATGAATGTAGCTGCCTCGGCCTCATGAGTCCTGCACACGCTTAGATTCCTTAGATGTAGTCCGCAGCATCAACAGCACGGCCGAGCAAAACTCAACTCTTCAGAATAACGCGAGGATTCCCACCCACTCTCCTACACGAAGCTGAATGCGCACCACGATACGGAAACTCTTCTGGAACGGCCTTTGCCAACTGGATGCCTGGATCGAAAAAACGTCTCTGACTGCACAGGCATGGACGGTCCCAAAAAGCAAGGGCCTCAAATCCGCTCAAAACCCCGCGAAAACCGAGCCTGCCGCATGCTGCACGGGTTCTGAACTCCTGGGCCTTGAGTCTAGAGATGGCATTGGAGTTTGGGCAAAAAGTGTTGCGTGGCATGGCAAAACAGGACGCTAACAGAACCAATGCCTCTAAGCGCCTTGCAGTGGTGGTGGCAGTGGCATTTGGGGCAACTCGCTGAGAGCAATGGCATCATTTGCCAAGGTCTTCCAGGCAATCTCCATTGCCTCCACAGAGCTGAAGGCTTCAAAAGGGCTTTTGAAGTAGGCTCATGCTCGTGCCATTTCACATTCTCAGCCTGCCTCCAGCCGATCATCCGGAACTGCCAGCTGGCCACCCTTCAGGTCAGGCGCCAGAGGCTTGGACCACGGTTCCAAAGATGTGCCGTCCAACTTGTCCAGCTTGTCTGACTCGGCCATGGAGTAAAACTCCTTCTGCCCAGTATCAAAGACATAATCCAGAAATGGCTGCTTCAGCGGTCCATCCCGAACAATGAGGTCACCGCTCAGGTCCATGACCTGACCTTCTGCAGCTCTCACTTCATCTATGGATGGAGTTTTGGAGACACATTCCTCCTCTTCTCTGGTTGCCTCTCGCATTCGCAGGGACACCGTCACTTCCCGGCCATTGATGCGATATCGTCCTTGCGCTTTTCTGATGATCGTGTTGTCCTCGAGAATCGCAGGCCATTTTTCGCAAAGCTGCTGGATTTCTTGATCAATGATGTCGCGCGAATGGAAACTCCTTGCAGCCAAGCACAATCAAAAACACGTCGAGCATTGACAACATAGCAACGTATATCAACCCTGCTTCATAACGTCCGGAGTGAGCATGCTCCCATGAACAAGTTCATATGCCTGTGTTGCATCAGCTGCAGGATGGGCTGCAGCCTGCAGCAATGACTGTATTCGAGCAGACATACGCGGCAGATGCAATGGAAGGTTAACTTTCCGTTAATGCTAGCGAGGGCGGCGTGGCGGAAGGAACTTGAACCGGAACTAGATAGAGTAAGCCTGCAAGTAAAATGCAGTAGCGGCCGACCTGTGCTCTCTGCTCTTGCCATAGCCAGAACGACCTGAGAACTCAACACCCACTGCTTGCCAATGCAACGTATTGCAACGTCAATTAACCAGCATGCCCAGTCTTTCTTGATACAGCACAGAGCATCAGGCTCCTGACTTGCCCAGCACAGCTTGAGACAGTTAGCCCATGCCGCCAGCTAATGAAATGATTCAATACACACGGACCAATGTCTCGGGATGAAAGGACTATCTGTGACAGTGCACGTCGTGAATGAGTGTTTCTGCGTTGAATTGCCTGAAGGTCCTGATGTTCCCATGCGCCGACATGCTATCTGCCAGTTGAGGATACTTGAGGCATATACATGCTGCAAAGTCATGAAGCTTACCTGGGCCAAAGACAGCAGACCATGCCATTTTCATCATGCGAATGGCGAATGCTAGGACAGTGGGCAGGCCAGCAGGTTCCGCTTTTGACTGTGGAACAATACGCCTTGGAAACATACAGTGTTGGCCATGGCTTATGGCTCCAGCTGCCTCAGACAGAGCAACACAAACACTCAAAAGATCTCACAAGATCCCACACGCAGTGCGATCGGCTGAGGGCACCACGTGAGATTTAGATCACAGCAGTGGTGCCCTCGTCATCGTCGTCAACCGCAACAGCGCCATCCTGAAGGGGGCAGCTTTGCAAGTTCGGGGGCATGCTCGGTCTGAACCGTCAATAAAATCCTCAACCGGACCAGCTCACGGACTTCTCACGAGTTCTGACACTTTCTCCCGGACTCGCCTTGAGCGCCGGCGGCTCTTCGGAGCGCTTTGGGCGGCGGCTCGCGCTCCGCGAGCGGCGGCTGCGCGAGCGCTCCCGGCGCTTGCGGTCCCGGCTGCGGCTGCGGCTCTTCCGCTTCCTGGCACTCTGTCGTGCAACACTGCCGCAACGTCGCGGCGCATGTTGCAGCATGTTGATGCATGTTGCGGCAACGATGCGGAAACTATGCTCTTGGCCTGTCTCTCTCTCGGCTTCTTTCTCTGCCTTTCCTGTCCTTCTCCCTGCGCGGCAATCAGGTGACACATTCCGTCGCCAACCATGCAAGCCCTGCAATTGAACGCAACTTATCCTGTCTCGTTCCCTGTCGTCGTTTCGTCTCGAGCCACCACCGGAAACCTTGGCAGCTTAGCATGTCTCCTGGCACATGACAATATGATGTGCCTTTGTAGAATGACCCCAATGATTTGAATAATTAGCTGATGATGGCTGATAGGTCAAATTCAACCTTGGGTCTCGGCTCGATCCATGATCAGAGCACGAGACCCGCCACCATCGAGGTCACGTCTTCCACCTTTGCCACCTCCAGCGCGGTCATCGCGGCCCTGTCGGCAAATGCAGGCGCAACAGTCTCACCATGCTCCGAGACAGGGAGACTAAGACTCAGGCTGACCCTCCTTTTCCTCCTCCCCGCATCTGAGCCCGCATGAGGTCACGGGACCTCAGAAGGGTCTGGACAGTCCACGTGTCATGGATGTCATGGTCAAGCCACGAGCATGAAGATGAATGAAGAAGAGAAGCGTCATCAAGTTGCTGCCCCGCGCTTCGAAATCACGTGCATCCTGTGTCCTGCACTTGGTCTGCTGGGCTCGCGCTACTAGTACCAGTAGTAGAAAAAGAAAGAAAAGTAACAAAAAAAAGCACCAAAAAAGCGGGGCAGATTGACCTGGCCGGGGCCATTCGCCACTCGGCTTTGAGGCTGACGCCATCCTCACATTTGGTAACGAGGCTGCGCCAGATTGCTGGCCCTGCCACTCCACAAAACCTGAGTGATCCGCCAGAAACAACTGGCCTGCCTGAGAAGCCTCGAAGGCGGCCTCACAAGTGAGTTGCCGTTCACGTGTGAAAGTGCTGAACCCAGCTCAATCTATTGACTACCTGTGCAGTTCACCAATCCCTGAGCAGCTTCCCCATGACTTGAAGAACGGGCGCCTGCGCTGCCTTGGTGGTCCCAAACTTGACATACCTTGCACCATCTTGCACTCATGGTGATGCTCTCAGCTGCAGTCCATGTTCAATGTATGCTCAGTGTGCAATCATGTGCAATCACAGGGTACGCTCGCTCATTGCTTCGATGCTCCAGGGGAGGTATCCAGCAGGCCGTCACCTCGTGTGCTCTGATTCGCTGAAACATCACGAACAGCAGAACATCTGAATCTCCAGAAGCTGCGGAAGCTGCATCCGGATAAAATCTCACGCCTCGCCGAATTGCTGGAAAAGCATCTTCAGCGCAATGCGGCTGCTGTACCTTCAGATGGAACTTCGCGCCCACAAGAAAGGACTCGTGAAAATCCACAGATTCGCATAGGCTGGTCACTCGGTGATGCCCTGCACAAGGTCTAAAGCTGTCGTCCCTGCAGGCATTGTCGCAGGCCTTGACAGGAACAACAGGACCTGACACCCCCTAGCCTGGCTCAAGATGGTATTGCATGTCATTGCAAATTGAAGCACGGCAAGGGCCTCACACAAGGTCCACGCATTGGAAACAGCATTGAGAGAGTAGTCTCAACACCCTACCTAACTCACCCGAACTCACCCAACCTCACCCAGCCCCACCAGCACTGCAGAAGGCCAGGCAGGCTCCAATGCCCCTCTCAAGGCACGATAACAAGACTTGGAACCTGGCACTTGGGCTACAGCAAGACCAGGGGCACATGAAGCTGCGCATGCATGTAAAGATGATGTAAAGTGCTTCTGCGCACAGAAACAGAGCGGTGAGATAGCAAGTGCTGGCTGAGGCTGATCGAAGGGTACTGTAGTGTTGCAGCTTTGACGGGTCGCAGGTTGTATTTCAGCTGCTTTGCGCTGATGCAACCTACGGCATAGTGCGCTCATGGAACTGATCAACTTCTTGAGCCAGACAGGTTATTCAAGGCGTGCAGGCTGCGCGTATCGATGCAGCACAAAAGCGACCGGATAAAATGCACATCCGTCGCTTGGTGTAGGTAGACTGTCCAGGAGTCAACGGCACGTGTCGACTCTCAACAGCTAATTGAAGTTTTGAAGCAATGCCAACATCTGAGAATCCCTTGATCTTCAGAAGTGGAGCCCGCTACAGGGTTCGCTTGACTCCAAAGGGGAGGCTGGCCCAGGCTGTACAGGAGCCACACGCCCTTGAAATGAGCCGAAATGAGTCGCACGAGGCAGGAATCCGAAGAACCCGACAGCTGCCACAAAACATTTACAAACTTGATCACATGAGCTCACATTGGCGATAGACCACGGAAAGTCATGAAAGCTGCTCCTTCGCTCCGTGATCAACGCCTGCGCTCGAGGCAATCGACGCATGCTGCGCTGTATGTATACTCACGTGCATCTTCCTGTCTTATCTGCTGCAGGCTTAAACGGCTTGTAGGGGCTGCCGCATCCGTCAGCTGAGGCTGGTACTGCGTGGACTCGTAATCCTGCGGCATGTACCAGCCGGCATCCTCCAACTGTTCATCACACAGCAATACTGAGCATTATGAATCACCACAGATGTACCATGGCGCACTGTGAGCATGGTGAGGCGCCTTTGTTGCAAACCAAGTATGTTCAATGATGGATGACCAGACGAGCCCTAGTCCTACATGTGAACCATCGTGGTGTAACACTGATGTATGATGATGTATGTCGAAGAAAACTATCGTTGCCAACACCGATGAAGTGCACGAGGTCGACAAACAGCATTGACATTGAAGACCCCGAAACATTACGAAGATGATCGAGAACACAGCTGCTCAGCTGGTGACCAGCATGGTAATTCACATAATTACCCAGCGTCCCAGCCGTTCTTCAACCTCATGCAACGTCTTGGGTAAGTCAAGATCCTCGGCAGGTGGTAGCGCATCGTGTCCACACAAATCGTCAGCGATCTTCTCTGCCAACATGATGGTAGGCCTTGCCGGAAGTTGCTCAGCTAATTACCCTAGGCGATGCACATCTTGAAGGCGTTCTGCCAATCAGCCACGCAAGCACAAACTGGTGACTGGGTTCTCTTGGCAGCAGCCGTGGAGATCAGATGAGAGCAACGAATCTTACTGGTGGCCTATGGCAGTCGGGTTCTTACCACTGCTACGCAGCTGTCAACTTTGCTGAGGTTGCTGCGCGTTCAAGTTTCCACTCGTCATAGACGGCATGATGGATGCATCCACTACGCGCAGCTTCTCCAAACCTTTCACCCGGCCCTTCGCGTCCACAACTTTGCCCATTGCACAAGTGCACGAGAGGTGATATCCTGCATGTGCACGATTGCAGAAAGCACACCTCCTGCATGTTCTTGCCTTATTACTGATAACGCAACTACACTGATCTAGCATCCTGATCCACTCACCAGCCTGAATGACTTGAGGCGCGGATCCAGGCGTCGACGGCATCATCGGAGGCCAAGTCGAGAGAATCGAGAGGTGCAAAGCGCTTGAGCTTGAAGTCCTTTAGTGCCTCTTGCTCCATAATCTCAATTGTCAGACGCAATCCAGCTCGCATGTCTTTCCGATCTTCCTCTGTCGCAAGAAAGTTTGGATCGATATGTGGCGCATCCAAAATGCTAGCACTGGTGAGCTGAACTGTGCCGCGGCTGGTCGGTCGCATCGTGCCGCAGTGGGCCTGGTAACCGTGCTCGGGCAAAAAGTCCAACTGACCAGTGACGATTCCAGGGATGAAGTGGTACTGCAGATCGGGATGGGGCATCCCGGCACGCGATCTGATGAAGCCACCTACCTCAAAATGGTTGGAAGATCCAATGCCAGCTCCGGCCAGCATCCAAACAATTCCGGCATGAATTGCTCTCCAGGGCTGGCGATACGCGTACTTCGATAGCAGACCTAGTCCAGGAAAAGTCGCGGCCCAGGGATACAGTGAGCACGGAAAACGGCTCCTCAGTGCGGCGGGAGTTTCCGAGGAGGGTTTTCCGAGGATGCTCTCAAATATGCTCTGAAGAACCTTTCGAAAGACCAAGGAGCAAGTATTGAACGTAGAACTCCAGATGGTCTTGTAGATTCTGGCCCACGGCCGGTTGGTCAAGGAGAACTGGGAGTCCCAGCTTCTCGAGCTCCTTCACAAGGATCGCCCACTAACATGAAACTAGTAACCGTTACTAACGGCTTCCACAGTCCACGTACGCAGAAGCCTCCACAGGAACAAACAGAACGAAAAGATGGGAGTGCGTCGGCTTTCTCATCGCAGGACGTTGTAGAGTCGATCGACTGCAACCGCAACAAGAAACACACAAACCACACCGCGCTGCAAGCGCCGTTAGCACAACAAGGCCCAGGAGAAACTAAACACTGCTTGGATTTGGTCCAGGGCACCTCAAACTTCCAACCCTGGACCCTATAAACCCTGGCCTGCAAAGAGGCCAACTACAGTGACTACAGCGTGGGCATATTTAGGACAGCTTTGGCTCAGAAGCTGAGACCTCTGAATCTTGGGATCGTGCCGAAACCCAACCTGTGCCAAGGTTCTTTTCAATCGATGAGGACCAGGCCTTGAGGAATAGCTTATTCAGAGACCAAAGACGCACAACATGAAAAACATGAACCCTGAAAGTCGGAAGAGCGATCCCTGCAAAATTGAACAGCCATGAAGCGTCGCCGAACCTGCAGTTTTGCTTCTGTAGAGTCCTGCTATAAGCCGAAGGCGCTTTTGCAAACTTTGCATCTGGTCTCCTTGATACGCTAAAAAACAAGTGAGAACAGACCTTGAAGATCGGTGTGGTTCCAGGAGTTCCGAAATTCTTGCGACACCCTCGCGAAGCCTTGGTGGTGCGCCCACCTACAAACGGCGATCCGGGGCGATCTGCAGTTCCTTCATCGGAAACTCCAACGTACCGGCTCTTGCAGCTTTTCCCGGCTGCAACAGGAAAAACCCTCAACGAGCGATATCGAGCGACGCTGGGCTCCAGTGTGTCGCTACATGCTTCGGATGGCAGCGCCAGTCAACAGCCGTCGAAAGTGGTTCGTAGCCTGTTGACATGGCATCGTCTGAAAAGTTCGCTCGAGCAACTCGCTTCTTTTTGTAGCTGAAGGGCAACCGGCCGGAAGCCGTCCACACATGCACATAACGTTCCGAGTCCCCTTCTGACAGTGTATGCGATTGCTTTCTTGAAACTGGACATTCTGTGAGGTTTGAGAGGTTAGCATGCCCGAGCAACGCCTTGGCGTTCCCAATGCCACTCATCATCAGAAGCTGAGGTGAGCCGACAGCACCTCAAGACTTCAACATCAATTTCCATCAACAGCGAAGCGAGAGCATTCAGGCTGGTACCTGCCGATAGAACGACCTCCTCGCGAGCAAAGTGCTTCTGCACAACTCCGGAGGACTCACTGTGGAAGCCACCACCTCTGGACCCCCAAACAAAAGACTCGAAAATCGGTTCGGGAACATTCGGGAAAAAAGCAGACAATGTGCGAAAAAAATGCTTTCCGCGGAGTGCTAGTTGGACATCTTTGGCCTGGCTTTGGCTTCGGAGAGGGAACAGTTTCCACGCCAGTGACTCTGTTGCCTTCGAAGAGAAGGCGCACAGCCATCTGGTTGGTGATCACCTTCCAACTTCCAAATCTTCCAACAGGACGAATTTCGCAAAGAGCGCCGCTCACGTGATCCAACACTTCCACAAGCGGAGCCTTCAGCCGTTTACCGGCAGCCTCGTCCTGCTGAGCAGCTCATGACATTTCGACATGACCTAGTCTTCGCAAGACTTGCAAACGCAAGACAAGCTCAACTTTGCTGCCGCTTCCTCTGCGCTTTTAGGATACATCAGCGGTCTGAGATAGCACTCCCACGTACTTGCTCGTTTACCATCGGGCCTTGTCTGCAGCTCTGCAGAAGGCCGGCAGCTTCCGACATGCGAACATAGCACAAAACTGCACAGAATGTCTAAGTGCGAGGCGTAACTGTCATGTCCATCTGCCCAAACCCTTCCTGCTGGAACCCATTCATATCTTCGGTCCTGGGAATCGAGGGATCATTGCTTACACTTGGCCCACAGTTTGTCAAATTGCAGCAGTGCAGAGGTCCTTGGATATCCGGCCTTTGCCAACACACACGACAGATGCAACTCAACTGGATCGGTTGCATTCCACAGGCACCTGCTCGCCCGCGGCAACAAAGGCCTCGTTGATGGCCTTGACAGCTGGCGTTCGCCGCCGAGTCACTGCAAGAGGTCCAGAACCTGGCCAGGACGACAGTACCAGTGCATCTGTGCACAGGATTGCACAGGGCAACTCCGATACCTAACGAAGAGAAAGATATCTGCCTCCGCGGTATACAGACTCGCCCTCTTGATGACTCTGCGCTTTGCGATAATATGGCAGGATGTTCCTCGCACGCCACGAACGCATACACGACCATGCTGCACACCTACACACACACAACAAAAAGAACATGCACACACACACACACACTCTCACACACTCTCACACACACTCTCACTCACTCACTCACACACTCACACACAGAGACAGCTTCAGGTTCGTGCTGACAGCAGCAGGCTTTCAGACTAAAGTCCTGTAGGACCAGGCTTCACCACCCTCACCGATTTCCTGCGCCCAGCGCTCGTAATCCAGGGCGTGTCCTCGCCTCGTGCCGAAGTACATGGAAGTGGCCACTGCGCGAACAAAAGCGACCCTACACATAACTCCATTATTAGAATTCTTTTATACTTCATCAACGCTAATTTGCTAATCATTCCTGTCAAGGCGCACGTAGGCCATGGCATTGAGGCTAGAGGACCCACCCAGAGCCCGGCCACGCGGCTGGTGCAAACGCCGACCATCCATGTGACGTTGGGGCACTGTGTAAAAGTCCCAGTTATACTTGGCCTCAGACACAGAGTGATACCAATGCCAAAGCCTCAAGGGCAAAACCACAAGTAACAGTCTCTTGAGTTCGAGTCACCCCCACTCTTCCCTCATCGAAAAACGTCGAAAAGGCTTTCAGCCACGGTTCCACAGAAGGCCGGTGGCGAGAGACTCGTGATGGGGAGGAGGCGGAGGAAGATGGGTAACGGATTATAAGGGACAAGAGAACAAAATAGCACAACAAGCTCGTCACTTAGGTACGCCAAGCATCATCAGCCAGGTTGAAAGTCAAGGCAGCAGGCATATTGACTTTCCACCAATCCCATTGCCCGTGATGACTGCGACCGTTCTCGATGAGGAGTACCTTGGCTGTGGCTTTGAGCTTGATGAGCGTCCAGTCACAGCTGCGAACTTTGTATTGACTTTGTACTAGCTTTGTATTAACTTTAATAAGTTTTAAGGCTTTTAAGGCATGGTGCAGCAATGTGCAGCGATGTACAAAATATTTCAACATGCCAAGGCAAGGAGCTTTGGCACCTGCATCCTTCACAAGACGATGTGCCAGAACTGCACCAGCAGAACCGGCACCAACGATCACGTAGTCAAAGGCCTCTTGGCCTCAAGGATTCCCCTATTCCGAAATTCAAGTCGTGCACGCGGTTTTCGAATGTTTGTGAGCTGGCACATTCTAGCAGGTCAGAGGAAGATGACACCAGCTCCAGGCTCCAACAGCTCTCTGCCTTCTGAGGTCACTGCTCCCGGCATCACTTCCAGAGATCGCGCTCGCTGCGCGGCTCTGCCAGCTCTGCCAACTCTGCCCCGAGCTTCTTGCGGAGCGGCTCGCATAACGACTCGCGGCGCGGATGGACAACATGTGCACCGCTTGATTGGACTGGGGCGTTCAGCACACAATTGTGAATCCGGCTTGATCATGTTCAGCAAGCTGGCATGTTTTTTCTGCTGATTCTGCTTGGCTTGTTCCTTGAAGCTGGCAGATCGGAGTAAAAGCCCGCAACTGCAAATACTTCAGAAAGCTGTATTCATAAGTCCGTAATAGGCCTAGCAGGCACTCCATAACTTTCCGTAACCCCTCGCCCCGAACCCACCGTCCGAGACCCTTGAGCGACGGAGCTTGCTCCGATCCCGAATGTCCCATTACCACGAAGAATCCCGTGCCAACAAAGGCAACGCACGCATGGCCAACAATCCGACGAGTCTAGGTCACCCTATCCTACGAATGATGCGTGATGCTAGGGTGGAGGGTATCCTGAAACACCCTAGAAAGGACCTTGGTAGCCAGGAAACAGAAACATTAAAAGGAACCTGTTTTCAGCCGGACTCAGAACTGCACCCACCCTAACTAAAGCCCAACCCAAACAGGGCCCAAATGAGGCTTATTTGAGGATTGTTTGGGACTTTTGGGCAGGGGGACACTTGCAGGACTTGGTAGGACGAAGACCTACGAAGTCAGCTTCAGGCGCAACTAGTTTCTGGTCGTTGCCCTGGATAACTTACACGGCTGCACTTTTCTTAATTTGACTGCCCGAGCATCCCCCTTGCTTTGGACAGTGACCTCAGCCTGCCACGGTCACGGTGTAATTGAATTCATACGAATACCACCGATAGCTCTGTGTGAGTGTTTACAAAATAACAACGCGAACTTAGTGCTGGCAGACGGAGACGTTCACATGCAGCCTCAATGGGCAACTGGCAACGGCCCTTCAACGCTGTACAGAAAGCGCTTGCCAAATTGGTTCCACCAATGGTTTCATGATTATCCCAACATCAGTCGGGATGTCAGCTAGACTCTAGAGTGAAACCTTTTTCACGCAAGCTTGGCATCCAAGTCTGGAAGCAATCCAGATAGTAAAGCCCAAGGGTTTTTAACATGTCTGCATGTGAAGTAGATTTCGTTTGCAACCCGCGTGTTTAACCTCCAGGCCAAGGCTTAGGCTTAAAGCCCAATACATCAAGAGATCAAAGGGAGTCTGTCTGCAGTGCCAGGTCCCGGTATCTCCAGCGGTGCTGCAACACCACGCCGGTTAAGTCAGACATCTAGGCTGCATAGCACTCAACTAACAGCCTCGAAGCTGTGCCACATGTCACTTGCCCTCAGGGGCATCCACAATTCCACCTGGCTGGCTTGTAGGCAATGTAGGCAACCACATGCGCACTACAGCCTCTCGCACACAGCCTGCATCGATCGCGAACATGGCCTCGCCTTCTGGCAACGAGGGCCTCGATCCATGAACGGCATCTGGCTTGAATGAAGCGTACAAACAAGATTCATGCAGGATGATCGAGGTCAAAGCGAATCGTAGATCTTGCAGATCCGAGTCTCTCCCTTTACCAGAAGCACACGTTGCTCTGCTAATCAACACTGTGAAGCAAACGAGAAGTCGCACCTTGCCCTTTCGGAAGAAAAGCCGTGTCTGGCTTGCATGGCCAATGATGTGCCCGCCGATGGGCTTAACCTGTGGGCACGATCTCTACGATCTCTACGATCTCTAGGGCTGCTCGGGGAGGCTGCTTCGGCTTCTTACTCTCAGCAATACAAGCAAAGAAGAGCAATATAACGGAGGGATACCGAGGGCTAGTGCAACTGCTTTGGGGCCACAGGGGATGCCAACCTGTGGTCCCATGTAGGCAGCCGGTCCACTCTCTGGAGATGCCATTACCTTGGCGGCCGTTGCTGAAACAACACCAAAAAAAGCCTATGCTCGCTTCATCTCTTCACTCTCCCGTTCATCCTCTCTTCTTTCCCGCTTTCTAGGTGCTATTCTTCTTCTACCTCTGGCCTTTCTTACTGTTTTATCTGCTTTTGTTTCTGAACCAGCGGGTCCACCGGTTGGTTCCGCACGACTCTGTTCCTCTTGTGCCGAGCTTGGGAGAAGGACTGATGTCCACCCCTGCGATGCTGGTCAAACGTGAACAAAAACGAAGTAATTCTAGTAGCAACTGGCGGTACAACTGGATGCCGGGTGGAGTTTGTCGGCACTAGCCTCACCCCTCCCCCGCCCCACCCGCACTCTCTAAGTAATGTCGAAGTCAATTGGGCCCCTGCTTACGCGGTTTGAAGATTTTCGGAGCGAGAAGAGCAGATCCAAGGAGGAGGTATCCCCTAACACCCCTTTAACCCCCTCTTTATGCGTTCCCCCGCCCCCCTCAATCACTGTAAATCACTGTAACCACCCTGGCTGGTTCTGCAAGGCCATGTCGCCTCGGGCATCGGAAAACAAAAGCGCTGCGTGCATTTTCATGGGGGCGCTCTTCTTCTTGTACTCAGCGCAGCGGTCCCCGAGGGGACTCCGGCCGCGACGGCCCTCTGCTCGCTTCGGTCAATGTAATAATCTCGTTTTGGTGTCGGGGAGACTGGGCGACCCCCAGACTCGGGCAAGCTCTCAGTCACTCACCGGCACTTCTGGGTCACCGTTCTCATCTCGGTCCATCTCCGTATCTCGTAGAGTGGCGCCCCCCACTTCGCTGCTTTGCTGTCCTCCCTTTGGGGCCCGGTAAGTGTGCTCGTGTTCTGCGTTCTCCTCCTTCTGTCTGTCCTCTTGTCGTCATTGTCGTTCACGGCCCCCCTTCTGGTCCAAGAGGCTCTCTTCTTCCTGTTATTTCTATTATGGTTCTTCTTCTTCTTCTTCTTTCTTCTTCTTCTTCTTCTTCTTCTTCTTCTTCTTCTTCTTCCTCTTCTTCTTTGTCTTCTTCTTCTTTGTCTTCTTCTGCTTCTGCTTCTGCTTCTGCTTCTGCTTCTGCTTCTACTTCTGCTTCTGCTTCTGCTTCTGCTGCTGCTTCTACTTCTGCTTCTGCTTCTGCTGCTGCCGGCATTTGAGGGCCGCCTCCCGTCCTTCCCTTCCTTCCTTCCAAAGCACGTAGCCCCCAAAGGGGCTGCCCCTAAGACCGCGCTCAACAAAGTCTGTCGGAGTGAAACTGGTGCTTTGTGGAGAACTCAACTCTCCCAGGTTTAACATCACTGATTCGCAGAATCTCTCTGTCTCTCTCTGTCTCTTTCCCCTTCCCACCCTCCAGCTCACTGCAAGCCTGGTTGGTGATGACCACGGCCACGCCGTGCTCATCAGCTATGCGCTGCAGCTTGCGAAGAAAGCGATTCAGTGCCTATCCAGGCACACGACGCTGCTTAATGTTAACAAGCCCCGCCGACAGCACCCACAGGAAACTTACTCCAGGTCGAACACAGCACAGGCCCTCGAGCCTGTTGGCGATCTGCCAGCTCTCCCCTGTCAGCATCCATGCTGAGCGTCGAAAGGCGTGCTGCAAGTGACGGAAGAGCACCCTACCTGCCACTGTAGTCCGTCCGGAAGAGGCCAGTCGCGCTGTCGACGATGAGGACTGCCTCAATTCACTTCACAGCTACCTCTGTATGCACAGAAAGCAGCGAGCAGCCAACGGAAAATGAAGTATCTGACATATCTCGACTCACAAAACACGCTCGCAGCTTCTGCCAGAAGCTTGTCCTGGTGCTGTCAGACACAGGCCGGGCGTAAGGTTATGTAAGGTTCAAAGCAATTTACCGCGTCGACTGCACCAACTCACACGAGCTCAACGGATTCAAGCAGCCTTGAACTTCTGCATATTTCTGCATGTCACAAGAAGTCTCAAGTGAAGCAGCTACCCTCAAGCGGTCGTCCTGATGTTCAGCATTGTAGGCCCGTGCATAGGTGACATTCTCAAGAACGTCCTGCAGGTAACATGACATGAGCTGGGCAAGTTCACTCACTTTGTGAAATCGGGATCCCTGGCGAGGGCCTGGCATCAATGACTGCTGTGTTTTGCACGCATGCTCGGCACAGTGAGTGGTGATTTTGGCGAGTGGAGAGTGCGAAGGGATAGACTCAGAAGCCTTCAACCGACATGTGGGCTTGCATAGAGCTCCTCTTCGTTTAGTCCGTATCGTTTGGCAATGTCCGCCAATCTCTCGGGTCGGAAAGTGCCCTGCCAAAACCACAACCTCTGATGAGACGTGATGAGAGCGGAATGCGCTGGGAAGAAAATGTGCCTCGGTGTCGATGTACAAGGCCTGTGGCAGGTGGCTCGCTCCTAGCTTGATCTTCCACCCATTTGCACTGCGCACGCTGCAGGCCCCGAGTCTTCCAAGTCTTTGGGTCGGAATAGAATGGCAGCATTTCCTAGAGAAGGCTTGGTGGGATGGGGATGATGGGGATGATGGGGATAGTGAACATCTGAAGGAGCCTTGCTCTCGCCGCCTCCCCGACTGATGGGAAGCTGGCAGGCCACACAGAGTGTGTGGCCTTAGCCCGCACTGTGAAGTGGATAGGGCCACACAGGGCACACATGGCCACACCTCATGAGACCTTCGAAGCAACTTAGATTTGGGCAGAGCTGTGTTTTGCCGCAGCGGAATTCACCAAAAATCTGCCACGTTTACGTTTGCACTGAACTGACAATTGCACTGAATGAACTGGCATGCGCCCATGCAGAGCAAGCCTCTGTGATCTGGCCGGTCCTGGCGTGCGATGGGTGAGTAGAATGAAACGCAAAGCCCAATTCCTTACAGGACGGTGCACTGCACAACACTGTCAAACGAATGTGATCAAAGGTCAGGCTGTGCAAGGCTGTGCTCGGTTTCTGGGGCAGCTTCCGCATAAGCTACGAGTATTTTCGAATGGGGCGAAGCATGCCGGCATGACTCTACCCCTCCTTTCAACAAACTGTCCAGCTTGGCAGAGCCGGTAGTTATTTGAACCTGCAGTTCAGCGGGATGAAACACAGTGCGTGTATGGCCGTTTTCTCGGCTTGACACCATGTTTTTCCGCAGCTGGAGCATTTCTGCAGCACTCACCTCAGTCTGCCAGTATGCAATGGCGTAGAATCCTAGAAGCACATGGCAAGATATTGAGAGACCTCATTCATTGACTCATTCATCCTCATGCTGCGCACGAAGCTGCGGCTCCAACCATACGCATTGGAACTAGCTGCTTGGCAGCTGCATGGATTCGAGCCGCCTCACAGATGCTGCACAGCTGTGAGCTCCCAATGCTTGGGACATACGACGCATCTGAAGATAGCCCTTAGGCCCTTAGGCTCAGGGAAAGCCCTCCTGAATAGTATTGAATAGTGCGAGTTCTGCGAGCACTTCCTGCCACCCCATGGTGCCAGTCACTGCAGTTCCAAGGATGCAGCTTTCGTTTCGCCGATTCCTTTGACCTCATGCCTCGTTGCACATGAAACGAATGCAGGATGCCTCGCCCTTCGCATGCGAGATGTAAGGTCGCGACAGCTTCCGCAGGGGCATGAACGCAATGGTTTCAACCTGAGCATGCACCAGCTACAGCTACAAAGATCTCACCAAATCCAGCATTGCCAGCAAAGCCGCCAACCCAACCTATCAGACCACTGATTCGTCCTGTGACTCGTTGACCTTTTAAGTGTGGGAGGGGCCCTTCGACAGTCATCTGAGGCTTCCACGCAGTGGATGCCGTGGTCGAGTAGAGCATTCAAGTCGGCCTGCAGAACGCGCGTACTCAAGCCACAGGAGCACACTGGAGAACTATTTTTGTTTGCACCTTGGAGATGCCTGCTCCTTTCTGATCCACGGTGGCGCACAAGCGCTCCAACTGGCAAATGCACAAGTCTTCACTTACACTCAGAGAAATTTGGGGGTTGACATAGTGCACTTGTCAGTTGAGTTGGGGTATGTTGGGGTATTAGGAGTGGCTTCGAAGTTATCGTCAGTCCGTAACCCAAACTTTCGATGGACGTGTCTGGTGCACCCGCGTGATGCCAGGCTCATCATTGTCTTCTTCCGCCTGGACGACCTGCAGCTCATGGAAGGCACTTGCGCCCTTGTAGACACTGCATTAGGAACAAACTTATCGAAACTGAAATGCGTAGCTGTGGCCTGCGCACTCGGCTCGACAGCCTCACGGAAGCTACCAGAGACAGGCATTCACTCAGCTACAAGCCTTCCGGGAGCCTCTGCTACAGCTTCCTGCGCATCAAGAGTACGAGTACCGACAGCGCAAAGCAGTCTGGTGAACCAAAGCTGGGGGTGGTCCTCTGCAGCCTCTCTCCTTGCCCTTTTGGGTTGCCGCGCCTGATTGCAGAGGATGCCCTGTTTCATGGTCTGTTTTGCACAGCATGCCGCGTTGACATTCGACATTCGACGACATGTTTCTCGGGCGAGGCAGTGTTCAAAAATTGTCTTGCCACAACGCCAGCGTCGGCCGAGTCCTAAGACCTAAGAACATGAAGAGCATGACCAATCCTCAGGGCATTTTCCTGTCTAGTCCAGCCATTTGCCTTTCCCGCTTTCACTCTCAGAGGGTTTGCCACGGGCGGTGCTGGCATTCCTTTGCTCTCCCATGCAGCAAGAATACTTCTCTGCCTGCTGCTCCATCAGCAGGGTCGCCAGTCTCTACAAGCGTTCCAAGTGCAGGATTACATGCGGTTTTGCTGCCGGTGTGGCGTGCTCTGCTAGGTCGAAGGATGCTGTCATTGTAAAGCATACCAGAGCCATACGGAGGGTCGGGGTTGTACTAGTAGCCTTCGAGGTTCACTGATACTGCTTAAGCTCAAGCCACCAGCGTGTCTTCCAGTCAAAAGCACATCTCGCAATGCCAAGGGGGCAACTTCCGCATAATCATCTGCAATCCCCTGCACTAATTGCGGGGGGAAGCTGTCTCTCTCGTCCTGCCCTGAGCTGTCTCGCTCCGCATTTTCGCACTCCAAGCGCCGAGGGTCTGCTGCAAATGGTCCGTCGCATCGCCTGTCAGTGGCATATCATCTACCCTGGTTTGTCTGCGTTTCTCACGGTTGCCTAGTAAGCCTGCTAAGCTTTGCGCCCAATAACTGTCCTTTCCTTAGATAATCACACAGGAAAGGAGCTCCGCTAACACACACACACACACACACACACACACACACACACACACACACACACACACACACACACACACACACACACACACACACACACACACCCACCCACCTCACACACCCACCTCACACACCCACCTCACACACCCATACCACCCACGTGTTGCGAACGCAGCCTCCTGTCTTGCTTCACAGTTTATGTGTGCAAACTCGACGTTGGTGTGTGCAAGTACTTGGTGTTCATGTTCCATACATCGCAGCGCCGCCCGCTCTCCAGCCACACAACACTGAAAACACATAGCCTTGCTGCCAGATCACGATCGGTCATTCCCCTCTCGCCACTGAGAGCTGCGGAGCCTGCACAATTCTGCACCATCTTGGAGGGGAGCAGAAGATCACACGCTCATGTGCCGTTAGTAAAAAAGAACAGTGTGCTTGCACGATTTGCAGATATATCGTTCCCGGGCATCCCAAAAACTATTTCACGCACGATAAAAGTCTGGTTTTGGCACGTCAAACGCATGAAGGAACAGAGAGACAAAAACGCTGTTTTGACCGTTGTTTTGCGCATGTTCACCGAAAATATCACAGTGTGTCTTGTTCCGGAAACGCCAAAAATCACCGCGGTCCTTAGATGGTAATGTTCCGGGGTCGGCTCAACCAAATGCGGCGATGCAGGTCAGCTGCAGAACATGATAGAATTTGTGGCGCTTGGCGCTTGGTCGGGGAACTAGATCCAGTACGTCTTCAATGACCTGGTGGAACTCACTTCCACCGCTTGCAACGCACTTGGGGAGGTGATTCGGGCGTCGCGAGATAACGTTGTGGTTTTCCATTGCTCCCACTGGTTCGTGCAGCGTTCTCCACAAGGCGGTCTCCGGTGGTGCGTTCGCGGTGCTCGTTGTGCTCGTAGTTCCCGTGTCGTGGCCGATGGTGGGGGCGTCAGGTTCGGATCTCCAATCCTCGTACTTTGCCCTGCACACCGACAAAGAGGTAGAGGGCCAGGAACCACTTGCCACCGTGGCCATTGCTTTCACAGGTGTGGTGGGTCTAAGCGGTTCGTGGCTTGAAACACAGCTCACATCCAGGGTGGTTCCCGGGCTCCCCCTCTCTCTCCTCTTCTTCTTCTTCTTCTTCTTCTTCTTCTTCTTCTTCTTCTTCTTCGTCTTCTTCTACGGGGCTTGAGGAGGGTAACCCCCCCCCCCCCCCCGCGCGCGCAAGGCGCGCCCGGAATGCGTTCAGGTCTCGCGTGAAACTTTTCGCGACAGAAGCTGTGGACGATTGCGTTGTGCTTTCCCCTACTATATGACCCCCCACTACAACACATCGTCCCTCGTTGTCCCGTCGCCTGTGCTATACTCCGCTAGCTACCCTGTCGCCAGGTTGTTGCCACTCTAACTCCGAAAGCAGCCTAAACCAGCAATCCCCAAACAACACCATACGTCCTTGGTGGCCTGTTGCCCCCCCCGACGGCTCTTCCCCCGAGGTGCAACTTGTCGGCTGCTACAAATTGTTTCTCTCTCTCTCTCTCTCTCTCTCTCTGTCACAAGATGTTCTGTGTTTCAGCACAGTGCCCGCCTTGCCCCGCCAACACGGACTTTGCCGGCCGTTCGCTCTCCCTCGGCATCGCGGCATCAGGGTGAATGCATGACGGCATGAAGCGGAACTCCCTTGTGCAGTGTACTTCGCTCGGCTAAGCCATAGAGCTAATCGAGCCCCGAGGCACAAGCCCCCAAATGTTCACAAAGTCTACCTGAAGCAGGAACTTTCATCCAGTGACTACCGGTTGCGTGGTATGTGCCCGGTGTTAGCGCTGCGTGTTGCAAGGCGCATCACGTAAAGCATGTCTGTGTTGCACCTCGGCCTCGGATGATGCGTTGGAGTTGGTCCTGATGGTCAGCTATGGTATGCACAGATTCGCCGATTGACTTGCCTGAACCTAGATGCATGCTGAACAGCCGTCTGTGACCTGCTCACCCGTGTAGTCGGAGCAGTGAGAACGGCGCCGGAATCCTGCTCACACCAGAAATCGTATCGGCGTGAACCCGTGCGGAGACAGAATAGAGAAGATCGGCTCTCTATCTGGTACAACCGGTAAAGGGGCTCCGAATGCATGTAGAAGCGGCCTCGCTGGAATGGCGCGGGTGCGTGCCCAAGTCTCTGCCTGCCAAGCTCAAGGATAAGTTTTTGCAAGCAGCTACCTCTGACAGACCTCGGCTCCCAAAAATGCTAGTCCACTGTGTGGAATCGCCCTTCCGATGGGATCAAGAACAAGTTTGCCGGCAAGCTGCGACCAACACCTTTGAGGCCATCATGGGACACCTGGCAAAAGCATGGAGGCCCCGAGCATGACATGGCATGACATGGCTAAACCCAATGGCTAAACCAACCTTCGAAAGCGGTCGGGACCTTAAGACTGTGAACGAAGGCACTGAATGGTACTGGCCACTGTGCTGGCAGTGTGCTTTCCAGTCCGTGGCCGCTGCGCGTTGCTCATCGCAGAGCTCAGCTTCTGGGATCTTTGAAGCCACGCCTGCGAAGCTAGCTTTGGCCTACAATCACCGTGTCACAGCACCAGGCCAAGCTGAGCAACAATAGCAACCAACATGTCGTGAATTTCTTGTAAATCGGACCCATCTGGCACTGGCACGAACCTCGAACAAAGAGAACATCAGCACCAAAGCATCAGGGCTTCTAAGCTTTCGAGACAGCATTCAAGCCGCAACAACAAGAACATGTCCAACCTACCCCAACAAAAGCCCATCAAAACTCCTGCGATTTCTGAAGAAGGGGGGGGGCTTGAAAATGGATGCCTGCAGAGGCTTGTGTTTGTGAGATGTCTTGCCACAAGAGATGTAGGCCAAAGCTCCAGTTTGCATGCCTGTATTGCTTGTGGTCCTCAGTTTGAAAAACATACGGCTGCACTAACATGAGACCCACTGCACATGGAGCGAGCCTGTCTTCCTCCACTTGCACCTGCATCCTTTGCTCAGAGACGCCAAGCCAAAGGATGCCGAATTCAAGAGAAAGCGCTTCTGATCCCATGCCTCCACCACCAGAGGCTCTTCGGCCTCGCCATGAACTATTGGCCATAAAAACACAGGGACATAGGGACATAGGGTCATAGGCCACGGTGGAAGATTCGACTCGCAGCGCACGAGTACGAGACTTGTACGAGGATTCTGGCGGCTTGGCGGTTGTCGTTAGGGTTGCTGGGAGTGCCAGTCTTCCAGGAGGAGGGCTGGCTTGGAGCTGGAGGCCACTTTAGGCCATGTTACAGGCATCTGGTGGTTTGTGTGGGGCTTGGTGGAGGTGCCACTGCAAACCGGTGATGGAACTCGTGCGGCGGCGAATCGGGTAAAGGGGGGTAAATGGGGCAAACGAGGCAGCAGGCGGCAGAGCCCTTGGGACGCTTACCCAATTTACCCCTTCTCCCCTACTTGCCTATTATGACCTCGGCACGTTCGAGTGGAATCTACAATACCTCCCCCAAAACCGCGTCTCAACACAGAAATTGAAACACTTGGGCCCTCAAATGGTCCTCACAAACTATCTACTGAAGAACTGGGCCCTGCAACAAGGGAGCCCTGAACCCTCGGAGCATCGGAGATTACGGTTCCGTGGTGTTTGGGGGTTCGGGCCGATTGGGTGTTAGTGTGGGATGCTGGAGGTGGGATCCACACAAGATCGGATTAGCATAAAAAAGAGTAATAAAACAGCAAAGGGCCCTTCTCAAAACAAGCGTCCATGCAGCATCCTACACTCGAAGCCTGCAGCTCAAGCTCGCCATGGCCTGCGGTGGCACACTGGTGGCACACAGGTGGCAGACTGGTGGCGCACGGCTCATGCTCGCGTGCCTTCAGCCAAGAACGGCTGAATTCCGTGAGCAACCTGGGGCGAACTCTTTGCAAGTTTGCAAGCTTTGGCGTCCGAACTTATGAATGTCACCGAGTGCAGAACGACAGAGTCTGAAGTTGCCAACGGCGCGGATGTCTCTGAGCTGCGTTCAGCTTCGGCCTAAGCTACGCAGGCCCTAAACTGGGGCCCTAAACTGGATTGTGCCTCGTCTTGTTGGACACCAAGCATCAACAAGTCATCAACAGGCTGGACCCCTTGTTGATGTTTGAAAGTTTTTACGAAAACCTTCGGCGATCCTCCGGCGAGTACCGTTTGCTGCCTCGTGTCCCTGATCTCATACGGCGCCCATCTCTTGGCTGATTCAGCAGTGCTGTTCGTCTGAAAAAGCACAGCTTCTACTACAAGGTCGGCCAAGATCCCCTACGAGAAGCTGCCTAGCGGCCTATCGATACAAAGAGACCAAACATGTACAGGTAAAACATGCTAAAGACAAACTCGCCCAGAAGATCTTCTGTGCCTCGGCGACAATCATGGAGCGAGGTGTGGAGCATTCTCCGGTCAACCAGGCCTCCGATGCATTCACATAGCACGTCATGTGAGGTCCTTCTCGGATAGAATTCGATGCAATGCCATGGGATGCCCTCACTGAACGAGATGCCCTTTGACGGACGAATACAGCTTTTGAGAATTCACGACATCAAAGTTTCCGTTTGCCTCAAGCTCGCGCTCCCGGTACCTGAGCAAACATGCGGATTTCCTCGTCAGTGCGAAGCCTCCGGTCAAGGGGTCCTGAAAGGCCCACTGCAGGAGTGGCTAAGGCGGCTAAGGGCCACACTGAGCTGAAGAGAGCCACATGCCTTGGCGACAGCCACGCAACGAAAGGTAGTGTGGCCTGCATCGGCACTTCCGGAAACCGAACTGGCAGGCTCTGCACGCACAAAGGCGAGAAAGCATGAGGCAACCGTGACAGAACCAGGGGCACATCTATCCTTTCCAAAGCGGGAACACAGGCTGTGCTTTTCTTTTCTTGCACAACGCCATCGCAAGTTTGCTGATTTCGCAAATGCACTCAGAAACGACAAAGTGAGCAGGAGATCCTTTGCACCCGTTCACGAAGCCGCTAATCAAGCCATGTCTTCGACAGGCCCTATTCCAATGTGTACATCAAAGCTCCTGGCACTGACTGAGCACAAAGCGCCACGTACCCACGAGGTTTCTATTCCGCCTCTAGGAATTGTGAATATCAACAGCACAAAGACAAACTTCTACCCAGGAAACAGACAAATACGCCAGCAGTCACAGTGCCTTCATGTGGTTGGCTCGTGCAGCCGCTCATCGATGGTGTCTGGGAAATCTGCACAATCCTTGAGTTTTGAGAACAGAAATACCTTCCCTCGAATGCTGCTGTTCTTGCCGTTTTCATGGTCTGCTGCTGCTGCTGCTGCTGCTGCTGCTGCTGCTGCTGCTGCTGCTGCTGCTGCTGCTGCAGCATCTGCTGCATACGGATGAAGAAACACCCGAAGCTTGGAGATTGGAAACCGAAACCTGGACTGAAATATTGCCCCTTGCGAAATAGTATGTAGATTTATATATGTGTACACAAAAATGTCCCTTCACATTTTTGTTCCCTCCCAACAGAAACACCCGAGATCTTGTAAATCGGAATCGTCGATCCAAGTGAGTTTCCATGGTAGAAAAACACATGTGCATATATATATATATATATGTACATAGGTTTATCTTTTTATATCTACATTTATATCTACATTTATATCTACATTTATATCTATATTTTATTTATATTTATATTTATATTTAAATTTGTATTTGTATTTGTATTTGTATTTATATTTGGCTTTTTTGTAGATTTATATGTATATTTATATGTATATTATATCTGTCTTTATGTTTATAGTTGTATTTATATTTATACCTCTATGTATATTTATATTTATACTAATATTTATACTGAAATGTATATTTGTATTTATACTTATACTTTTTTGTTGTATCTTTATACTTATTTATTGTATCTACTTGTTTGTTTTATTCGCTTTATATTGAATCTAAGCCCATTTCCAAATTCGAACAATTTAAACCCAGGGCTAATGAACCGCTAAGCCCTTGTTTTAACAGGACTTGAACACTAAAAAACCTCTTTGAGCCCTCATGTCCATCTATTGAATCTGCGCCCGGCTTCGGAAACTATAAGAAATCGAAAACTTTGTTCCATTCAGCATTCTTCCGCAATCTTGAAATTTGCAACATGCAAACCCTTCGAACTGCTCTTGTTTGCAACACGTTCTTTTTGGATTCAGCGAAGCTAGCCGCTTCTTTCAAGCGGCCGAATACGCACGAAACTCCTAACATGATGAGCGTACCGTCGAGATTGAACCCTTCTATCCGGCTGAAAAATATGAGCTGGAGATTTTGGAACATGACGCAGCCGCGACGTCTTGGCCTCAGGGGATTCCGCCAAATTGGAACCTGTACCCGTTAAATCAAATGTTTTCAAGGTCTCTGCATGCACAGAAAAAAGGCCTCGACTTCCAAGGGCTTCAGGTTGTATGGACGGACAAACTTTTGAACTTCTCTAGTTCAAGCAAGATTGGGCTTCTGTCCTGCTGAAAGAATTTGGTTTAAGCCTTCGGCTTCAGAGAAAAACTAGATATTTGGGTATAGAAAGTATGGAACTTTTGACTTTGGGATGTTGGGGTCTTTTGAACTTGTGGGGTCAATCCGCTAAGGTTCATGTTTACTGGTAGTGCTCTCTTTATGATCACTTCCCAAGGCTGTAGTTTCCTGGCTCATGATTCCAAGGCCTCTTACGGGTGAATCTTCATGCTGTTCATGCGGTTGAGGTGCTTTTACTATAGGATCTTGAGCGTTATCCAGACCAGGCGTTGACAGGGTCGCAAGGTGTGATGGGTGAACAAGGCTGTGGGTCAGAAAAAATGATACGTCCTAAAGGTGAATCCACTGTCTTAATATCAGAGGTTGGGTCCAAGGTGTGATGGATGAACAAGGCTGTGGAACAAGAGAAAGATACCAGTCCAAAAGTCCTGTCTCAAAGACCCCAATATTAATCTCATTAAGGGGTTTTGCGTGCATCTCTTACCACAATCCCCTAATAATAGTAATATTTCACGAGCTTTTGGGGAGAGAGTGGTTATTCTTTATTTTTCCTTTCGTACAAAACACTCTCACGACACCTTAACTCCGTGTCTGGCTCTTTGTTCACAAGCTCCTTGTTTCTCTTTTTCTTATTCACGTGCATGCGTTTACATTACTAGTTATGCATTCTCTGCGTTCACTTGTAATCATAAAAATAATGAACGCGTGAACGAAACCAAAGATGAAAAGCAGTGTGTTTATACTTGGGCGATGCCAAGGCTGCTCGCGAACGCATGAGGTGTCTGGTAGCCACCAAAAGCAAGCAAATGCAAGCAGGTGTCTGAAGTAGTGGCGATCCCAACTGCGGGTCCATTCGCAACCGCTGCGACTAAGTTGGAAATCTGTGCCGCGCAAAGTGCCTTCAGAGAAAGTCGTGGAGTCGTGTCCCACGGAATTAGCGAGACCATGATGCAATCTCAGGACGCATACCTCTGGCCTTCTGACTTCCAGCAACAGAGCAGTCTGTGACTGCCAGAGATCTCAGCTGCTCAGGTCTGCAGATCTGGACGAGTCTGGACGAGTCTGGACTGAAAGCCGGTGCCCAGGCTGAAAACTGAGGTGGCAACATGAATCGTGAGATCCAGCTGAACGAGGAGATCACATCCAGAATGTCGATCGTGCAGGCCCTGCAAGCTAGAGCCCTAAAGCCTTGAACACCTTAAAGGGGCTACCTTAAACGGCTACGAGTATCCTTTTCGTGGTGAGGGCGGGCCTCGCTTGGGGACAACCCAGGGTCGCCGAATGAATTTGCAAAGTTGCCCGTACGAGGAAGGCGGCCTTAGTATGACTTTAAAACTTGGACTTGCAGCACTTTCCTCATACTTGTAGCTGATGGATGTGGCGTTGCATCGAAGTTGCTGCCTGTGTCACATCAACTACGCACTGCGTGATGTCAAAGTCCCGCATTGTATTCATCTTGGCAGGGCTACAGCTAATGTCCCCGCTGCAACCGGTTCTTCAAAATGAATGCTGCGAGCTCAGCTCTATTGTCGAACAATCGCAACTGCGATCAGGTTAAGTACATAGGGTTTCTTATGCTGCGCAGTGGGTCGTAGGATGTCTCATCACTGGCACTGGACATGTGCTCCATGCTTGTCTTAACCTCTTCCTGTCCATGCTCCTGTAGATTTGCGTGCTGGGCGATTCATCGGTCACAATGACTATGCTACAAACAAAAGCCTGTGCCGAACAGATCCCTGAAAAGCAAAGCCCTGCATGGTTTCCCGACTGCCACCAGGACACATGTCTATTCCGTGCTATGATGACAGCTGGCCCAGCACCACCCGGGAGGAACTGTTGCCAATGGTAATAGGGATGTGTTCTGCGATCGCGATCGATGTGCAGGAGTAAGCCACTGATTCTCCCGCCAAAGTCACAATCATCTTTGACTGCCGCACCACTCGAGGCAACTTCTGCGAAATCTGCCATCAGCGCAGTCCAGTCAGCTGCACAAAGGGCCCCAGAGTTCACCGTATCACCACAGGACGATGCTGCCAAGCTGATGTACGATGCGACCCAACTTATAGAGGCCACAAAACCAGCGATGCTTACAGCACAACCGTCAGGCGTATTCTTTGGACACTCAAGACCCTCATAGTCTATGGCTCGATACAGGAAAACGACTGCTTGTACAAGGTAGGCGGTCGCTTGAACTGCGTCAATGACGCACTGAGTTCTCACCCAAGGCAGCTCAGCAGCTTGGTATGGCTCGTATTGCACGAAAAGGTCACGCAAATTCCGTGGTGTTTTGACTGGGTCCAAGCCTGAGCAAGGAAGACATCAAAAAGGAGCTACAGAGCTACAGAAAGCACGACAGCAGAATCTGGAGCGCCTTTTGCACGTTGTATAACACCCGATATGTTGGGAATTTCCTCCCATTCCTCCAGGCCAACCAGAGACTTCCTTACACAGGCGTGCGACTCATCTCGCAGGATGGGAGAGCAAGAGACTTCTTTGGCAATGCAGAAAGCCAGCTCCAAGCAGATAAGGAGAGCCAGGATGAGCCAGGATGAGTCCAGGATGAGCCAGGATGAGCCAGGTGCCATCCAAGGTGCGAGAAGTGCCGATGAGAAGTTGTTGAGGGATAGAATGCAAAAGCAGTTACGGCTACGCAGAGCAGAACGAACATCCCGGTGGTGAAGCGCCACCTCCGTGAAGCGCTCAGGTTGTCATCATCTGAGCCGTCTGAATCTCTCTTCACGGCCTGTGCAAACAACTCTTCATACCTGGAAAATCCTGGAATCACCTGGAATTACGTACCTGGTTGTATGACTGTTTCACGCCGCATGCATCAAATTTCACTTGGAACATGCGGCCTTCAAGTGACATTTCCCATCTTGCTCGATCAGCGCCGTTCGCTCCTCCTGGTGGGTAGACTCGTCTTCCGGGCTCGCTCCCGCCGAGATGTCTATCCACATTCCTGCTTCTGCAAGCTACTTTGCTGCGGAAGCTACATCCCCTGGGCCAAAAATGGTGTGTTGTGCAAGAGATTCGGTCTGATCGACTGACGCAGCAGACGCAGCGGCAACTAGCAGACACGCGCTGGCAGACACTACTAGTACAAGACTGGTTCAGGAAGCTCAGGGCACTGGCGTGTGGCAAAGTGCCACCGGCGCCAAGCCCGACTCAGCACCTTGCCGAAAAACCATTCGAAGGTAGCATCGCAGTTGCGTGCCGTTTGTGCTCGTCTTACACCTCGCCTTGCAATTGCTCACTGTGCTGTCTGGCTAGCCTCTGCCAAAGCAACAGTATGTAAGGCCTGCTGCACGTGAGTGTGACTCCGACTGCATACCTGCGCACAGCAGAGACGGTCCCCCCATGGCCCCCAAAAGCAGAAAACAGCTTCTGAAAGTAAATTTTCAGAGCTCCCGGAGAGCACCTCTGCAACTGCTGTAGTGGATGACGTGTCTTTCGTCTTCGCGGCCTTTGGAACAGGGGTCCATTCTTTCTAGCGCCGAGACAAAACAACACATAGATCTGTTTTCAGTTTTCAAGAAAAAAGGCATCCGTCACAACTTCAGCAACTTCAGCAGCTGAGAATTTAAGTTCAAGGCCAGCCAGAATGCTGCAAGCCCCAGACGCAACCTTAAAAGCAAACCATGGCAGGGGAAGGATACGACTCGTACGAGCATCCACCACATCAAACCAAACATGTGTCGTTTACCAGTAGCGGGCTGTATGGCCATTCTACTCTTGCGCAGCTGATACAACCTCCAGCACACCAGTCGGGAAACAAAGCTTGGTAGTAGTGCACCTGCACCAAAGATCCAAAGAGGGGCAGCAACGACTGAAGCATGCCGAAAACTTGCCTGGGCCATGGTTTCCATCATCTTCCGGCGGATGAGATGCAGCCTCATGTCATCTAATGCATGAACTTCCTCTTGAAAGCTGCGGGAACGTGTACTTGCGCTACTTGCATTCCTACAGCTTCTCCTCCCGCGCAAATGAGTGCACTTCTCTCCAGTTTTATGTTGTTCAAGATCTTGCTCTGGGACTCACTTCCGTTGTCGACAACTCACGCGTCTTGTCTTTGTCCCACATGCCTTTGTTTCACAATACGGGGTGATGCAGCATGATTCAGGAACCATGACGCAAGCTACGGGCGCGACTTGGGTGCTCCAGTCAAATTGCATCTGCACTGGTTCGACAAGCGTAGTGACATCTGCTGTCCCGCATCTCGAAACACTCGAAACACTTCAGAATCCTTTGGCTCTCTGCAGCGAAGCAAACCCCAGGCAACCACACGGACCACACACCCGCCTCCCTTGGAAGGCCGAGGCCCTTACACCCGAAGTCTGCGCTCCACATCTCGCTGTGCAAACACGGCCTGGCAAAAGAGAAATTTGTGGAAATCGCAGAGTCCTGCTTTTCACAACCGAGTGAGCCTTTTTTGGGGACTGAAGAATGGTTGGGCTTTGTGTACATGATGAAATTGTGGGAAAGTTTCGTTCACTCGAGTTTTGTGGCATAGCCAATTCGTGCAGCAGCGGAGGCACTGACTCAGCAGCCACAACCAAAGCGCTCCTGACGCAGTCGCGTCCAAGCTGGTGCCAAATGCTTCTGCGCAATCCTCGGCACTGCGGCACAAGTCTTTTCACCATCTTGAAATGGGTTCAAGGCAGCACCAGACAAGCTGCGGCGCCTCTGCAAAGCAAGCAGCAAAGGACGCCTGGCGGTCGGAAGCCCACAGATCAACAGGTATCGAGGTACAAGGAGTAAAGCATGCTGGTCTCTCTTTGGTGCCATACGACGTCCATGCCACAAGATGCGCCTCATCTGAAGGCTCGTACAATCCAGTGGACTACAATTCCCTGAACTCGGAACCCGACCGTCTCCACAAGCGTAAAGCAAGCTGCTGTTGGTTGCGCAGGCAAGCATCTTGCTTGTCACGGACTGCGGTCATGTATCTCATCCATGCCTTCCATGGCTTCTTGATGGCTTTGGTCGCAAAGTATCGGAGCGCAAGAGCACTGAGTCTGCCCAAAATAATGGAATCATGCCACCATTCTGCAGGGGCCCCAAAAGTCGATATCGCTCCACCCAATGCGCTGGTTGGACTGATGGGGCCGGTCTGACTGGCTGACTGCTGTGATTGCACGTCACTCTCCGCGGCACTCCAAGCTCTGGAAGGCGAATCTGCGAAATGCAAGGGCAGCGACTGCGGGAGCGACTGCGGCAGCGATTGCGGCAGCGATCGCGGCAGCGACTTCGGCAGTGACTGTGGCAACGACGAAGCCTTCGAGTCAGACCTCGAGACGGAGCGTCTCGAGTTGATCGAGTGATTAATCGATTGCATCTCGTGAGTGATCGATTGCATTGCGTGAGGCACGTCAGGCCTGGGTTCCAAGTGTTCACGGCCATGCTGCGGAGGAGCTGCCAAGCCGGAAGTGAAGACTGGTCCAGGACTTCCACCATCAATGAATTCAGCCTGGGGTGTCCTACGAGTACCTGTGTGGCCACCTTGTCCATGCAACGATGGGATCAGCAGCTTCGGGGCCACCAGGCGGCTCATGGCAGCAGAACATCTCCAGGAGGAGACGTACGCAGACGTCGGATGTGTGAATGTCCAACTTGCACTTTTGCTGTGCTTTGCTGCTGCGTTTTTGCTGCGGTTGCGTGATTGTGTGCTGCTCGTAAGGACTGCCGCGCATCCTGTGGCCACCGAATCAGGAGTAATCACAATATAACGCTCGTTGGCAGGTTGGCCTTGCTATGAGGATCTGAGAGCCGCCGGGTCGCGCATCCTCTCGAGATGTTCTCGGCAAGGCAGTCAAGGCTCTCAGTGCACAGGCAACGGCGTACGGTTGTCTAAAAGCTGTCTTGACGGTCTCTTGCTACCAAATTCGAGTGACACGAGTTGTGAGACATTCTTGGCTGAGGCACTACATCGGTTATGTACATCGGCTGATGTGGAGCATGTCGATGAGACGACTCTGAACCAGGCAAGATTCGGCAACCCAGGCCTTCTCCACTCGCTAAGAATTCTCAAAACATCACTAGTCTGACATGATCAGCAGCCGCTTCGTTGAAGTGCTACTTAAGGGCATGCAATTCGCTTGTCACTACTGTAGGAGAATCGTTCAGGCAGGGCGCTCACCTGAGATCTTGGAGAGACGGACACAGTGGGGAATATCTGAAAAGACTCAGAGTTGCTGCATCCTCACATCACTGGTCTCACAGAGCAAGGCTTCAGGCCCTTCGACTTGGCCTTAAGATCAGGGCGATGAAGACATGAAGTTGACAGCTCTCAGCTCTTCTATGGCTTTGACTCTGACTTGAAACTGCTCTCGACTGAAGGCTGACTGAAGTGGGGTTGGGGTCCTGGCATCTGCAAAATGCCTTGGGTGTGGGCGACACAATGCGTGCTTGGTTTGATCAGCGTTTTCGTCAGTTGTTGTCATGTAGTCCTTCTCGTTCGCCAGCAACCCCCCAATGGCAAGGCACAGGTCGAGACTACACATTTCCATTGTCGCCACTGCAGTGCTCAAGGCGAGCCACGCGTCCATCATACTTGAAAACATCTCCAAGTCTTCGTCACTCCATGGTCCTATGGGATGCGGGCAATGCGGGCACCAGGGCTACATCAGGAATTTTATGGAATCAATTTATGGAAAACTTGCATCGGCTCCTGCTGGCAAGTCCAAATCCAGCGCCTGTCGAGATCTTGCATGCTGACGGACCATGACTGCTTTAAAGGCCCGATTCAGGACGATGCCCTCCCGGCCCGTTTGCACACCGGTTCCCTGCCTTTGCTGGCTCGACAATCTCCGCCACAGGAAGGAAAACCTGAAGCTAAGACAACCCAGCACGCTGAATCCAGGCCTGAATCTAACTCCCAAATCTCCAAACATAAACTTCTAAATACATGCGTTTGTGAGTGATGCAGCCATTGCATCACTGACCTTTGCATCTGATAGACGGAGCTGTTTATGACCTGGTCGACAGCATGCTCGTCAACTAAGGTCGTGACAGGAACGTCATCGTCGGACAAGTTGAAGTCATCGCCTTAGATGACCGAGACCTCACGAGCGCAGCCACTGCAGCAAGGTGGGCCGAAAGCCCGAAAAAGGTGAGGCGCAGGCTTCCAGCTTCACCATCCCCGTCCAGAATGCAAACCTCTTCACATGATCGGTGATGCATCAAGTGCCAAGTGTCCATGAATGTACGAGACTCAGAGATGCTTTGAAGAAGAGTATGACTAGCCGCTGACAAGCCGATAGCAGCTCCGACGGCATGTTGGGCGACTTGCTATCTCAACTGTTGGCCTCATCACCCACTATGGGCAAGTCTACATCGTCCAGGACACCTGCCATTCCGAGGCCGAAAACCCAGGAACAAGAACGCGAAGGACTCAAGTAAATATGAAATCACGTTCCACGCGGCTGTCCTCCATTCGTGTCGCTCGCGAGGGCCACTTCCTGCGAGTGGCGGAAGACAGCACATTCTAGCTCCCAAGCATCACATGCTTCCATGTCTTCGACTCTGGCGAAAACATGCTGGCCACCTCAGAGAGGACGGGCAAAGGCAAAGGTGCCTCTGTTCTCGAACCTTGCCATTCACTACTGCTAGGTCCTAGAAGCACGAAGATACAGCGTGACGGCAGGCGATTTGCGATTGCGCTTTGAGCATCATCTCACGCCCGGCCTTCTTCCAAACCCGTGCCGGCACTGGACAAGGTTGGAATGGCCAGAAGCTCCGCCGACCCCCAATCTGAATTGTGTGCAATGGCTTGGCTGTGCAAAAGTGCAACTGAAACTGCCTCTAACTCTCGCAATCGGAGGACGCCTCCCCTCACGAAAGCATCCACATCCACCGCAGGCAGAGTGCCACGAGCCTGCCATGCAATCAGATGCATGCTAGACATTATATGGAGCATCTGAAGCAGCGACAGCAGGCAGAATGTTGTGCAACACTAGGAAAGGGTGTTGAGTCAAGACTCCCGTGACGTGCATGAATCATATGTCCAGAGCGACCTAGCATGCTCAGCAGTGCAGTGCAGCAAGCGTTTCGTAGCGCTTGCGAGAACATCCTTATGGTCTAGATGTGGTTTGAGCAGGTTCGAGTGAGATGTCATCCGAACTAAGTCCAGGCACACCTGTCGGACAGCCTTGTTCAGCATTGCAGAGCTATGCAAGCTACCAAGTCCGCTGGCAGCGCCGCAGGGACCCCATTTGCTGCCACCTCTGAAGCTTCCTTTGCGAGATCCTGTGAAGAAACAAAGCAGCGCACAGACATTCTTCGTGCGAAAACCGGATGAAGATTTCTAAGATTCCATTAATTACTTCAAAGGCCTCAAGTCTTGTCGCCCAAATGGACAGCTCTGCCGGGCCATCAGCATCTGTCGGGGCTGTCGGTTCTGCTGCCTCCGCCAGGCAGAGAGTTTCATGGCGCTGCGACAGCATGGGACAGCGAAGTTCTTTCTCGTTTGCTTGGTTATTTCATACTTCATTGTGTTTACTCTCTGTGTCAGTCTTGTTTTTCCTAACCCAGCTTAGCCCAGGCAGGTTGTGCAAGGCATTGGCCTTCGAGAGGGTTCGACATCCTACAGGATGTTCCTTTTGCAGACGTTCAACATCGTTCAACATGTAAAGCATGCAAAGTGGATTCAGCCTCCATGTGGGTCGGACGGCTTTGCTCTAGCTCACGGACGCCTGCTCTGTAACGCATGCTCCCAGACCGTCACATCTGCCATGTCACGACAGAATCTTGAGAGACCGGCTCTCTTCGACTTCCTTCCAGCTAGACTTCGCCTCAGGTCCACAAGGCCAGCCCTTGCAAGCCGTGCAAGTCAGTGCAGGTTTTGGACGTCTTGGACATGACGTGGCAAATCTGGAAAACTCCCAAGCTTTTCGCCTCAAAAGCAGCGTCGTCGAGATCGTCTTTGCTCTGTTCCAGCCTGTGCTGAAGCGTGACAAAGCATTTCTGATGTCGCATCCTGCTGCAGCCCGCTCCTGGCCAGAATTTCTCTTGCTTTGGAGAGACGCCCATCAACATCAAGCGCGTCCGGCTGCCTCTCCCAATCAAGGACAGGAAGCACGAAAACTCATACAAGCCATCTCTCACAAGCCATCTCTCACGTTGGGTCCTACACCACAGAAATTCAGCAAACAGGTCAGGCTGTCTTTCGTGTGGCCAAAATGCCCAAGCCGCTCAAGTCTCCCACCTCGCAGAATCTCCGAAGCTGGGCATGACAGAACAAGTTCGGATGCTCTGTTCAAACAGGAACTTGATCTGGAGCTCTGCCTGCAGAGACAATACTTTGTCATCCACATCGGGCACTGGCTGCATGGCTGCTGCCTCACAGTCAGCTCTTCAAAGTCAGTGCCCGCAAGACCATGCGCTTATAAAACCCGTCCTGGAGCAGCAACTGCTGGAGCTGCTCTGGCTGCAAATGTCCGGAGGGTCTCCTCCCCTCGTCCTGAAAGCATGGCCCGCATTGCCCACATGCTCCACCCCAGATTCATCGCTTCATCGATTGGCCTGCAGCTGGCTGATCCGATCATCGATAGCAAGTAGCCTTTGCAGGCTGCTGCCATAGCAACGAACCCCTGAATATGTCGAAGGGGAGCTCGAGACCCGAGCGCTTTGCGATTTTCCCGATCTTCGTGCTGCTCGCGCAGGAGCGGCTCACCTTGAATGCAGCCATGTCATATATCATGCTATGCTGATGGCTCCCTTCATGACAGCAGGCCTGGCAGCGCACTGGAGCTCAGAGCGCTTGAACGGACCTAACTGCTTGGGCTGCCTGACTGAATCTACAGCTTCAGATGTGCTGAGGAGTTCACAGATGGCTGTGAGGTCTTGGAGTGGCCTCGAAGTGGAATGCAGCTTAATCATCCAGACTCGTTGAGTGAGCAACTGGCCACTGTTATCTTGGAGCCGACCTGCTGCGGAGATCTCGGATCCAGCATGGAGGGATCGAATAGACTTTGCCTTCAAGGGGGAGCTGCTTCAGCCCTGCGGCTCCTACGACTCTACGACTCCTACGACTCCTATCGGCGTTTGCTGAAAGGCAAAGTGACAGATGCACGCCTCCCACTCAGATTCTGGAACCAGCAGCGCCAGCTTGTCGTCAATGGCACGAAGTGCCTCCAAATTGTAGGGGTCCTCACGGCACTTCACAATGAGTCTTGCAAGCCCCGGCTGGCCGATTAAGGGCCGCATATACATGATTAATTAACCAAAGGTTTCATGTGATGCTGCAGTGATGCTGCCCCCTTTGTGCGGCTACAAACATGCCTCGGCCAACATCGGGAGCTCTGCCAGCTCTTCTGGCGAAGCACCTGCAAAAAGCTGCACACTGGCCCACACTGGCCCGGCCCCGCTTTCCCGACTCCTCTCACCTCATGACTAAACTGAAAAATTTTGACACCTTGATCCTCACTTTCTTGCAGAGCCAAAGCGGATGCGAGCAGCTCGGGAGGCCTTCTGCATCCGCGGCACCTTTCCTGTCTTCATCGGCGACGTCCTACCCAAGCACTTCCCAGTCGCAAGAAACTGGCAAGAAGGTTAGGGCGGTTAGGCTTCCTCGAGAACAGGCTCCAACTTGTGTGAAGCCTTGGAAGTCCCCTTGGAAGCATTGCGTCGACCTGTCCACAAAGACAATGAAGCGTTCCTTGTGAAGAATTAGCCGCACTATCTCCGCCTGCGAGACTCGACAGGTCTGCCGTTTCTGATGTGAGTGAGAAGGTTGTGTCAGGCTCGTCCTCAGCTTCCTGGCAAGTGGTTGTGATCGAGAAGTACACTGCGGGACAGCTTTGGAATCGGCCAGAATTACCTGCCGCAGTGGTGGTTCAGCGGGGGAAACACTCATGCACCTGTGGTTTCGAATGGTTTCGACATGGGTCCCATGTTCCCCCATGCAACTCATCGCAACCCTACAATTCACAGGATTCACAAGCGTGCAGCCGGGCTCTGGACTGTGCTGGCGAAGATTCCGTCTAGGCCATGGAGGTACATGCTAATGACAAGAAAGCACCACGGACCCCGGCATCGACACTCACTGATCTGCGGCCTCAGCAGAAGACTCCCAAACACTCCAGTCAACCAGCGCCTGAACAAGTCGTTGTCACATCTTGGCGACTTGTCGTGAAAGCTGCTTGCCTCACTGGATGACGGCGTCGCAGCACCCGATGGGGCCAGTGAATTAGTTCGGCTAGGCCTGATTTCATGCGCAACATATACGATCTGGCACTACACCTTTCGACCACAACTTGCTCCACGCAGGGTGATGCTTGGAGACGTACTGCACCGAAGAAGCGGCGGACCTTTGGATGCTGTTACGACAGTTCTGCAACTTTGTGAATTTTATCAAGAGGCTGAAATATAAAAGTCTTCAAACTTGCGACATTGTGCAACGATGTGCGATGGCGACTGCGTTGAAGTCGGGATCGCAGGCCCCGGCGTTGCTCTCGAGGTGGTACTGCGCAGGAAGCCTCTTTCCTGGCCCACAAAATAACAAACAATTTTGCTTCCCCGAAACCTACTAGCTGGTACGAAGATACTTGAGTCAGGTTAGTTCGGGCAGAAACACAACTTCAAATATCTAAGATAGTAGTTCTTGCAAGATAGCTGCTATCAAGAGGTTAGATCGACCGAACCTCCAATCGGATCGGTTGCTAAGAGAGAGCGTGAACTTGCATCTAAGTCTAGGCCGGCGTGCAGCTTTCGAGGGCCTTGCTTATAGACGACTATGGACGACTGTAAGGTAGTTACTGGTCGCAAGATCTTCCAGGTTGATCTACGCGTTGCTTCTCCAGACTCCAGACCAGAACCACCTAAGTATCATCGGCGATCTTTATCTTTCAAGACACTGTACACACAGATCGAAGAGGACCAGTGGACAAGTGCCGATCCCGCGTTGAGCCTTCAGCTGCCTCAGCAACTCTCCCTTTTCGGCTTCCGACTTCTCCTCGGCACCCCTTCAAAACACACCGGCACCGCACAGGACTCACAAGAGGAAGCTCCAAACCATTGCAAAGTACTCAAATCCGGAGCACAACTCACCAAGGGCGCGGCGCTTTCTCTTCTCAAGCGATCCTCGACTTGATGCTGAGCCTATGAACAGCGCTCCTTTACATCCACAAAACTTGGAGCTGTCCTTCGTCGCCTCAAGCCTGGCAGTCCAACTCACTTGTGGTCTCACAGTGCCAACTCCGCAACGACACGTGTTGCCGACACTGGCTTGAGTCTTTTTCTCGCCATGCGCGGAACATCCTTGCTCATCCGTGCCCAGTGCTCGCAGCACCTTCAAACGCGAGTGCACAGAACGTTCTGCTATTTCGGCCTCGCATTCATAGAAGCGGAGACGCCGGTGCGCATTAACCAAGCGACTCCTCCATCCTCTCTTGCAGTCCCGGGTGCTTCAGCAACTTCACATACCGCCCGAGGAATGCAACTCATCTCGTATTGGCGTTGTAACGTTGTCGTTGGTTGCAGCATCGTCGGGCCCGGCAAAACTTTGCCGCTCGACAATTCTTGCTGGGAGCATCACCTTCTTTTCTTTCCTTTCTCCTGCAAAAGCTGAATGTCGCAGCAGATCACAAAAGATTCTAAATGCATTTGCAAGGTTTTGAGTACTTGAAGAGTCAAAGGTCCTTGGTTCTCCTGCGTTCTGCAACCTTGTCTGCACAAACCAGCTTGTCACAGCATTGGCCCAGTAAGTGTACACGGTCCGGAGCGGATCCGCGCGTGTCTTTTCAAGTGAAGTTGTAAGATACACATGAACTGCGAGGGCTGCCCAGGAACAACTAGCCAGATCAGGTAGGCGATGGCTGCAAGACTTGCAAAAGATCCTGCTGGGAGCGCTGCACGACACGCGTGGCAGGCAACACGCGGCAGAGTCCACATGGTGCAAAGCTGCCCATGACAAAGGAACGCATCCAGTGAGCCTATAGTGACTTTTGCATAAAACAAAGGGTCCGCATCTGTTACCTGAGGCTTAGCCCGACGATTCGAAGAAGACGACGCTCACCAGAACTGCACGCAAGTGAAGATAAGTGAAGTAATTGCAGGTTCGGCAGCTGTTGGCGACTCCAGATTCACCATGTGGCCCCAGAAAATCCAAGAGCTGCAAATGCTTGCAAAGGCTGATCACAGCGATTGGCCGTGTTGAGCAAAGTTCTGCGAGCACAAGCATGCCTTACTTAGGTATCCGTGGACACTTTAGGACCTTCGAGCTTGAAAATGGTTGTGCAACGATGTGTTCATGGCAGATCACAGCGTGCACGCCCTTAAGCAGCCGGTGCCACTCAGCTTTGGAAGCCTTGAGGCGGACCATACCATCAGCCTTTAAGCGATCCAGCAGACAGCGCGCGTGCCATACTTTTGCCATTCGTATGGGCCTCTCGTCTTGCCAAGAGGGCATCTAGCCTGGCGATTTGCCTGGTGTTTGCAGCTCTGACCGACGAATAGGTCCGTCACTCACTTAGACTTAAAACTGCGCATTCAGAGCAGATGCCTTGCAACCTTATCCACAGCAGACTCCTCGCTGCTGCCGACAGCCTGAACTCAACAGAACGGGCCACATTCCAGATTATGCATTGGCCACAGCTGCGGCAAGCTGTTGCAGGTGTTATAGTCTGATGCATCAATCATTCAGGGCCTATTCATTACACAGTCACAACATCAGCCCCGTCCTCCTCTGCCTGCAGGCGCACGATCGGCAACTCTTCGACCTTGCTTGTGCCATGAGATGTTGAACTTGAGCAAGTTCTCGAATGTGTCTATCAGCTTGGGCGAAGGCTGCCTTCTCTTCGAAGAAATACTTCTCCAAGAAGGCGGGCAGCCTCACACACTGAGTCTCATTTGGTCTGACAGGTTGCCTGCGGCCAGGTTCAAGCACGTTCGGGATCTCTAGCCTGAAGTCTTCGTTGCGACCCCCATCTTCGCCATCGCCTGGAAGGGGGATGCATCAAAGCACTACACCATCAGCATTCAGGGTCGCGCTGCCCACCCGGTTCACACGCGTATTCTATGCAATTGCCGGTTGACAACAAACACTACGATATCCTCTCGACGTGCTACACCGTTCTGAGAATATGCTTTGCTGAGATATTTTTGGTCTCAACCGGAAACATAACAATACATAATAATCTTGTCGTGCCGACGTATAGACACAGTCAGTGTAAGACAGGGCTCATCGCAAGTGTCACTCGCAGGCCAAAAGTAGGGACAGTTCTGCACTTCGCGAGGAGAGCTTGCGGGACGGGGACGGGGACAGCACGATTTCGAGTGCAAAATGCACGTGGGACGCAAGTCCCCTTAGAAACGAGCACACGAAGCCAAGCCGTCCGCGACCCCAGACGGAAGGTGCATCCCTACCACGTTTTCGATTCGTGGAGGACGTAATGCTCGCGGGACCTGGTCAAGAGGACGACCGGTCACGTCGGACGGCACCAAAAACCACTGTTTCTGCGGTGTTAATACCGTGAAAATCGCGGCCATTGACCCGCGGCCAGGCCCGCATCTAGGCGAGGGCGCGATTTCGATGTTAAAACAAGTGCCGCGCCTAGGCTGGCCACGCCCGAACTGGCGACGCGCGCGGGCGCGGTAACCTGACCCTGCTTACGTTCGACGTCTCAATATAGAACATGCTGAGTAGGAGGTTTTGCTGCTGGCTGGTAAAATTCTGATGCATCAAAGCCTCATACCGAATACCACAACCTAGCGTTCAAAGTTTCGAGCGCTATTCCATTTAAATTTTCAACTATGCCACTGGCGAGGACGCAAACATTGGCATGGTGTGCATGTCTCTGACGAGGGTCAGAGCTGGCCATATTTTTCAGTGGACAAACAATAACAAATGCTGCCACACTCTGCTTCTGTAAGTTTGGTTCTTCACTGGTGAACTCCAACAGCAGCTTGCCTGAGGGAGTTGGCTTGCTTTCTCCGGCGGCTCCTTCGAATGCGAGACTCGCATCATGCATTCTTTTGCCACTCCCCTTGAGCAACTGGTCAGCGAAAGAACCTGCGTTCATAACATTCTGCGCAGGGGGCAGAGCCTGTCTCCCGAAGCGGTCTGCGCTTGGACTTCCTCCTGAGGTTCCCAAACGCCGAGATCTTTCGACGGACTTGACGCGTAAAGTCGTAAAGTGATTTACACGGGAGGGCCCCGGAGGGCAGCAGCTGCTCTGATGGCTGCTCGACTGCTCCTTCCCGCAGTGAGGGACGCATTGATGTCAACGACATCCTCGAAATCTGCTGGAAGCGACACCAAGAGCTCCTGCATGTGCAAGAGCAACAAGCACAACGACAACGAGCACAAACGTGCAAAAACAGATTAAGGAGCCCTCGAGGGGCCAGCTCCCTCGCCGTCCCCGTCGCCTCTTCTGCCGCGACTTCCACATCATCAGCCTTTAGATCGGCACAGGTGCGCTACCCACGCTGACAGAATTACCTGCGGAAGACGTTGCCAAGCCTGGAAGGTCTTGTTGCGCAGTGCTTCCAAGTAGCCTAAACCCGGGGAGGTACACATTTGACATCGGACCAAGTAACATCTCACGGATCTCGCGTATTTAGCACACGGCCGGTGAGCTCTCGCCGGTTCCTCTCCGCCCGCTGCTTTGCCTCTGAGAGTGTCTCGAGACGGCCAGATCGGAGAGCCTATCGCTCAATCTCGCGGCTCCTGCCTTTGCCAAGCTCTTCTCGAGCTCACCCAGGGATCGTCGCCCATCCTCGGTCCTGCAGCAGCCCCCAATCTCGCGTGAGCACCGCGCAGGCCAACTCTGTGTGCCGCCTTGCCTGAGGTGCCATCGATCCGAGTCCTAGTCGGGACAGTGGGCTCAGCTTAGAGGTTGGGGCACGGAGCTCTTGCCAAGTCCTGGTCATCCTCTGGAGCAGCCTCTGATACCTCGGGACAGGGATTCAATGATGATTGCACGCCATCTTTGAAGCCGTGGCCTCTGGGTCCCCCATGAGCTGTCTTGCCAGCCATTCTCGTCGGATCTGAGCAGCTGCAGCCAGCCTCAATCGTCCGCATCACTAGATGCACCATGATGCATCGTGATGCCCTGCTTCTACTATCTTGTGCTTACATGCTGGCTTCTGTGGATGAGAACTCGCTACACATGGCCCTTAACATTCACAAGCTCCACCGCAGAAGCGTCACTGCGATGAAGCTGGTAGTCATGGTAGTCATCTCAAGAAGAGACACAGCGCTGCTTCTTTGAGTTTCGAGAGTTTTTTTCACGCCGGCAATTGGCTTACACCGTTTGCCAATCGTTTGATGATCCCCAGCAGCCCCAGCCATTGATTTGCCGCCTGGCAATAGGCAGCAGTACACTCAATGTCTTGCCGTGGGCCTACATGTTCCGTTGGAGCCCCATCGCGCCCCTGTCAGCCGATTGGTTGGCTGTGCCAGGCCCATGTAAAGTAAAGGTTCGGATTATCTAACTTTAAGAGTCATGCTCTGTCGCAGACGTTTTGGGCCAGGATGAGGGTACGGAGTACAGGGGGCGGATGGTAGGTACAAGGGACAGGGGGCAGGTACATGTACAAGGTACGGGTAGCCGTACCCCGTACCCCGTACCCCGTACCCCGCACCCCGCACCCCGCACCCCGCACCCCGCACCCCGCGCCCCGCGCCCCGCGCCCCGCGCCCCGCACCCCGCACCCCACCCCGCACCCCGCACCCCGCACCCCGCACCCCGCACCCCGCACCCCGTACCCCGTACCTGTGCCGCTAATAGCGGCCCATGAGCCGCTTTTTGGCAACCCATGAGCCTGTACCGGTACTTGTACGGGTACGGGTACGGGTACGGGTACGTAGGTGTATACGGGTACGTAGGTACGGGTACCGTACCCCATACCGTACCCCGCACCGTACCCCGTACCGTACCCGTACCGTGCCCGCACCGTACCCCTACCGTACCCCCACCGTACCTGCACCACCCGCACCGTACCCACCCCCACCCCCGCACCGTACCCATCCTGCCCCTTCACGTGGCAGCAGAACAGAAACCTATGTTTTCATCACTGTTGAAGTTAGGTAAGGTTCGGACACATCATCCGCAGCCGCGTCCGCAGCTGCGTCCGCAGCTGCATCTGCAGGACTCGCCTCAACTCCTGCGATGCTGCTTGGTTTGCAGGCGCTGTGAGACACAGTTAACATGAACAATGATGCGATAATCTCGCCTTCACTCCAGGCAATTCGAGGTGGAGGCACGTCTTCAGCCTGTGGCAGTGATGGCAAAAACGGCACCTGAACCTTTGTGATCGAGGAGAGACTTTGCCTTTCTGTCACCACCAGGAACTGGAAGTTGAAGTGGCCTCGACTATCGTTTACCGGATTTACCGCGCCCTCTGCATTTTGAGTTTCTGAACCGCAAGCCCAGGCTAGTTGCCGCATTTGCCGCCGAAGCACGCCTTTGGTGCCCCGGCTACGAGCGAAGCCAGCCCGCGACTGCACACGAATGGACACAGAATGGACACAGAATGGAGTCACAGTGGATCCCTGCTCCTCACGGCGACTCAAAAGTGACTCAGAGGCGGAGCGGCGCCTGACCGGTCTTGGCCGTCCACGCGGCATTGGCTTCGGCTCTGCCTTCAGCTGCATTCTGAAAAGCAGAGATCGGAAATCTACGAGTAGGAGAACCAGCCCAAAAAAACCGCGACTTCGCGCGTGAGGTGAGAAGTGAGGTGCAAGCCTCAACGCTGGGGCGAAAGATGAAACCATCCGCGTCTGGGACGAGTGTTCTCGTCCCACCTTCGGCAAGGCGAGATACACATGGAAGACTGGAAAGACAGCTGCCGATCAGCGCGTTTGGGAGCTTCGTCTCTCGCCTGGTGTTTTTGGCAAGGAGGCATAGACTGCAGCTGCCCGCTGGTAGGAGGCGCTGCTCGGGCGGGTCATGCCGTCCTGCCGTGGACTCAGGACTTGCTTGGGTGACCATGAATCTCCTCAACATCAACAACTTGTCTGTGTCTCTTGTTCTGGGCCTCGTCGTGAGAGCGTGACCTGCCACTAGCAGGGAATGGGAAGCAATACAGTCAGACCAGAGCACGGCCACTGTAGCGTGCTAGATTGCTAGATGGGAACTGCCTGGCATCCTCTTGGAGCCGCTGTGCCAGCCGGTTTGAGGACGATGAAACCTGATGCCGTGTGTCGCAGACGCATGCGATTTCAATTCTGCATAGTCTGAAAATTCTTCAACATGGGTGCGCATTTAGCTTTGAATTGGCACCCATCACTACACGGATGTTGCGTCTATGCCTGTTTCAACTTTCTTCTGTGGAAGCACACGCAGACTCACATCCGTTTCAGCCTCACCGGAGCTGGGAGGCTTCGGTGGAGGGGGAGGCCTCCCAACCTGTTCAAGATTTTGCGGTCAAAACCTTCCGCTGCAGAAATGCCTCTCTCTGAGAAGACGACAGCTGCTGGAGCAGTGGACACCATCTTGTCTCCGCAGCCATTTTGAACTCGGCTCCTCTTGAAAGAGGAAGTAGGGTGACGGGAACAAAAAGTCAAATATGGAAATCTCCTCGCACGTGCAACGCAGCCCTTGCATCGAAGCGCGCCTGCTGGCCTGACCAGATCTCCCTGATTGCGACTGGCCTTGGGTTGGAAGAAGATAGGGAAGAAGATAGCTGCCAGCATGGACATCAGCATGTCAACATGACAACAAACCTATCGCTTTAGGCCTGGGCAAGATTGCCCTGGTGCCTCGCACGGCTTAGAAATCCAGTGTCTTTCAGAGGCCTTGGGTGCGGGTCAGAGCTCGTGCACCTCGCCGCTCCCATGAGCAGTTTGCCCGTTGTTTGAGACAGGCGCCTGATATGGGCGAGCCACTGGCTGTGCCGATTCAGAGAAATGAAGACTCTTCACTGTTCAGTGTTCAGGTCTCTTGCAACCCCGAATGAGAACCGACGATTTCTTGTCATGCTGGACAATCCGGAAAGTCACGTGTGAAAGCAAAAAGCAAGAGAAGGGATCAGAACGATATGAAAATACGTGATGGAAACTGACATCAGGGAAAGGCACCACCATTGTGTCTGGGCAGTCTACAAGCTGATGCCAGTAGCGACCGTGCTGCGTTGTGCCATCTCGCCTGTCTGGCACACTGCCTTGCATCCAAGAACAAATCGCCGGATGTGGCGCCTGCGGCGCCTGCGATCTTGCGGAATCTTCGCAGCAAGACATGACTCAGAGAAGGTCTGAAAATGTCTGAAAGGTCTGACAGGTCTCTTTCGGAGAATGGGGGGGGGGGCCTGCGGAATTGGAACGCGTGGATGCCGTGGGACCTCAGAGCTGGCCCCAAAACACGAGTCTGCTGATGTCTCTTAGACAAACCTTTCAAAGGAACACCACGAAAGACTCTTGCAGAACTCTTCTGTTCTAGACACTCTTCTACACCGTGGCATTTGGAACTGTGATCAACTGTGAATCTTGGTAGCAGGCTGCTCTCGCCTTTGGCCAACTTGAGCGAAACACTCTTCAATGGACGGTGGCGCTGTCCAGATCCGGGCTTTTCCTGCTTCGGACAAGCGAATTTAGTTGTCCAAAGCAACAGAAACATTCTTGATTCTCGCAGAGCGAGGAGAGAGAGAGAGATAAAGAAAAAAATCAAAGAAACAAAACAACAATCGCATCTCTGGCACAAGCACTCAGGGGACAACAATGGCTGCGCACGGCCTTTGGATTCACATTCCAATGTCCCGCCGCCAGCCCAGCAACCTGAGAGAAAACGAAGCGCCATTATCCGCATTCGCTGAGCTGCACGCTTTTTGGCTTCCAAAGACGGTGTCAGCAAGAGTTGGATGCATCTCACGGGTACGATGGCCTCGATGGGAGGACTGCATGGCGCATCTGGAGGCAAGGCCTGGCAGTGGAAGCCACTTCTGCATGACAAACAGGATCCTCCACTTGGGCTTAGCGGAAATCGGCGCCTTCAGGGAAGCCGATCTGGGACGAAGCCTGCGGCATACTGCAGTCTGAGGCAAGAGTCGGACAAGGCCATTGGAACTTTGGCACGGGAAAAGAACCTTGAGGACATGCTGTTGGCCGATGCCAGATGCCATCAGATGCCATTTTCACATTACACAGCTACAAGCTTTGTTGCGCATGCGTCACAACAGAACAAGCTATGAGATGTATTCGGTGTTCACGTCGTCGCAGTGCTAGCATATAGATGCTGTCTGCAGACCTGCTTGAACACGTGCCATGCATGCAGACTAGCAACTAGACTTCCCTGCTTAATTGGGCACTGATATGCTGAACTGTGGAGATCATACCTGCAGCCAAAGGCACTGAAGACTGCAAAACATGTATGCAAGAGACACAACAAATGGGAGGGTGGCACATGAGACTGTCAAAGTGTCAAGGCCGTGGCCAGCCCTGGTACAAGCAGCCTATAGCAGCTGCCATAGGTCAAACGAACTTATCTTTCAACATCGAACTCAACTCTGTGCCGTCACAAGAAGGTCAACAGCCGCACCAGGTATCCTAGCCAAAAGTCACAAAGCTGCGACCGTGTCTCTCATCCTTGTTTTGCTGCTTTTACAGGTGAAACCAAGTTCAGGTGAGACCGTTCCTTGCATCACAGCCTGGGGCATCGGATATGCACGGAACATAAAGTGCAATACATGCGACCACACAGCCAAGACACTCTCCGAAGAAGCCACCATAGGGAGTTCGTTTGAACCACCGTCGCATTACTCCTTCCCAGAGTCTTGCACTCATATGGCTGCAGTACCCCGTTTTCGGCCTGCTTGCTTCGTTTGAACCTTCCTTCCGGCCTGGCTGCGCAATGCCATTCGCATAGCGTGGGCCACGACCTGGACTCAAATCGACGCTGGAAGAGGGCAGGTCCGACTGAATCTTGCTATCGAGTAGAGGGTTCCAGCGGATTCCTGTTCTCAGACGGCCGAAGCAAACTTGCACTGTGGACCTTTTTTTACTGCAACAGCCAGTCATGCCAGGTTGTCTTTGCTAGCACTGGCTTCTGCCATGCATGGGTCTGAACACAGCCTGATCCCACACATGACGACATTGCTTGCCGAACTCGCCAATTCAGTGAATGCTCCAACCGGCTCTCAGATGCCAGTCAGCCTCAGCACAGCATCTGTAGATGACCCATGCTGACGCACTGAAGCATCAACTGGCCACGGGCGCCCACCAGCGTCTCAACACGACAACATGGAAAACGGAAAATTCAGGAAAAAGTCTGTCAGGAATTGTGTGGCTGATTGGTGCGGCTGCGCGGCTGGAAGCCCGCCACTGCGGCAGACTGCCCACTGCTCCTGGACAACGCTGGCATTGCGTGGCTGCACTGCAGAGTTTCACTTGGCCCGCTGATGTGACTGGCACACTCTCTCAGATTCAGTCGTGCAAGGAATGCCGCTGCTCCTCACTAAGGCGATAATCCACATAGTCGCTCCTGGCATGGCAAGCTTTGTAACTGCTCAAAAGCCGCCGTCGGTAAACGAGTAGGCTGGGAGACTGCAACATCTACCGGAATCTACCGCCACGAATTCTGTTCTTGGAAGACCCATCAAGCCCCAAGACTGGAACCATCGAACGTGAACGCGGGACCTGTATCTTGATGCGAGCTGTGAGGGATAGTGACAGCGGGGCAAGGTTCTCCTTGCCTCCCGATGAGTGTTCAAAAAACAGAACAATCAAGAAAAGCAGCTGTCAGTCATGCAGCATGATCCTCCCATGCCCTGATTCCACTGTATGCCGCACAGGGGTCAGACCGAACAAGGCTTCACAACAGTGACTGTGAAAGAGTGCCACTGCCCAAGATGGTGGCCTTTGACAGCATGAGCCTTCGAACTGTGTCCGCGGTGCCTGAGCTTGATATTCAGAGACGCACACCACCGCCTTCTGCTCAGGCAGGCGTTTCGAACGGCAGCTTGCAAAAACTTAACGCATGTCCAGTGGCCTTCAGGCTGGGTTTGCCGGCGGATCGCAAGCGACACGGAGCCCTGATTCGAGCGGGAGCTGGTGTCCTGGGCGACGCTTCTGACCTGTAACGTATAACCCATGTCAGAGCCAAGTCGAAGAGCCGACTAATGAGCTGAGAGTCCACGGCCATGTCATCCATCGGTATTCGACCAGCATCATGGCCTCCTTCAAGACGCACCCGAAATGTGACACTAGCCATGGCTAGCAATGCCTAATTCACAAGTCCGCTCACGTGACGTGGCATGGTGGCATTCGCTGGTACCCTACTCGCACGGACTGCTCGCAGCATCCAAAGATGACCCAATGTGGTCATGGAAATACTGTCCTGCGTGCCGAACTCCAATGAGATTCGGGGGAGGAGTTGGTGGCCTAGGCGTCGTCGCATGCGTGGAAACACCTAGCATATCTAGGAGAGCTTTCGGCCAGTAGAGTCCATGGGTCACACAAACTTGAGAATTGGGCCGTGGTGGTCGGAATCTTGCCTTGGCCTGCACCAATGTTTTGTCTTGGAAGAAGTCCCCCGCATCCGCCAAACTCAAGTTCGAGCCCTTGTCTGTGGATCCAGCCTCGTGACCTGCACATTTCTCCTCACTCCGGCCACAACCGAAGAAAGTCAAGTGAGCTTGGTGACTTCGTGAACTGGTCAGTGCATCCACCACAACACTGTGCTTGTGGAAGTGCGCAAATGCACAGTCTCCTCCCGCAGCTGCAGCAAGTACCCATGAAGTGCCTCTGCATGCAGTCTGCATGGTTTCTACAATGCACCAATCGGTGAACAAGCCCGGAGGTCTGTGCATTTGGGCACCGTTGGAGCTTGTGGAATTGGAGCCCGTTCCTAAACAATGGCCGGAAGCTTTGACGAAGCAATGATGTTGGCGCACCTGAAACAGTAGTCTGGGATCTACCTACCCTTACTTAAGCATGAACAGCATGAAGCAAACTGACTGACAATCCCTGTGACTCATGCGTAACTCTGCACAAACGTACATATGCACACATACAACGTGTGTGTCTATATACAAGTTCACACGGAAACCTTGCATGCCGGATGTGCTTACGAGCAAAAACCGGGAAATCACGGCACCGGGAAATCACAGCGGAACGGTTTGGTCGACACATTATTCAATTGTTCATCCAAAGCCCGCATAGCAAGCCGGGAGCCTAGTCTGAACTGATGAGCCTGAATCGCATCCAGCGGAGGCACTGTCGGAATCTCCGAAGCTGCAGCACTAGCAGCGTCCCGTCATCGAGAAAGAAGAAACGTGTTCAAGACACTGGGCGCCATCTGCTTACGCCTTACCTAAGCAGATCTTCGAAGTGTCTCGGGCCACCCGTGAAGACGGCACCAAAACCAAGTTCAAAGCGCCACGGCTGTCAAGATAGGCCAGTACTTGTGGAAGCTTCAATGTGAAATCCATCTCAGGTGCTGGTTCGCCTCCTGCTGCTCATCGGAAAGGACAGCCAGAGCCTCCCGCCTCTCCTACGCCAGCAGGACAGAGAAATCTTACGGTAGTCCACAAAGAGCATCGGCAAGCACAAAAGCGCCACCGGCATCCAACCACTTGCGCCTGTCGTGCCATAGCCTGAAGGTCTCGAACTCGCTTGCAACACCTCCAATGCGATCAACGAAGCTTGCATGGCAGAGACTGCCGCATTAACGCAGGCACGACCCGCAAAGGTACAGATACACTCCAGTCGGGACTAAGCTGCAAGGGTACAGATACACTCGATGCAACTCAGCCACTCCAGGCTGGGTGACCTCACGTTGCCAGTCCTGTGCGCGCAGTAGCGAACACGATGAACATTTTCTTCATCCACTCTTGCAAACTTGGCATTTCCCAAAACAAGTGTACACCTAATACACCTCAATACTCACATTCTTCTTCTAGGAACCACCCAAAATTGGTATCCCTTCTATTCTGGAAACCCTGGATCACAGCAACTTTGCGGCCTCCGTAAGGGAGGGCAGAAGCTCACTTGCACCATGGCGATCTTCACCACAAATGCAGCGCAGCACTGTGCTTGAGCATTCTGTACGCACGGGTAAAGCTGATGTTTTGGCCCTTCGTTCTTTGGACGTGTTACACTCTGAGCTGTGGGTTCCACCCGCCCCCTTCGGTGCCAGTCTGCACAGTCCGGGTATGTCCGGGTCGTGGACCCCTGGCTTCTTCCGCTTTGACAAACTTGTCCATGGCCTTCGCACAAACTATGAAGACCTTCATGTATCTGGTAAAGCGCACAAGCACCTCATCCGCAGGCAATCTCTCCGGCGGCGCACCGCCTTCATAGTACCACCTGCCAAACTCAGCTGTGCAAACTCCACATGCGCGCGACGCATCACGCCACCGACGCTTCCAGAGTTCAATGAGGCAGGGCTGGACTGGCACAGCTACTTTGGGTCGTCTTGAGTCATCTTGAGTCATCTAGAGTCATCTTGAGCGCAGCCAAGAGTTGATTTGCAATGGTGTGCAGAGGCACGTCCCTCGTCGTAGCACCCACTTCGGCTCAGCCTGCGACAGGCTAGTTCAAATTTCGCTCATGACACTGGCCGAGCTGCGCACGGCCTAGGCAGTGGGTCTTTTGTGATCACAACGCCGGCCTGAACTTTTGGCGGAACCTGCGCCGAAAACTCCTTGCCGTATTCACGAGTCGTCACACGTGTTAAGGCTGCATGGACTTTACTAACTCTATGGGTTTGGCCTTCTCACGGCGGAGCCTGTCTCGCGCCCAGTGCTTGTCGCGCACCATACCTAGCACTCTCCTGTTCAAACTGCCGTGGAGTGAACACCATGGGTTTGCCGGAAAGAGCAAGGCTCATGTTTTCACACCTCAGGAGGTTCACTGTCGGACACTGGATGGTCGTGCCACTGTTCGCTGTGCATCCATGTAATGCGTGAACTCCAGCGCTGCTATGGTTGCGCTGGCACGCCATGGTGAGTGGCCGCTGGCACACATCGTCACATCGTCAGGCTTGAAACAAAGGCTCGCAGCCTTGTGCTGCAATGACATTGACTTAACTACTCGGCCCGGCTTTATGCTGCTCCATCACATCAGTTTTCTCATGGGCACACCACTGCAACATAGAAAATGCGGACGACATTCAACGATTGAATGCTCGTTGCACCGAGCACGCAGCATCCTGCCTTGTAAGGATCACTGAGCATGTGTACTGCCCAGCTTGCAATCGCTTGAAGCGAAGGGCAAGATGGATGTAGCAAATGGCTATCAGCCTGCGACCACAAGGTCGTGCACATCCACCCGTCGCGAAAATTTACAATCCCAGCGTCGCTTTGTCTCATGCTCCAGAACATCTCTTGGATAAATGAGGAAGCATGCACGGGCAATGCATGAAGGGCAATGCCTTCTCGAATTGGTCGGTGCCAGGCAAGCACCCAGAACTGTTGCAGCATGTGTGAAGTGCAAGGCATCTTACAACGGCGCGGAAGGTCCCAGGTACAGTGAACAGTCAAGCAACAGCTTCTATGCATGGCTGGCATCGCTCCCTAGAACACCAAAATTGTCTTGAAACATGCTTCTCAGCAGAACAATGCACATCTGGTTGACGTCAAGTTCGTCATAGTTGGATTTGTTTTACGAGACTGCAGCTGCTGTCTGGACAAATCTTGTGTTCTGCTGGCCTCCATGCAGCCAAATTGTGGGAGGATTTGACGACAAGGCCGGCAGAAGTGACCACGGATGCTTGTCAAGCCAGGGCCACTACCCTACCTGCTTCATGCCTCTCTTAGAATGATGTTGGCATAACAGGGCATGCTTCTACGATTCAACCAGGTTTGAGCTTGCTTCCTGCAGAGCACAAGATCATACTTTCGGGTGGTCAGGATGGATAGGCAAAAATGGAACCCAAAAGGCCTTCGTGTCCATTCTTCCTCTGTTGCATCTAGTGTTCTCTTAGATTCCTGCAGGGAGCAAGTCTCGCATCGAATGGAAGATGATTCAACCCATCCGTCAAAACCATAAGACTATTATTCTGGTGTGCTGCTGTCCAGCATACTCAGTTGAGCTCGGCCAGCTTTTGATCCGGGCGGACGCAATACTCGTGGCGTAACTGCGCGAGGAGGTTCTTCATGTCTGCACTCCAAACTGTAGGCATCAGGCAGAGGATTCGAATGAAGGACATGTTCTCCAGCACGTGGGAAAGTTTTACAAGGCGTGCGTGCGAGATGACAGTACCTGTTGCGTCGTCCAAGGCTGCCAAGTGCCTCTCCAAATAGTTCACCAAGTTCAAGGCCGAAGGTGGCATAGTTCTTGCTTTCTCGGTGAGGTAAGGCAGCAACAACCCCAGCGTGTCAGCTTCGTTCAAAGTGCGAATAAGCTGTCGCTGTTGCTTGTCCAATTTGGGCACGCGCACTGCGTGCTGCTCATGACAATATTCGCAGTTGCCACCATTCTTGCAGGACCCGGCCATTGCCAAGTAAACGCATGGCCGACAGCAGATCTGCGGATGTCCAAGTGTGCCCGGATTCACCGTTGCCCTGCATCAGAAAGGTGGCCGGAGAACATGGAAAGCGTGGAAACAACGACTCGGCCAGAGAGACTGTGTTCAGTTTCTCTCCTAGGAATTCTGTATCTATGTTTTTGGTGGAGTTTGTTTGGATGCTTTCTTCTTTTCATTGCTCTTGGTCAGCATGAAGTAAGCAGGAAGGCCGAAAGGAAACAGGGGAGGCAGGAAGGAGGGAACTAGCAAGGAAGAACGGAAGGAATGAGGAAAGGAAGGAAAGAACAGCAGGACATCATGAAGGATTGGTACCCATTGGATGGGGCCCACTGCCTGTCAGCTCCATCCTGCTCCGTCTGACCCATATCCACATCCTTCTCCTCCGTGTTAGCCTTGGAGTACTTGGAGTACTGCTCACACCGGTGCAACATGGTGCAACCAAAGACTGTGAGACTGAAGCCTTTGGGACACGCAGCGCCAAAGACCACCTTGACCAAGTAACAACTTCGGCTTGAAGAAAGCTCAACGTGGTGGCACGTTGAACCAGGTTAGCAATGTAATCTGTCTGCATATCTGCGGTGCCTGCGGCGTGAAAATGACCGTGCATACCCCCACCCAGAGAGAGAGAGAGAGAGAGAGAGAGAGAGAGACAGAGAGAGAGAGAGAAGAGAGGGAGGCGGAGAGTGACAGAGAGAAACCGATAGCTCATGTTTGACATCCACGACTTTATGCATTGACTGGATGTTTCCTGCGGTTCAGACTACTTCAGCACACGGGACTTCCACAGGCCTGTACGTCCTTGTGCAGGAGGAGCACTGCATGCTCGACAACATGTGGATGGCCTGGTGTCACCAATGCTAGCGACATGCAACGATCGACAATGCAGAGTTGCTCCAAGTTGCTCCTGCCTTGATTGGACCGACAGGAAAGTTGACTTGAGAACGAGCTGGTTCGCGCTCATTGTTGAAGGCTGCGAGTCCAAGCCTTCCGCCCCAAGGGCAAGCTTGAGCAAAGCTGGCTGCAGCAAGCGGCGGTTGTATCAAGCTTCACAGCTAAGAGCTAAGGGTCTCAATCTGAACAGAACTACATCAAGCACAGCACAACTGAAGCTGCTGCCAAGATTTTCGCTCGCTTGCTCTGCAAGGAGCTCATCTCTGGCCTTGGAAAGGACGGCGCCGAATAACCAAACAAAACAACAAAAAAGGGCAACCCATCAACCCATCGCCCGGCATGTCAGAACGGCTTCTGTAATCTGTCGAGGCCTCCAAGACATGCCGTATCCGTGGAAGGGCAGCATGCTGAAGGCTCCTGCAGCTGCTCTGCAAGCTGAGACACTATGGCCCGATGGGCCCCATAATGGCCCTATAATTGCTCTGGGGACCCGGAGCTCGACTGCGCATACAGCGAGTTGAGCGCGACGATCTCGGCTGCTCGCCTGCCGTCGATCCCTCACTGCCTTTGTTGCCTTCGTTGCCTTCCTGGCACGTGGCACTTTGGAGGCCCAGGCGGGCCCTTCCTGGTGCATGAATCACGAATCGTGAACTTGCCTGGCCTGCGCAAGTCCAATTTATTTCCCACTGTGGGTGTTCCTCGTTCAAGCCTCACTGCCAATGGGTGGTGTGGAGCTCCGCTCCATACGTTTCAGGGTCTCTGCATGTATCTGCTCTCAGCGACCGGGCGAGTGCGGCTGCGAGGCAGATTTGGAGAGGGCACCCCTGGAAAGTTGGATTGCACAGTGGTGCAACATTTGAAAGCAGAGCCGCTGGGGCTCAAGCAGCTCTGGCATCCTTTTGTTGGCTGTTTGGCCGCCTTTCCAGAAAAGCACGATGGTCATCGACAGCTCACATCGCAACTTGCGCTCGCCTTAAAAGGGTCGCAGGATAGCCATGGGACCTCAGGGCATCCAGCAAAAGCAGAACTCGAGGGGAAACCACAGGCAACAAGAGCTAGCGGGCTGCGTCAGACTATATAGGTAGCGACAGCTTTGCATACCACTCACCACTACCCCCTTCCACAGCCACCCCCAAGGTCCTGATAGTTCCTGACATATTCTTTCAAAGCGGCTAAAAAGCTCTGCCGCGCTGCTGAAGAAAACTAAACTCGAAGCCCAGCTGGCCCGCTACCCTAGAGGACCTAGCCATTTGGCGTCATTTGGCCATCACAAGCTTTCTCGTCAAGGTTCGATGAGGTTCTGAGGTTCGGACCGTCTCTCAAATGCTCAGCTTTGCTGAGCTTCCCAGCTAAATGTCTGAGTTGAGCATGACATAGCAGCAACGGCCCAACGAGCTTATGAAGCTGCCCGGACAAGGTTGCAGAGACTCACATTACGGTAATACGGTAACAGATGCAACAGGACATGCGATTTCAATTCGATAGAGCCCTTGTGTTCTCACGCAGCCGCTTTGCGCCACTCCTCTCCAGCTGTGCTGTGTCGGGCTCGGCCCGAAATTCATTGGCGGAGCATGTCTTCAGACTTCACGAAATCGTCTCGAACTTTCCAGAGCATTACCCAAGATTACCCGCACACTCGGAGACATCTCCCCCGGCCCCATGTGAAACATGGCTAGGGAAGGTAAGCTGGATTGCAATTGAAGCTGCTGTTGAACTCAACTAACTCCTCCTTGTTAATCAAGAGCCGGAGCCCAAATTCCACTTCCGAAGAAGTTATTGGCTCAGGCTACAAGGATCTCTTCTCTCGGCAGTCCACTTCTACCTCACAGCACAGAACGGTGGAACAAAAACAAACGGCATGTCATGCAAAGGATCATGAGCCTTTCTCCCGTCCACGAACATGGAGAGACAGATGGCAAAGGTGTCGCGTTCCTCTGCGGGCAGACGAAAAAGGAACTCTACATCCTACACGGCCTGTTGTGGGCTAGGTGCCACAGGCTCCAACCCTAGGTTGTTGGGATTTGTGGTTTAGGGCCTGTTTAGGGTTTCGGGTTTGCCTGCTGCCATCATCAGAGCCACTGGCAAAGCAAGAGGAGCGATCGCGGCAGCCAGTAGACTCTAAGAAGCCAATAGTCTCGCAAGCTGTGCAGCTGAATGGAGGAGTGCTGCACACTCATTCTCAGGCATGTCACGAGTTCTCCGCAAGCTGTCCTCACTAAGTCCCGCTGGCTTTCTGACCTCTCTGAAGTCAGGGCGCCTCCAGATCACGGAACTCGAGCACGATGGACGGGCCGTAGCCTCACAGCGTAGTTGAGAGCGGCGACAGAGGATGAGCGGACGGTTCGCCCTTCAACTCACTGGTAGCTCATGGAACTCTGGGTACTACTGGACTTCGTATCTATCTTTGTTCACGAAGGAAGCACGAGCTGGATCAGACATGGCAACCGGTGCTAGCTATACACCTGGCCGCTGCACCCTGACTAAGAACCAATGTGATGAACAGCATCTCATTGCTGCGTACATTTCATACACCTCAGAATGCACGGAGAACGATTGATTCTGGCTTGCACGCTTGGTGTGCAATGTGTGCTGCACTTTCTTCTGCAGAAGTTGCATCTACAGCGACCGGTGGAAGTCCCTTTAGGTCACCCTGCCCCCTGTCATCATTTCATTTTCCAATGTCCAGACAAGCTAAATCTGCAGCCTACACCCGAAAGCGTGACGTCAAAGGTGTAGAACGTTGTTTATACGATCTGCCCTGCAGAAGTATGATTCTCATGGCTGTGCGTTCTAACCGTCTAACTGGCTATAACACTGACAGATGCTCTGCATTTTGTGGAGATGGCTGTTTTCGTGCTCAATTCGTCTGCAGATGCTCTGGGCCCTTGAACAATCGCTCTCATGCACCTGTTCGTAGCTAATTTGCAGCAGCAGGGCCTTCGTCCAGGAAGAGTGTGACGGAGCGTTCTGTTGTGCTAAGCCGCCCCTGACAGCGCATTGTGAAGGCATGCGTTCACTGACTACAGTGGAAGCACAATGCCTCGCCGGGGTTGCAGCACCCAAAGGCTATACTTGCAATGCTGGTAAGCCTCAGAGCCATGTTAGGCATGCAGAGAATCACAAGCCATGCCACGTGCGAGCAAGCAATAGTGCCGAGTTAGAGCGTTTCTGCCCTCAATGCATGCTTGGGCATGCGAGAGAACATGACGTGCACAGAGATAGTGCGTGGTGGCTGGACGAGGCATGACTGCATGTCTAGGCCGAAAGCGGGACCCCCAGCTGCGTGGAGACCTCCACCTCACGGTCGTGCACTGATAAAGCGACCAGACTCACATTGAAATTTTCAGCACGCTGACTTCCTGTAACTACTGCATGCAAAGCTCTCAGAAGATTTTATGAGAGCGGCCAAAAACCATGATGAAGATGTAGTTCTTGTAAACGTCCCAACGAAGATACTTATGAAAGGGCCCCAAGAACATTATTTAATACTACTTTACTAAACGACCCACTAAAACTAAAAGTACTGCAGGACAGTTTTGTTGGCCAGCCTCTAGAGTTATGATCCTCGTTCAACCGGTCCTCATGTCGACTCATCCATGTACGTGGATGCTTATGAGTGCCTGGCTGAAATAACCGGGAGCGGGTTTCAACGATGCGTTTTCATGGTCTGAGGCTTGCACCGAAGGATCTGTAGAACGCACGCAGAGGACCTTCATCCTCTTATCAAGAAAGACCGTCACGTTGTGTCCACACCTGAGCTGCATTTGCTTCCAACATTCTGTCTTTGCGTTTGAAACCCTTGACAGAGTTCCCAAGATCTGTTGAGGAGTACTCGAATGATTCGCGCGTTGACGCAGTAGCCACAGTAATTCAATATGTCTAGTCAGAGTCTTGACGCTGTGACAACAAGAGCCTCGAATTTGGACGCGGCCAGCAACAGTCACATCATCACATGTTGCCTGCATGAAGGTTCGCTACAACCCGAGAAGCTGCTTTATACTCCCCTTGAGTCAAGAAGGGGCATACTGCGGGTTCCCACACTTGGAAGATGCTTGAAGACTCGGAGTTCCTGGAGTATGTCATCTTGAGATGTAGGCTCTGGGTGAAACCCTTGTAAAGCTTTGAGCCTATGAATATCTCTGAATCTTCTGAGATCTTCTGAGCACTCGACACGTCTCCCGGCCAGGCCTCGAGCGCTCCAGCGCACAACAGAGCATGGTGTTCACCCGGTGAGGCCCGACCCACATCCGCGTTCTGGGACAAATACCGGTGGAAGCACGGCTGCCACACCCTGCAACATGTCGCGGATGAACTTCCTGGCAGTCTCTTCAGGTCTCCACAGCACAAGATCTCAGAGCCCTTTTGGCTTTTGGACGGGACTGTGCTCGTTCGTTCAACTCTTCATAACAATGAGTCTTTATCACCCCACCCCTTGGGCCGCATGATAATGCCGAATGCCAGGACGGACCATGGGGACTTGCAGAATCTAGCAGGTTCACATGTTACAGTTACAACGTGAGCGAAAATTCACGGGGTGTCCACACGGAAGCACGCATGAATTGCATTGTCACGTGCTGCTGACTATGTTCCTGAGCGGCTGTGCATAGATATCTCTGCCCCACACAACCTTTCCCGATGAATTTTGGCGTTGGTAAACATTGCTCAACACCCGAGTCTGTCTATCTCTTCATTGAGGCTGGGAGTCCTGGACACGAGAACAGTTCATCTTGTTGCTCTTTAGTTACCTGGTTCGTGTCATCTGTGCCGGGGGGCAGGCGTCATGACAATATTGCTGTCTTTCGTAGGACTATCTGGAAACGGAACTATCATTCTTGTCAAATGGACTGACGACTGCGCGTGCCTCACGAGGTCTCGCGCAGGGCTTGCAGCAGAGGCCTGACATTTCTCCCTCTACAAGTCATTCCTCGATAATCCTCGTCCACGGTTGTCCTGCATTGAGGCTCCCGGCTGGGCTTTCCAGCTGTGGCCCCTCGAAGGGGTTCCTGACGCGGCTGAATGTCTCTTCCTGTCTACTCACATGCAAGCAAAGATCAGCACTGAACAGCGCTTCATGGCTTGTGGCCGACAGCATGTGTATGCCAATGCCTGGGTGTGGATGATGACCTCAGTCGGCACCGATGTCAGGGCTGCAAACAATCTTCTTCAGAACTGATGAAAGCTGATGTCTCGTTCCCCCTCCATGAGAGCTTGGCCCGCAAGCGGGGTACTCATACGAAGGCGATGAGCCCTTGCCCCACCTTCAGCATGTCCCCATGTCACAAGGTCCCCTGGCCCCTCGGAGCACAGCTATGTTAAGCTATGCGTAGCTTTGCAAAGCTTTAGTGAAGTTCAATGACTATGGAAGACATCAGCCATCACAAAGTATCACAAAGATTTAGGGGCGCAGCGGTCCCAGCACGAGCCCATCTGAGGAAGTTTGGCGATGTTTCCAGTCTCCACCTCAAGAACAACATGGAACGTGATGGCTTCTGCGAGCGCCTCCTCTGCACTTTGTTACACGCTGAAGCGAAAAGCTCTGGACAGTTTCCCACTCCTGTACACATTGAGGTCGGGCCTGACTTGCGCTTCCACGTCTCACCACCACCCCACACAACCCCGTGACAGCACCAAACTCACTCCGATTGTTGGGAGGCCGACCACATCCGGCTAACCGAAGCCCACCGATGTTTCCCATTTCAAAGGCGCTGCCACCTGAGCTTTCCCAAGCAGTGTTTGAAGTTTTGGCCTCGCTGCTGAGAAGCGTCTAGAACAAAGCAGACCAGGATCTGGTCTCCTTCCCCCCCAACCCTTCCCAACCCTAAACCCCATCCAGAATATTTGTGCAAAAGCACGACAACACGACGAACCCGGAACCCCCCCCCCTGGGACGCCTCCTCACCCTAGGTTCCCTTGAGAACCTTTGCCTTGGACCCCTCCCAGGATCGTTGCACACGCTACTTGGAGGCGGCGCCGCATGCGTTTCCGATTTTGTGTCGCATTGCCGAAATTATCCGAAATTCGTCGAGATTGCCGAACGGAGTCTTAGTTCTTCCAAAAGCCTCTGACTTGCACGCACTTCCATCACTTGAAAGAATGTCTTTGGAGGACCACGTTTGTGCAGCTCGTGGCAGATGCAGTGCGGCACTTTGCCCGCACGATGCAATCTAATTACAGCTTAAGCCATAGCTGCGGCCTGTGAGCTTTCCAATCCATCTTCGAGGGCTGAGTGAACTGCCCCATGCCGCATGAGGACACATGAGGGCACGCCTTTCTGGACTTTCAAGTTCTCTGCATTTCCCTGCTTGTGAGCGACTGTGCGCGCGCAAGCTGACACCACGGCCGCCACCGAGTGCCTCTCTCAGTGGAGCTCAGCGCATGTTGACGCTCTGGAAGTTGGGGAGTCCTGAGCTTCGCAAAGATACTTGTACACACTTGCGTTGACCTCGGCACTTCAGTAAGCTTCCTGCACGGCTCTGGTGATGCGCGATGTCGCAGGCAAGGGATTTCTTGTGCCCTCTCCTTCCTCGAGACCTCTCCGCCAAAGGCCAGCATGGCCAGCTTGGAGAGCCGCGAGAGCCTGTCCGACTTGGCTCACATTAGTTCAGGAAGTTGCAAGATGCAAACAGACGCGAAAGTTGCCCTGACAAGAGTTGCCTTCTGGCGTCTGGTCGAAGTTGGCTTGATCTATGCCATGTAGACCTGGGCCCAACAGAAATGAGGATAATGAAGTGACATCGTCCGTTTGGCATCAGGCAGTTTCAGGAAGCAAGTAAAGGGTCTTCAAAGGCCGGACAGCCCCCCCATGCCGTCCGCACATCGGTGCGGATTTCGTGTTTTGCCACCACATGGTTTGTACGAATTGCGAACTCAGCCAGACGGTGCATCGCGCTGCGCATACGACTCTCTGCAGCTTCCTTCGCCTTCAGCATCCTTCAGCGGTCTGGGCCTTGGGCCTTGGCCCTCAGCGCCAAGACCTCTGCCTTCAACGCGGTCACCGGGAACCGAGCACGTTCCAACTCTATCTGGTGCCGGTGCCCGGCTCCAGCGGTCCAGCCTACTGCCCCGCCCTCTCTCACAGGGTCCTTGAAGGGAGTCCCAAAAGCCCATCAAGAACAATGGTTTTCTGATGGGTACTTGACTCCCCTGAAACATACTGCTGTGCGATATGCCTTTGGGCCTGAGCGCAGTACGAGCGATGCTGTTTCGATGGCAACGTCGGTAAACCCTGCTCCCAGCTGGCGAGCCTGCGAGAACAAAGTGCCCACCGCGACTCACACAGTTCATCAACTGGCGGACTTGATGGTACCACCGACAGTTGTCGAGGCTCTTGGCCCGAGCAGATTGAGTGGCGCACCAGCTGGTGCCTAGTCTCCAGGTTCGTGACACCCTGTCAGGATTCTGCTTCGTGCAGCTCGGCTCGAGGCGGTCGTGTAGGGTTTAGGGCTTCTAAACTTCGATGTTTCAGGATGTTTCAGGGACTTTCTGCTTAAGATTAAGTGGGGCAACACCTGTTCAGTTCAGCTACAGCGCCTCTCGGAGGAACTGCTTCATTCTCAGCATCCGAGCAGAGAACTGCTCAGGGCAAGGCCTTGGCCCACCATGGCAGCACAGGCAGCACATGACGGCACATGACCCGCAGATTTCTTGAAAGCTTTGGGTACGTGGCTCATCCAGGTAGAGCTGCACGATGGCTTGCAACCACTCCTGGCCACTACTGGAACACTTAAATGACTTAACAGCTTGGAGAGATCTGGAACAACTTGACCACCCCGAGAGCTTAAGCATTGGTGGGTTTCGTGGGTTCTCGAAGTTGGACTTGTAGGTGAAGGTTTGGTGCTGGCTTGGTGCGGGTCCGCATTCGACAGATGCGTCGCAGTGCGAGAACCGACCCCATTGCCATTTCTTAACTTTCTGAATCCCGGACTTATCCGGCTTCGATGATGCAAGAGTACTCTGAGATTCGCAATCACGCTGAGTGAGAGCACATTGCTGGCCTTCGTCAGGGGCAAGTGCTGCAGGAACAGCTGCAGGTACAAGCGGTTCCCAAGCCTAAGATTCAACCGAGACATGAGCAAAGCAGATGCCTTGCACACTACATAAGAAATGCCTCGGCTTGGCAACGTTAGCAACCAAGGTCTCGGCAACACAACCTGTCTGTACAAAGCTCTGGGCCACACCTCTGATGGACCATGGCAGAGGGTTGCAGAGCGCACGCAGAGCGCACGCAGAGCGCATGCAGAGCGCATGCAGAGCACATGCAGGGCACATGCAGAGCACATGCAGAGGACATGTGAGCACCGTGCAAGTACAAAAGAGTCCCCGCTCTAGGGATTCCTGGCCTTGAACAAGGCATCGCCATGCGAGTGGCGGTATGCGCTGACCTTGAACCCAACAAGCAGGATCACACATGGCTTCGCCTCGCGCAAATCTACCGTTGAACTTGACGAATCACCTCAGCCTTGGCCTAAGCAAGGTTGCAAACCTAAAATCAAAGACTAAACTGAGGAATGCACAACTTCAAGTGCGGCTATAAAGTCTTGATGGTACTCAGCAAAGACCTCGTGGCTGCACACCGGCCAACGAAACACACAACACGATATGGCGGATTCTGGCGCGCCTCGACCTCTGTGGGAATCAAGTTGATGACCACGAAGACGTCACCAGCCTCGCAGTTGCGCATCAACAGCATCAACTGCACTCAGCCATACTCAACTTTCATGGCAGATGCTCGCAGATGTTCAGGCATCTGCCGGACCCAATGACACCGGCGAAGCTTGCAGCGATTGCTCTTGGCCTTCGTCACAAACGGCGCTTCATTCCGACTTCTGCTTTGGGTTCTGTCCAAGGTCTCGGCTCGGCAGACGTGTCTTTAGGAAGCCCTTGCCTAGTGATGCAGCCGCTTCAGTGCAGAGTAGCCGTGCAAAACCATGTGCAGAACCGATGATAGCCCAAACATGCTTGTGTCCGTGTAAGGGCTCAAAGGAGGCTGGTCAACCAGAGCGTCACGAAGGCGGCTTTAACAGGTTGACTATGGCCGGTCCCCCCCCCCCACCCCGCCCCCCCACCCCCCCCCCCCACCCCCCCCCCCCCCCCCCACCCCCCCCCCAGAACCAAAAAACGGTCCGGCGTGAAATGTTGGACAGCTTTGGGGAAGGTCCGGCGAAATATTCGACAAGTGCAGAACCCGTGAACCCTAAACCCTGAAACCACAGACGAGGGAGTGTCATGCTAGCATGGGTGCGATCAACCCTTGTGCTTAAGCCTTCTAAGATTTGTGTTTTTTGTGCGGCTGTGGGCCTGAAGCAGCCTCACCCGCCAAATTCTAAAATTAAACTGGGTTTAGTGTTAGTGTGAAGCGATCACTTAGAGGGCATGGGCCCAGAGCCCCGTCAGATCGCCTGTCACGAGGCGAGAAGGGTGATTAAAGACATAGCAGACTATGAACTTCGAAATGCGTTGTCCCACGCCAGCTCATGGCAGGAGAAAAGTCAAGGGTCCAGGGGGCCTAGGGGCTTGAGGCAAAGCATGCCTTTCAACTTAACGGGCTCACGTGCCTGGGGCCTGAGTGTGCACTGGCCATTTGCTGTTGTCCTGGCATTTCCGCGATGGCGAGTCATGACGCGGGCACTCAAGCTACAATTCAACTGCTCCTTGTCCATGCGGAGATCCTGGCATCCAGATTCATCCAACAGATGATATGTCAGGTCCAAAAGCGCAGAACATACGAACATACCACCCAAGTCACGCAAGTCCTCGTTGGCTGAGCCAGGTCCAGTCTCGGATGCCATCCCGTCGGCCTGAACCACCATGGCAAATGAATCCGGTCAAGCTGCAGCACATGTGCAACGTGTCTGAGTGGAGATCCGGGTGCTCGCCCTGGCGAGCGATTCACAGGCCGAACGATTTTGTTCGATGCACAGCAGCAAGCAATGGGAAGACACAATCAATTGCCTGGACAGGTCACCTCAACCATTTGCCATCTATCTCTTCGTATGCTTGCAGGTTCGAGGGCAGTCATACACTGGTACTAGCGCCGCACTGACGCCGGTCTTGCCATTTTAAGCGGAATTGTCCAGTTTCGCATGCGAGTGGCTTTTCTCGTCTTGTCTGATTGATTTGCCGGATGCAAGGTGGTGCCTACGAGACAAAGGCACATCACGGCTCGTCGCCTCCCGACGATCATTAGGAAACGCGCCAGCTACACCGGTCACAATTGGTGGCGACGACGCCAAGACTTTCTGCTGACCTAATGCCTTTTGAAACCATCTTAACTCTGTGTGTTTTTGTGTGTTTTTGTGTGAGCGAGAGAGGAAGGACCTGGCAATTATGTACCACGAGCATGTGTCGGCCTGACTCGCTATCATGGTATGGCGCCGGAAGACATCGAAGGACTCTTGAGGTGTTCGCAGCTTGAAGCAACACCGGGCTTCAAGCGGCCGAGACGAGGGTTGCGACTTGTGTTTTTGTCTATGTGGTTCTCCTCCACTCTGAGCCCCGAGCCGCGCTCGATCTTTCTGTCTTCTTCTCTCAGTCGGTACAGCACTTCAAACTCCCTGAACGAAGCCACTCTTCTTCTCCTCCCTTAACTCGCCAGTGAGGCCCAGCCCTTGTGCCGTCCTGTTGCATCAACCTTGGGCAGCAGAGGAGCACGTCGAATGGCTTGTCTGCACCCAGCAGCGAGATGCTCGCGTTCTTTTGTCTTGCTTGGAACTTTGAAGCATCGTCGCAGAGATGTTAGCAAGCATCTCTGAGTCATTTCACGCGTGACTCAAAGTGCCACAGAAGTGTTGCTTTAAGCATCGCTTTGCTGCGAGCCATCGTCATCGTCGTCGACTTGGGTGGGGGGAGTTCTGAACTGCTTGGAGGGTTGAGCTGTGCTTCGAGCGGAAGAGCTGTGGCTGCACCTTTCCTATCCCCCTGTACATGTGGGAGAGCCCTGGCCTGCGAAATGCTACGAGATGCGGCGACATGCTGCGAGGCTCCACGAAACTAAGAGACCCACCAAGGCATTCGCTAAGGACTCGGGGCCTGTCAAGAAACGTTCAACATCAGAAAGCAGAGCAGCGATAAGCAGAGGGCTTCTGCATACCTACACCAGCTGTGCAGAGCTGTGCAGGTGTCCCGCCGTCAGCGGGAACTGCTGCCCAGTCGAAGATTTCCTGCGTGCTACGCACACGGGTGCGCAGGAGGCAGAAGGCTTTGAAGCTTGACAGAGAGTCTCAAGTCCCAAGCCTGACCAGCTGTTGCAGCATTTTGCTCGTGCAAAGAAGCGGCCAAGTGGATTTGCACCGCCTGGTTCCGCAGGGTCAATGTGTCTTACTTTCACCATGTTCTCCACACGCATCCACCCTTGTTACATCCTGCTACGGGAAGCAATCTCAGATGGCTCCCAGAAACAACCCAAAGCCCCAGAGACGACGCCTTCAGCTGCAAGCAGATGAGAGCGGCGAGCTCATTGGCGACCAAATGGCGCTGGTAGCGCTTCCCCTTCAGAAACAGGCGGGCCTGGGCGCAAGACTAAAGCCGTGGACAAGCAAAAAGTCAGCTTCCGAGCTCCCGGCACACTGAAGGTACATCGAAAGGCAAAGCAGAAGCTGTTCTTCACCCTCCTGCAATATCTGATACAAACTGAGCTGTCTAGTTGTCACACGGACCACTCCAAGACGCCTCAGAGCAGATGTCCGTCCACTTTCTGCCTGTGCAGCAAGCAACTCGGGCATGCAGGAATCATGTGGAATCTGAAGCTCTGGGGCAGTCTTCACCCTGCTGGCAATGCCCCCTCCAGTGTTGTAACCCATGTCGCCTAGACGCTGAGCGACCTGACCAGCCTGGCAATGCAGCAGAAGAGCGTGAGCTTGCGATGATTGTCTTCAGAGTGAGCTTTTTTCGACAGATGTCCCTCACTGTCCTAGGGTTTCAGCGACGGCTGGCATGCGAAGGTAGTCAACAAAATCAACATCATGAGCATATCGTTGAGCACATTCTCACAGTTTCCGCTGCAAAGCATTGAAGCGTCTTAAAGCAACAGTCCAAAAGTGCGCACTTTCGGTCTTTATAGGGAGCAGGCCATGTTAAAGCAACAAGCTCAAAAGGCTCACTGGAGCACGTGCGGAGCAGTTCAGGGAACAAGGAGCACGCACGGCGCATGACCAGTAACGTTCAATAAAAAGCCCTCCCTTCCCAGGCAACGCCTGCCAAGAGAAGAGATGACAACCCTTTTGTCCGCCGAGGCCCTAGGTCTCCAGTGCTGGAGAGTGCAAGTACACCACGCGAATCCATCCCTTCGAGGGTTTCGTTCTCGGTCCAGCTGAATTTGGTTTTTGCGGGGAATCAAAAGGCTGCTTGGCCTACCCTTGGCTGGTTCGCCCAACATTAAGGACAGTTGAGAGTTGCGACCAGGTAAATTCAATGACAAAGCACTGAAACATACTGAAACTGTATGTCCATAAACCATTGCCTTCGTTTCCAGCAGTTCCGCAAGCTCTGCTTCTAAGCCGAAGCAGCAGTGCACCTTCACCCCCACAGCACTCCAACAGCAAAAGTAGTTGGAGGAACATGATCACATGCGCCTGGACAAGCATTTCCAAGTCGAGAGGGAAATTCACTTGCAAATACCTGGCAAAGCAGTTCCACAGCGAAGCCCGTGGAGCCGTCAGACCCTCAGCAAAACTTGCCTGATCAGGGCCACGGCCAGAGCAGAGTGCCCGCACTTAGCCGAATCCTCACGTAAACCAACTTCCCCAAGGCATCACAAGGATGCCTGTGGATGCAATGCCCTGTGGAGATCTGTGGAGTGTAGACTGGCAAATGTCTGAGCTAGTGTCCTGCCCTCTTCGTCTTCCTTCAGCTAGAAGCGTGTGAAGCTCGCCATGGCGAACCTGGCAAAGCGGACCCGAAGAACCACAAAGATCACATGAAGTGCTCACAATGAAGTGCTCGAAGCTGAGACTGAGATCCCGACCAAATGCCCAAACACATACTCCTGATTTGGTCTGAGAAATGTCTGAGATGTCTGAATGTCTGAGTAGCGCTCAATAGCAAGGTCACCATGCGCAGTTCAGAGTTCGGCGCTTCCAACTTAACTTCGGAGCAAACATGTCGGCCCGGCCATGGCATGGTACTCCGGAATCGCTACCAGCCTGCTTCTCTGAAGGGGTGCACTGGCCAAGCGTTCCGCAGTTCAGATCGCTCAGCCCTGCACAGGCGAACAAGCAGATGAAAGTGTCCCCGAGCCACCTCGTAACTCTCAACGGACTCATAAGCTGCCCCTGAGACTTCCCCTGAGACTTCTCCTGAGACTTCTCCTGAAACTTCTGAGGAGCCCTGCATAGAAGCCTGTTCTATCCTGAAGAAGCCGCAGCAGCCTGGGTGCCGGAATGTACTTGCTTTGTGAAAGGTTATGTCGGAAACATACCATCCCCCGCACGGTTGGAGCAACGAGATGCCACGAATCAATGAGAGTGTCCTTGAGCCTGCTGCTCGCTGACGGAGCGCTCACAGCAAGCCTGCATGGAGCGGAAGCTTCGACTCTGAGCACAGGTTCTTATTCCACGCCTGAACGTAGGAGTGATAAGCCATGATCAACACCTCAACCTCTGTCTCCGGATCTAGGACTTGACTGGGCACCTAGGAGCATTGCGGTCAAAGAATCAAAGGACACAAAGCGGCCATGACAGCAGATTGAGATCGCGACGGAGCCATCGGAGCCCTCGGACTTCACCAGCTTCCTTCAAATCCCCATATGTGCCGTACCATGTGCAAAAAAAATGCACTTTTGCGGCACACCTCACCGGTACGCTGCATTCGTCAAACCTTTGCCCATCTTGCCCACATGCCTGCCTGAAGCTTGGGATTCGTCTGAGAGCTGCATTGCCCAACAGCTCCTGCACCACCAGGTTGTTTTAATTCCTTCCCCCAACCATTCGTACCATTTGCACCCGCATACCGACTCCTACTAAGTACCAGCAGCATTTGCAGCAGGCTTCACGAGTGGTTAACGTCGCCAAATCAAGGCTCCGGTAAGGCCGCTTTGTTCCCTCCAGGTTTCGCGGCTGCTTGTGTGCAAGACCCCATCCCCCATTAAAAGTTCGAAAATATCGTGAGCTCTCCTGTTGAATTATGAACGCTGACAAACAACCATGTCTTGATCACTGACATCATGCAGACGTGTAGCGGTGGAGGTCCTGTGAAGGGCTCAGCAGTGACACGAATTCATCCAGCTTCTCTTCGGCCCATCGCATGACGCCCTGTGAGAGCCTCGTGCGCATTCAGGCGTCTTTCGGAAGAGCAATCTGCAAATGCTGGAAAGTGAGCTCCGTGCATGGACTCGATAAATGAGTCCACGAGCACCTTCCAACTAATGCAGGGCCTGCTCAGATTCTGAGGCAACAGACAGCAGCCTCGGCCACGGCAACTGCATCCAGCTTCGGGAAGCCCATGATGAGGTTTCTGCAAAGGCACAAGATTGCTGCGCGTCAAACTAGCTGTGTGTCGCCGTCGCCCCCCCCCATCTCTGCTGCCTTTGGCTTGTTGCGGAGGGGGGTTGTCGCATGCGAGCATGATTGCAACAAACCATGCGTCACCAAAACGCGCCCGAGACCTTTCACATACCCTAGACTTTTTGGCCCGCAGCATCAGCACAGGGACAAGGAAGAGCTCACAACAAGGAGTGAGGTGCCCAACAAGACAACATACAGAATTGACGAACGGAAACACGAAGAGAGAGAGAGAGAGGCTGATGGAGAGAGCATGTTGCTGACTCTTTCGGAGCCTCAGCAGCTTACTCATTGTAACATTGGTGTAGCTCAGCCCCTGCCTGCAGAGCTCGATGTCGGCGCAGTAGGGCCTTCACAGAGGGGACCGAACAAGGATCCTCGTAGTGAGCAACTCCCCAAAGCGATTGAAGGATAAGTTCCGTGCTGTGGACCCAGAAGCAAAGACATTAGTTTGGTGGGCTCCACCTTCTCCACCTTGGCTTAGCACCAGCCAAGCAACGAGCTTCGTAAGAAACATGAGAAAGCATGCAGAGCATGCAGCCAAATCCACGCCGCGCCTCTTGGTAGTCCATCCCAATGTTTCTCGACACAGAATAGAAGACTCTGCCTCGGATGTCACTTGTGTCACGAGCCAATCCGAGCTTAGCCAATCCGAGCTTATCCATGAAGCTGAGCTTGCTGGCAACGACGGCAGTACAGAGCAATCCTGTCTGAACAGTGCCTGCGCAAGGAGTTGGAATGCCAGATTTCTTGGAACAATGTACTTCTGAGCTTCTGAGGGTTGGACGATCCCAACTCGCTCAACAGTGGTTCGGCATCGCCCTGCCTTCGTTTTGTGCATGTCACAGTCAAACCATCCCACCATGGCTTCTCAGGCAAACCATCCCACCATGGCTTCTCACAGGTGCTATGTCCCTGGCTCCGCAGCTGTCAGGGCTGAGTCACTGGGCCTGAGTGCGGTCTTAACACAAGTTGAGCTGCAGGAGCTGGACCACTGAACCACAGCCTGCCCCCTTTACCGTGTGGGGGGAAAGGGTGAGCGGGGGAGCTGAGGGGGGGGAGCTGAGGGGGGGGAGCTGAGGGGGGGGAGCTGAGGGGAGGGGGGCGAGGCTCAGGGCCCGTCTCCAGCGGCGACTGCTCCGATTTGAGCCATTGCACAGCCTGCACACCAACATACCGAGTTGAGCCTTGTGAGCCTTGTGCCAGAGTAGGGATCCATTTCGGTCTCACTGCCTCGAGGTGCTTGCCACCTGAGGCTGCTCCCTAAACTGCACATTTGCCAGGTGTCACTTTCGCATCCAAGAAAACTCTCGCTGCTAGGCCGGAGGCCAGCGATTGAAGACAAAGCCGTAGCCAGCTTTTGATCCGAGCTTTCGAAGCCAAAGCCTGCAAAGAAAAAGGACTGAGACGAAAAAAACCTTGTAGGAGGACACAACGCCTTGGAGTATCTGGTACGAACACATCAAGCAGTATGCACAGAGACTGACGTGCAGTCACCCCCGCCTGAGGCGAGTTGGTCGGCCAACACCAGCTCATCGCGATTGATGAGCGAACTGATCCCAGTCTCCAGGAAGGGGATTAACCTCGGATCCAAACGTTTTCTCACAACCCAACTGTCAGAAAGGCTTGCCGCAGATTTCGCTACGACACAACAGTCATGCTGTTGCTGCTGATGCAGTAAATCCACAAAGGAGGAGATGACTGCATCTCTGATCCGAAGACGCCCTCAGGCCTAAGGAGTAGCATAGAGGCATAGAGTGTCCAATCCCGCCAACAGTCGACCACCCCTTGTTTTTCGGGCTTTCGACCTGAAATGGGTACCACCATGGCTGGCACGCAGGCTGACCACAGCAAACATCAGTATTTTGCTGGGAAAGCAAGGATGCTCAAGGACCGCCTGGGCACCCGTTCTCTTCCCCCCCTATACGTAGGCGGTTGGTATTGCCAAGGCCAGGGACTCCAAGCCGCCTGAAACAGACCTTGCCCTCCTCCATGGACCCGCACCCTGAAGACCCTAACATGGCAAATCTTTGAAGCCGTCTCAGACCCTTTCCAGCGTCCCTACAGGTTGACCGCATGGCGGCACTGTTCCTTGACTCGCAGCGAGGCAGCCAGTGCCCAAGGCGGGCCGCGTAGCGATAACATTGAAGCTCGCTTGACATCAACGAACATTTTGTAGGCAAAGCCCTCGAACGAGTGCGGCCGGCAGGTCCGAGGAAAAGCAGCAGTGCAAAGCAGGCGTTGGGCCGCCGAATGCAAACGCAAAGCCTTTGCATCCACGATATGACTCTACGTAGCAAGAAGCAGATGTCTGGAGCCAGGTTTTTTGGGGTGTTTTTTGGCTTTTTTGGGGTATGTTTTTGGGTTTAGGGTATGTTTTTGGTTTAGGGTTTAGGGTTTATAGGGGTTAGGGGTTAGGGGTTAGGGTTTAGGGTTTGGGGCTTTAGGGCTTTAGGGTTTTAGGGTTTTAGGGTTTTAGGGTTTTAGGGTTTTAGGGTTTTAGGGTTTTAGGGTTTTAGGGTTTTAGGGTTTCAGGGTTTCAGGGTTTCAGGGCTTAGGGTTTAGGGTTTAGGGTTTAGAAAACCAAAAAAATACCCAAAAAAGACCAAAAAATATACCCAAAAAGAACCCCCACCCCAGATGTCACACCTGACATCAGCCACATCCACATCTGCATCCACATCTGAAGGCATCAAGGGCTGTGACGACACGGGGTTCAGGCAGAGACAACACCTGCGATGTCGGAGGGCTGCCGGCACCGAAAACAACATCAGCTCGTGAAACGGGGCCCTCACCGCCGCCCATCCAACCTTGTTCCTTTCGTGACAAAATATTAAGAGTGGGAAGGTGGCACTCGACCGGACATAAGACGGCTGAGATCAGTGACTGAGGCTCTCGAGAGAGCAGAACAAACCCTCCTCCCCCCCAAGAAACATAGCAAACAAAAACCCACGGGCGCAAACGCAAATTCCGACAAACATCGGCCCTGCATTTATCATTGCCACTCCCTCCTCAGGAAGCAGCTCGCCACGCGGCCCTTTCTGCTGCGCATCTAGGACCTCAAAGACGCAACACTTTCAACGTCTCACAGGCCATCACCTTCCGACATGGCTGGGGCATCAGCTGAGCCTCCCTGAGCCTCCTTGGCCGAAGGTCCTGGTGGAGGCACAGTGGCACCATGTGGCACCAGAAGCACTCCGATCACTCCGTGAGGAAGAAGGCTGCCCCAAGGACAGGACCGAAGGCATTGGCCCTGGTGCTCGTCATCAGGGCACCCTCCATCCCCTGAAACAACGGTAGAGCCTCAGGGCCACTGTACGTCTTACTATCAACCAGCATCGTTTTGATACGCAGCCTCATCTCTCAGCAGCCCGCATTGACTTGGTCTGGGATCCGATGGACCAACGTGCACATGGTCTTGTAGGACAAGTCCTCACCCGTGCGGTGGTAGATATCCGCAGCTCTGACACTATCTCGCTTGTACTAGCTTGACCTTCCGACAAACACCTGGTTGACCGGCTGGTGCTGTTTCCGAGTAGCTTCTCCGTGTCTATTGGTTGCCTGCAAGATCCAGGTTCTCATTGTGAACTCACCGAGGGTTGGTCATCTTTCATTGTCGGATGATGCTGCAAAGGCCAGTAAAGAAATTTACCGCCATGTCTGCACTGCAGGGTTGCAGGGAGTTCCTTCACACCACGGTGGCCTGGCCGGAGCACGGTACTTCGACGAGTCAGCAATGTGCAGCACAAGCATTGCGTGCCAAAAGTGGGGCCTTGGCCTTGTGATAGAGGGTACTTACAGCAGAGATAAGCGACTTCTCATTTCCACAGTGTTGGCGGACAACGCTACAACATGCCTCAATCAAACCACGAAGCGTGAAATCTCCTCGAACCTCGTACTGTAAGACACACGCGCTGATGGCACAACTTCGAAGCTTCTAACACTCTTCTAATTGATCTCCCTCTGAGCCCCGTATGGCGTTCTGATGCTGCCTCTGTCTAAGCCGTTAAGCAAGACGCGGAGGACATTTGCCAGTGAGAACGTGTGTCTTGAGAAGTGTTGGCAGTCCAGCGGGGACAGCTCCAGATCCGGCGTCAAGTCTGGTGCTGTGCCCGTCAGAATGAGCAGGAGGCTCACCTTCCTTAGTACTTGGAAGCATGACCCGGCTTCGGTTTTGGGTTGATGCTTGCTGCCAAACTGATTTCGACCCGGCAAGAAAGGCCGGAGCCTCAGGGAACTCATTCAGACTAACCTCTGAAATCCCCCCTCGGCCCAGTCTCAACTGCTCGAGGTGATCCTCCTGCGAGGTAGCAGCCTGCAGACATTCAGTGTGCAAATGGAAGCTCGATGGAAAAGCCAGAGATGAGAAACACTTCACGCGCACCCTGCAGACCTAGTGTCGTCGGTCGTCGTCTCGGCAGGAAGCCGGGCTATGCACTGAATTGCTTTATTGGTTTAGCAGCACTTCTAGCCTGCGCCACTGGCTGAACTAGAAGAAGCTCTCGGGCAATCGACAGAAGCACCAACCTAACGACAGATGAAGCCAGACTCAAATCAGAGGATGTGAACGGAAGTGTTTTCATAGTGGCACAAGTCCAGAAACCGCTCGACAGGTCCGACCAAGCTGCTGCTCTCGAGCGAAGAGATCCGGCCTTCGTCGAAACGCCACGAAACGCCACGGAACGAGCATTCTGTTCACAGTTGACTGAGCCGCTTCGCTACTAACGAAAATCGAGGTTCATGCTCCAGCTTGGCGGTAATATCCAGGAAGAAGTTGGCGGACCCTAACAGCTGCAAGAAATGTGAAATATTGTGTAAGCTTCCAGCAGCAAATCCTCCGTGCATTTCTATGATAGCTGGAGTACTTTGTTCACACTTCGCGCCATCGAAATGCAAACAGCAACCTTGGCTGCGCAATCAAGTGCCGCACCCATCGGAGGACTTTGGCGCATGAACGCGCTGAAGCCTCGAGGGCAGATGAGGGCACTTTGAACTGGCGACATATATGGTGCGGCACACAGCTGAGGCATCCACACTTGTGCCAAAGTTGGACTCTTTCAGTCAGCACATTCCACCAGGCCCCCTGCAAAGCTCAGACTGATCAAATCCGCTAAGCGCCAATGTCAATGCGAACACGTTACACAGTGCATTCAGAAATCAAAAACTAGCGATGTCAACCCCGGCCAAAGGGCCCTACCATTCAGACTCTGAGCAGTTCTTGAATTGTTCTTGAATTCAATCACATCGCTCCATACATCTCCATACTTCCACACTCGCGAGCCTGTCTGAACTCAACGATCATGCCTTCAGACCAGCAGCAGTCAGTCATGTCGTTGAAGGACAGGAAGTCTCCATGCATGACAGATCCGAGGAGCCTGTCACTTCTTCAAAAACGACGGTGTCTCCGGCCACGCCTTGTTTGGCACCGAGCTTTGATCAATCGTGCGTTGTGTCTATTTGTCTCTCTTAGCCACAGGCCACTCTGCCGGGCCCATTCCCGAGCTTCGGAGAACATCTTCTTCGAGATGAGCAGCTGTCTCAGCCCCATTCTACTCTCGGGCTTTGGCTTCGACATGCTCAAGTCCAAGTGGTGCGCAATAGCTCCGTACTCGGCACTCGGAAATCCACGTCCAAACCTGTCCTGAACGCATACACACACAGAGACTCCATGACGGGAATGGACAATGATACCTTCTTACGTATGCAACAGCAATGCTGCGGCCCCGGCTGTTGGATCAGCCTTTCGATGAAGGTGGCGCGCGCACTGCTCTCAAAACCCACAAAGCGAGCTATCCCTAATCATTTGGGCCTGTAGGCACTGAACAGCAACGAGAAGCGCGGAGAAAAGCCAGCTTCATCAAGCCTCACGCGCAATCAGATGAAAGGGGAACTGATCAAACGAGGCGTCGCAGTACCATCTTCTTCTACCAGAGCCTACCACTAGTACTCCTAGCTTGGCCATGGATCCGCTGCTCAGTGCTTGACACTGACAGCAGCATCATGCGAGACCTTGGGAAGCCGTCGAGCAGGTACCTGACAGAGCAACTCAGGCAACTACCTGTCATTAATTTTGCAGCTGTTGCTGGTCCACACTCACCATACCATGTCTTCGCTGAGGCGTTCCACATGCGGCCTCAGCACACACAAATCTCCACAAACACAAGCTAACTAACTAGCTAGCTCACTAACTAAGAAGCGAACGACACAAGTCGGATCGTAGGGAGATTTGTGGTGGGCAGTTGTCGGGAAACCCATGTACGCCATCTGAAAGGCCGCAGAGACTGGCCCACTAGTGCATCTTGGCCGCGAGAAGTCCAGGGCGTAGGACGTGCCCTGGGCTTGCAAAATGCAGGCAACCAATGGACATTGTGCCCGTCACTAAGCTGCACACCGATTCCTGACGACGTCCAACGAATCGGCGCAAATGCTCCCGGCAGCTCTTGAAGCGACACTGCCTTGGCTGAAGCGGGCTGCCTAATGTTTGCATGCTACAGGGCCTATGCCCTACAGGCATTCGTCTTCTTCTGGCTAAGCCGGCAGCACAAATGCACGATAAAAGCAGACAAAATCAATGAGCGGGTTGTCCGGATCGAAGATCTGTCATGTCCAACCAAGCATCTTGGTTTCATGATGCAAGCACGGGAACGTGGTCTGCTGCACATGTGTGTTCACTAAGGCTGTCGGAAAGGAGGAAGTATGCCTTGAGTGCTCGAAGGACCAGCGAAAAGGCATGACCTTGCAGCAACCGTGCAGACTCAAGCCTGCTGCGCCTCTTCTGCAAATCCATGCTTGCACATCGGTTCGAGGCCCTGTTTGCTCTAATGCTTCGTCTCCCTGATTGAAGCAGTGCACGCAGTGCGTTGTCTCATTGACAGAAGGTCGCTGATAACGAAGCCAAGTTCCGTTGACGTCATTGCTTTGAAGTATGACTTTCTAGCTATTTTCCTCAGCTGTTCTGGACTATATGATGTTGAAAATATGTTTCTAGTTGCTCTGCAATATGGCTTGCTGATATGTGTTGTTGCTTTAGTAGGGTCGGGAGCTGCTGACCTACATGAAAGCTCGCACGTGAAGAGTTGAAACCTAAATAACCAGTGGACAGCTTACGTAGCAGCGACAGAGCACCGAGCGTTGTCGACAGAGGTTCGCAATCTGTGCTGCAACCTTGCACAATGAACTGCTACTCTTCCACAGTTGACTGCATGATTGGCTTCGTGCTGGCCTCACCGGGACTTGCTGCTGGTGATGGCAAGGGTCCCACAACATCTGACACCTTGCATTAAGCGCCCGAGAATCCATCAGGCCGCGCCACGGCATCTACTTTGCTTGTGGTGGAGTTTTTTCGACCAGTCTCAGCATCATGTTCACAGTAGCATGGGGACCATCATCTTCGAATTCCGCCCAAAAAATACAAAATGGTGCAGTCGCTGAGCTGACGGGCTGTGGCTAGACTCAAACTGTTCGGCAAAAACACACACAGTCTCGCACAACGAATCACTCTTATCGAACCACAGAACGATTCACACGAACTCGTGAAGCAAATTGAGTGAAAGGTTATGAGTGCTTCCAAGGGCACTTGGCTCTCCCGAAGCCGCTCCGCATTCACAGTGAGCCATACCGCCATGCCTCGTATTTGAGCAAGTCAGATGTGCGCTCGGCAGTACTCGATGCATCTCTCCTCCGATTACGTTAGCTACTCTGTTGAGTGTCCCGAGCTTCCCACACTGCAAGTAGGTAACGTCCCCGAAGGCCGAAGCCACCACCGCGAGCCTTGCCTTCCTGTGGAGGAGTGCGTGGCCCAAGAGCCCCAAACTCATGGAGCTTCCAGAGAAGCGGCTTCTTTCCAAGAAGCCTATGGCATCTGCCGGGGCGGCCGGGTCCTCTTTGGCTCTGCTCCGAGGACCTCGTTCACGTCTGCCTTGGCCGGGCTGGCCGTCCTCTTGCTGACCCGGTTGACCCGGTTGACCCGGTTGACCCTGTTCCTGTGCAGCGATGGAGTTGGCAAGTATCTGCAGGTGGTTCTGAAGAGGAACCTCGGTGAAGTACCCGCCCACGATGTCGAGCACGGTCTCCGCAGGGCACTGCTGCAAGTCGCTCTCGTACAGGAACATCACCCAATCGTTGTTGCGGGCAAGTTCATGCAGTAGGGTGAGTGACCGCGGCAGAGAGTGCACACGGCAGAACAAAGCAACGAGATGCCAAGGCAAATCATAACCTAAAGCCTGGATAGAGGACGCTGTTGGAGCCGATGGATGAGGATCTAGGGCCCAAGTGGATTCTTCCAGCATTCGCAAAGCATTCAGCAAGTGGGGTGAGCTGATTGCCGCCTCAGCCGCAGCACTGGCCGATGCATCTTCCGTGTCCGGGAAGGACATGAACAACTGAATCACACTTGCAGCTGCAGCTCGCTCGCGGTCTTCACGGTTATGGCTCTGATGCACGGTATGAGAATAAATTCTTTTCGCCGCTTCCACATCCACTCGCAGCTTCTCCGTCTCCAACCCGCAAAGCTCCAACAGACAAACCGCACTGGAGACGACGCCTTCATTCAGCAGATTGTGCAAGGCCACGGATTTTGCTGCTTTGCGAAGACGACGAGCATCCTGCCCCCAAGCCCCTATGTTTCATGGCACCTTGCAACAAGAGCACTTGGTCCTCTGCAGCCAGTGAGAGTGGGAATCGGAGTTCTTCTCCAGCCCTCAGGGCGAACGCTCAGTCAGGCACAGTCTGCACTCTGAAATGGTGCTTGGCACTTGCACGTTCCGGTAAGGAGATTGCTTCAGGTCACGCTTGCACTTTGTCATCAGGACATGATACGCCATCATGGCCTTAATCCACGAAGCAGCAGAACTCGCCAAACATGCATGAGACGCAGCACGAAACCACAGAATCTACAGACACCGGCACTGTGTATGCGCAATGGGCCAGAAGTGACCAAAAGCAGCCATGTATATAGGAACCCTGTTTTATTGGATCCTTTATTGAGCTTTTGAGAGGGACCATAGAACAACACCAGAAGCCTGAGAGCAGCCATGTGCGAAAAAAGCACAGAAGATCACAGAAGTGTGCTACGAGCCGCAAGTTGCCAAGCAGTTAGGAAATCTCGGACCCGAGCTCTTCCTTGCGACAAATAATAACCTTGCGCTCTGAAAACGTGGGCAGTCTCGGGGTCAGAGCTTGATTCTCTGGAGTAGTGGCAGCTTTGCAGGCGAATGCAATTGCAGCACGGGAATCACGGGAATGACGCCAAAACAAGCCGGTAGGTCTCTCTTCCAGCTCATCCGGAAAATGCTCGTCTGCACCCTGCAGAAATGTCTACTTGCATGGCCGTCTGAGCTAACATGCTCCATGCTGCAGAACGACTGAGGTAAACTGAGGCGTTATCGGCTAACTGCGCCAGGTTCAAGACCTGGCACTCCTTGCAGCACAGCTTAGGTGCTTGTCTTGCTCTGTCTTGCTTCAAGCCGCGCAACATGCAAAGTTCCAAAACTCCTTCTCATGCGCTACAGTACTCACCGCTTTGGAATACCGCGCAGGCCTGTGGAGCTTCGAATATGCAAAGGCGATCAAGGACTTGCACCTGCAGGCCAGCCAATCAGAGATCAGAGGCTCTTACAGTTGGTGCAGTTGAAGAGGCAGAACATCGATGCGGACATCACAAGTAAGTTGAGGGAGATGTTACGTGGACGCTGTTGGTTGCAGTCGTAAGAAAACTTAATGTCCGATCGTCGAGGGCATCTGGCATCAGGCAGCCCAGAGCGAAACAAACACGTGTCACTTGAAATCGTTCCAAAACCACAATCATCAATAATCCATACAGCAGGGTTTCCACTACGCCCAGCCTGCAATCAAGCAGCAGCCCTGAAAAAGCGAAACTGCGGAGTCTTTGCTGGCCCTCTGTCTGGGCCGCTCACGACATCAAACGAAGCGACGTCACTGAGCAGCGTGGACAACGTTATCTTGGCACGTGAATGCAGGTCGGTCAGACGATGTCCCGTCATGACCCGTCATGAAACGCAAGAGAAATTGAGTTGCACACATCACCCTTGAATGTTGCCATCTCTTCGACCGTCATGTTCTTCTGCCTTCGGACAATGCGAATCGGCTTCTGGCAGAACGGCCAAGCCCCAGGCACCAAGCCTGTCTCCAGTGGTGCCTGCAGCAGCTATCGTTTTCTTGGACTTGGAATCATGTCACATGACACAATGGCAAGCGCCTTCCATCTCATTTTGGGCCAGGATGTCCTCACACAGAAGAGGTTCATGGCTGATACACTTTCGATCATGGGCATACACAAAGTGCCTACAAGTACAAGCGACTGCCTTCATCAGCCTTCTTGCCAACAAACACGCCCGTGCAGCCGAAATCAAAGCATTTTGCTGGGCAACAATCTTTGAGTTGTACTGGAAAAGCCAAGCCAATCGCTTGCAAAAAACAACGTTCAGCAGCCCCCGATTTGGGAGCGAAACTACGGTGGCACGCATTTAGCAGGGTTCATCCGGCATCTGGTCTTAGATGTCTTCATGGCCGCGCCATGTGTAAGCAAGCACCTTTGCTCCTTTGCTCATTGTGGCATGCTGCAACGCTTTGAGCCGTCAACAACTCAACAACCCACGCCCTCATGACATGACCCCTCCTCCGGCATGATCCGACTTTCCATCTTGCCTGAGTTCTTCTGCCACGCTGCATTGCCGCATATTGCCGCTTGTTGCCGCTCACCGAGAAATCCAGACCCAATAAAGACCCGCCTTGGCACGCACACGCCTCGGCGACGGCCTCCACCAGGCCTCTGCCTTGGACTGGAGAATCCCTCGAACAATCTAACTATATTTCTTGAGGGACGGACCATATGTGGCTCGCTCTGCTGAGTCATCCATGGCTTCGTCCTCGCACATCGTTGCTTCACGTGTGCATGCCAAGATTTCCAGAGATCAACAGTTTCAACATAGCCACCGGCAGTCTGAGATTGTCGGCTTCAGCAAGTGCCTACTTTACGCATGTGCCTCGATGCGATTCGAGAGGAAAGCTTCCCTGAGAGCCGGGTACGACGCCACGGCCTCATCATGCCGCGATCCACTGCGAGGCTATGGTCCGTTAAGTGTCGGCCAAGTTGCCTTCTGAAGCGTTTTGTTGCTCACAGCCCATGGACAGTCCTTCACGCGAGCGAAAGAGATCCTGTGTGAGTCTGCTAGCCTGTTTCTCGGACGTTCCTTGTCCAGCGTGAGGAGCTCGAGCGCACATGAGACGGGCCTGGGGTGCAACTGCACAACTTTGAATGCAAGAGACCTGTGCACTCAAGGAACGGAGAGATATAGCATACAACACATTGGCTTCACAAATTCGCATCAGTTCGCAAAATCTGTGCCAAAAAGCCAAACAGCACATCATGTTTCCAGGGGAAGTCATCCGAGTCCGCGATGGCATCAGACGAAAACACGGCTAAGCGGCTAAGCAGAGTGCCGAGATAACATTCAGGAGAAAACCATGTGACAATGTGACTGCAGGCTGGCTCCAAGAGCTGTAGGCGTTAATGATTCATAGGGGGAAGCACACCTGGCGGCCTGGCGGTGAAACCAGAGCGCCTAGCGAGTACAGTAGGCAGAGATCGAGACTGCTGCGGAAAATAGGAGTTTGCTGATGGTGACCTATCGTATTTTGTCACACATGGTCACGCCACAAGCTGGAGGGTAAGCGCAAGGACTGGAAGGACAGTAGGGCCATGTAAGGACCCTTTGGCAGGCAGCGCTAAATGAGAAGCATTGACAAACCTTGCCCCTACTCGGACGTCCTGTGCAATGTGCAGGTTGGGATGATGTGTGGCCAGTTCACTGTAGCTGGAGGGTGTATAATATAGCAACATGTAAACTTGGCAATCTGGGAGCTGAGGAATGGGGAAATGTCACGTGGCAAGGGCTGGGAACTGCACGGGCTGAGAACCTTGCAAGCATCATTTCGCACTCGCAACATAGCATGAGACCGCAGAAAAAGAACACATGCTTAAACAAAAACACGGGCAGCTAACGCGAAGCTATGTGGGGCCATTGAGAGGAACACAATGTAAAGTAAGCTGTGCAGTAGCAAGCTAAAAGCGAGTGGTCGGAAATGCTGCAATTCAGTGACAGGACCTGGTACTGTCTCATGCATCAAGGGATGTGGGGAGGTGCCGAGAGGCGGGGGTGCTACTCCCAAACGCGGAAATCCTTGCAAATATGGTGTTTTGTAGAGATACCTAATGAACACGGCACAACGAGGGGGTCGCGGCAGGGTCCTTGCAATCACCTTTTGCTGCAAGGAACAGCGGTCCCCAACAAGCCATGAAGCAGATCATTCAGAGAGGCATTTGCAACTCAATCCCCAAGGAACAGCACGTATTTTCAGTGCATTTCAGTTCTTTCTCCAGGTACTAACATTGCTTTCGGAGTTTTTCTCTGGTCGGGACGATACCTCTCGCAATTGACTTTTTGTATAAGGACGATATCTGCGAGCGTAGCTTGAAGGCATCTGACCATAGTATAACATTATTTCCGGAAAATGTTCTCTGGTCTGGACGATACCTGTCACAATTGACTTTTTGTATACGGACGATGTACTTTGAAGGCGTCCTGTGCTTGCTGTTTTTCTGTCATGATAACTGTGGTTCATCTGCGTGCGCCAGATTCGAGGATTCTGCTTGATCCAGCTTGTTCTCCCGTCTTTGTCGGGATAGCTGAGTCATGTTGAGTCACTTGTGATATAATTCAAGGTTTTACTTGGCTGCGCGCGTTCTCTTGCGATTTACGAATAGGCACGACGTTCCTATATTCCTTTCCCGCTCTTGTTTAAAGCAAACTAGCAAGGACTTCTCATGTGAATCCCCATGTAGACACCCCAAACCCAACGACCCCCCAAAACACTCTCCCGCAATGTCTGCTGGTCACGTGTAAGCAACGCAACGACTTTAGCAGTTGGGAGTAGTTGGGCAAAAAGTCACTGGTCCACCCCTCGAGCCCGGCACGCAAACATCAGAGTTGCCAGGAAGGCGATCGGCCTGCATGCTCTGAGATTCGACATTCTTGCGGCTTGCGGCCATAGAAAGCGGCTTAGCTGTTTGTGATCTGTTGTGTGTCCAGAGAACCTGGAGTCTGCCAAAGCAGCAAGGGGCATAAACGGCACCTGGGCTGCCAGAACTGCAAATGGCACTCAGAAACGCGTAGAAACACCCTCTCTGACAAAGTCCTTGCAGTCAACACCTCTTCTTGGTATGTCAGTTTGGATTCAGCTTGGATTCTGCTTTCCTTCCCAAGGTCCCCCATGAGGCCACAACACCCTCGGCATCTTCCCGGAGCAAAGAAGCGGAAGTCGCATCAGAGGCCGGACAAACCTCAGTGCGCATTGCAACCGCTGCACTCGTGTGGCTGATTTTCGCCACTCGGCATTCTGCATCCATCTGCAGGCGGAGGGCCGAGGCAGCATGATGCAAAGATGCGGCAAAGAGATGAGGATTGCCAAGGCGGCCGACAAGGAGCAACGGGGCCTTAGAGTCTTAAAGTCCTACGAAACCCTGGCGCCAACAGCATGCAGAAAATCAGCTTGGAACATCTTGGAACGTCTGAAGGCCCGGCCCAAGACCTCTGCGACTGCTGAATCTGGAGCTCCTGGGCAGCACAAGGGCGGGTCTTCTGAAGTACAATGCAGGTTGCAGGTATCGATGCATTCGGTAGCTTGGCGGCCTTCAGGGTGCTCATGGTGGTCGCCAAGTTGTATCGCTGAAGGTACAGCCTCGAACGCAAGACAATCGGAAAGCTTGGCTTGCTGAAGAGACCAGGGCCGATACAGGAGAAGCGCAGGCAGGTCCTGAAGGCAAAAAACATGCTCAAAAGAGCAAGGAGGTCGGATGTGACCGACATGCTACTGAGCATCGTTGTCGATGCAGTAGTTGATGAAGAAGCAATGAAACGGACTGACTGTTCCCACCGGCAGCAAGCGGTCCAAGGGCAGGGATCCCTCGTCGCTTTCGGAGCCCGGTAGCTTGGAAGCCAGCGTCACTTCACTTCCATGTGGTGACTCCACTGTCATTCCATCGCCAAAAAGCTTGCCACAGAGGGTAAGACGGCACAAAAGCGCATGGAAGTCCTGAGTATCACCGCTACAGAAAATGCCCCGGCGGCCCAACTGCTGCAGCAGCACCTCTCGAGAATAAGAGGTGCAGAAGCGGAGGCCACGCTGCTCTAGGTTCTTCAAGTCCACGCAGCTCTTGCCGTGTGCATCCACGTAGTCAGTGGCGGAGAAGGGAAGTGAGCGTACCCATGCTGCAAGGCCTCGCCAATCCTGGTGAGCGACGAGGAAGTCCAACCAGCAGTGCTGCCACGCTTTGGCCGGTGGCCCGGCTTCTGCGGGTGGTTGCAACCATGGCAGCGGCTCCACCAAACGGGGCCAGAAGTGTGTCTTCTCCATCACGATCCGTGCCCGTGTCTCCCAGCTCCTACACAGAATCTCTCGCAGTGTACTCAGGGTAAGGCAACTGGAAGCTCTTCAGTCTTTGAAAGTCCATTGAACATCACAACCCCAGCGCTCCACTGTCGCATCCAAGCCAGAGTCACATGCAGATAGCCCATGGTGTGACCTGATTTCTGAAGGTTGCAGTACTGTTGAAATAGACTCAGCTCTCCCGGTCCACTGAGGGTTGGACTCTTCGGGCCATTCTCATCCAATCCCAGCGCCTTCGTAAGCTGGCTTGCTCGGCGTTGCTGGGCAGTGTTGCACGCGTTGCCTCCAGGAACCCTTCTGGGTGTGACAGATCCTTGGACAATTTGGACAGCAGCATCTTGCCAAAGTCTCGTCGTTTCAATGGCAGGCCCGAGGAGGGTGCAGCACTGAAGGGGGTGTCCTCATCCTTTGGCCTGGTCTGCAAGCACGCTGACTGCAGCATCTATTGAAGCAGCAAGCACGGGCGCCAAGCCCTTCCAACCGACAGAGGCGGCAGCCTTGTCACAGCTTCAGCTTCACTGTTTGCTCGCGGAAGGATCTCGCTTGAGGGCGGGACTGGCCCGAGCAAGCGGAGCTGACTCCAAGCTGTTCAGCATCTCCTGGCGCACAAGCGGCTACAAGATGCAGGCACGATCAACGCTTCCTTTATCGCAGAGCTGGCAAAACGAAAACAGCACGTGTTACTTCGATCACTGAACTCGTTCGAGGCGCGGGACTTGCAAACAACGACTGGGAAAACTTGGGACCACACCGTATCACCTGCAGCGCCCTCGTCTGCTTGTTCACGCATATCGGCAATGTCGTCGCCATGCACATCCTGCTCACATCCGTGCACATGCGTCCTTTGCACCATCTGGTGAGCCCAGCGAGCCGTGTGCCTGTGCTAAGTTAGATCCTTTGTGAAAGTTCGAAAGGCCTCGCTCGCTCCATTCCAAAAGCTTCAAGTCCACAAAATGGCTCATCGGAAGCTTGCAACAGCTAAAACGCGAGATGAGCTGAGGTCGGCACCCAGCACGGGTGTTGCATCTAAGTCTTCGACCTGTGGAAGGTTAGCACAGGCAACTTATTGGTGGCAAGGTCACCGTGCTGGGGCTCCGACATCGCCACAAGGCATGCTGGCCCAGCCCTTGCGAGCTTCAGGCGGCATCTCCAGCATTGCAGCCATCGCAGGCCTGCATGCCGAACGCTTGCGGCATACACCAAGATGCAGCAGCATCAGCTTCAAAAAATTTGGCCGGATCGGCGTCTGATAGCCAGACCACATGTCGTACAGCTCCAAGGGCATGCGCTGTGCCATGGGCAACTCCTGCAGCAGACATTTCACTGTAGCTGAATCCTGAGAACAAAGGCACATTGACTGCTCCGACCCAAAGCCCAACACAATGACAATGCTAGCTGTACAAAGATAGTGATCTGTCGAAGGCCGCGAGGCCTGAGGGCCCAATTTTTCTGCGGAAGTCACGCTATTTTCGGAGTCGCGTCTGCGAGGCAGAAGACGTTTGCGCGTCTAGCTGAATTCTTCTTATTTATTGTTCAAGGCCTATCCAACCCGGACAGGAGGGCGGGAGCGGTGTTTGGGTAAGCACTTACCTGGTGGACCCCCCTGCTCAGCACTCAACACTGCAGTCTCATGTTCGGGGTCAAATTGCAAGTCGTGGAAGAACCAATACACTGTACACAAAGACCACCCCCGGCGCACCCGCAAACTCGTCTGTTGCTCGAAGTACTGTGGTCCACCACCTCGCGTGTCCACCTCGATTTCCGGCAGACCATGTCGGCTTGTGGGAAGCACATGCTTCACAGCTAGTTCTCCCTGGTAAAACACGAACTGTGTAAACCCAGTGGCCCAGTGCTGAACTGCCGCCGGACCCGTCTGCCCAACTTCCCGTCCAGCCTTCAAATAAGCGCATTCCCTTGCAGTGCCGAGTACTGAACTCCAGCCTCGAGACTCTTCTCATCCGGACGACGAGCCTTTTCCACCGCTGGAGCGGACATGACAGAGCTGTCGTGAGCTTAAGTGAGCAGCAGACAGCTATGTGGCCGCCAATGGCACCATCGCAGACAAGACCTCAGGTTTCAGCGTAGTCTCTCCGTCGACTCAACAGCATCCAAGCCCTGTTCAGCCCCATGCCCACCAACAGCATTGGTTGGCCACCTGCTGGCCATGAGCAGAAAGGAGGTACAGACCTTCACACAACCAAGGGGATGACGGATGATGTCAAGGATATCTTCAGCGCACAGCCATCGGTGCCATGCGCTCTTGCACTGGGGAAACTGCCCGCTGTGAGCTCGTTGCGGATACTGACCAGTAGTTAAACCGGTCGTCCTGGCCGAAGCAGCAGCTCAAACAGATGCTGTCGAGAGCTTTCAAACTAGACAAGCAGCATTCTGTTGAACTCTGTCGTGTAGCACGGGTTTGTGTAGAGCCTGTCAGCACGTGCTGGAACGTTAAGTTGCCAGGGAAACAGGAGATAAAGATAACGTCTCGCACCTTTCGAGAAGGTTCACGAGTGAAATGAGTGCTTGCTCCTCTTTGGAGAGTCTCCGCCTCAGGCACTCCGTGTACGAAATTAGTAGAAAACAAGGCTTTGGGGCCCGTGCATGTGCCCAACATGTCGCAACAGACGCCGTCGAACCAAGCGTTTGGAGGTGTGAAACGCCACTGCCTCCAACGGCAGTCAGAAACGTCACAGCTTCAACGTCATGTCATGCCCCAAGAACTGCAGAGCACTCTTGCAAGCATCTTTTTGGGAGTCAACACTCGAAAAGGCTCTGCAACCTGTACGGCATTGTTCGGCTGTACATCTCCGAAATATAATGCGACTGACACACGCAGCGCGCCCCATGAACTGCCCCGAAGCCGAAAGACAGGTCTTCGCAAGGTCCGTCTTTGTTTAGAAGCCTATCCACATCCATTGGCGTAGCAATTCTGCCTTTCGTCATGCCTATGGCACTGAAAGAACTTAACTTCCCATCAGTGGCTCATCTTTTTTTCCGCAACCACGAGACAAAGACAAGAGTGTAATTTCTTCATGTACTTTCATGTACTTTCAAGTACTTTCATGTACTTTAATGTACTTTAATGTACTTTCATGTACTTTCATGTACTTTCATGTACTTTCATGTACTTTCATGTACTTTCATGTACTTTCATGTACTTTCATGTTCGTTCAGTGGGGGTCAGGAGTTCGCACGGCGGGTGCAGTCAGATGAATGGAATCAGTCCAAGATTCCAACTTTACATAATCGGCACCAGGACATGTGCTTCGTGCAACCTCTTGTGCGAACAAGTCTCTGCACATGTAGAAACAAACACACAACATGCA